TTTGCAGAGCTGCTCGGCAGGTTCCAGGGGCAATGACGGGCCCATTATCGTTCATAACGTGAGGTAGAACGTCCTGTTCCCCAAAAGGATCTGGGTCATATTTTTGGAATTGGTTTTGATACATCTAGGTAGGGATTAGACTGAATTAATGCAAGGCATGATGAATAGATGAACATACCTGGGATTGAAGCTGCATCTGCTTCACAATTCCTATTTTCGAGCAAATCTTGCGGGTCTCTTGTAGCTGTCGCATGTTTGCATTGAACCTCTGGGTCAGTTTGCTTTCGGGCTGAGTAAAGGAACCTTTTGGCAAAACTCTGAGATATTCCTCCGAGGCATCGACAACATTGCCTTCTGCGTCTTCTTTCCAAATCAATCGTTCCGAAATATCAGGAACACCGGACATCACGTCGTAATAATAGGGAAGCATTTGGTCTTCCTCGACTTCAATGCCCTCTGCGAGCGATTCCTTGCCAGCTTGAGGCTCCATAGCTAGAGTCCCAGAATCATGAATTTCATCAGCTTCAGCAGCAGCTTGTTTTTCATGCCGAAGCCATCGGCGCATGCCAGCCTTAGTTCGAAGAAGAGCAGGTTCGTCGGCATTGAGCTTGTTGCCCTTGAGAAGTCGGTGTCGCTCTGCAGCGATGATTGCTCGGTCTTTCTTCGTCACTTGCTTCCACACCTTGAACTCCGGGTCTTCCACGTCAGCCCCGGGAATTGAGAGGGCGCTTAAAGCAGTGGTCGGTGCCAATGATACTTCAATGTCCATGGCATCATCCTGTTGGCTTGCAGCGGCCCCCAGCCCTAAAGCGTCAGATGGGGTATGGGAGCCCGGGGGGGGAGTGGAGAACCCATTCTGGGTTGGCTCCATGGCCGTATCTGAGTCTGCTCTAGGTGGTGCCGGGGGTTGAGATACAGCTGTGTCGCGCGGGCCTTCGGAGCCGCTAGGGGTATTTCGAGCAGGCGCAGTGCCTTTCTTGGAAGATTTTCCGGGGGCCTTTCTACCCCTTGAAGACATGATAGGCTCATCGTCGCTTTCCTCTGCGCCGTCAAGCTCCTCTCTTTGCAAACGACGCTCCTCTGCTTCGACCTCAGCACGGTCTCTAATTACGATTTCGGGAATGAGAGGAACCAGCTTCTCGGTTTCCTTTCGCATGTAGAGAGCATGTTTTCGCAATAAATGCTCGGGGTTCGTGTTATACTTTAGGCAGTTGGCCCAAATCAGATTCAGATCATCGACAAAGTCTTGCTTTGATCGATACTGTATGCCTTTAAGCTTCTTGGTCATGCTTCCGAGGTCCATTGGGTGTTTAATTACTGTTTGTCAATGTTAGAACCTGCAACCATTGCTGGAAGCCCGAGCATAATGGGGTCAGTCACTTACTGGTATAGTAATCCGGGGCATCACGTTTGTTGACACGAGTCAGAAAGGCCGTAGAATGCTCCGTCATAGCTTTGAGCTCACTCAAGACCTTCTCGGCAGCTTCATAAAGCTCCTCTTGGCCAATCTTATCCTCACTGGCCCATTTGCTGCGATTCTTTCGAACTTCGCTGAGGAGACTTCGTAGTTCGGCATCGGAGGCCTGGACCATATCACGCTTTTTGTCGATGCGGGCGATCAAATTCTTGAGTGTCAGACTAGATGCACCCAGGTTTGTATTGCTCAGAGAGCTATAGCCGTTCGGTCCGCCATTCGCGTTGTTGCCACCAGAGCCAGCCTGGCCTGAAATCTCCGCCTCGACTTGTCGCTCGGACTCTTCCAATCGTTGTTGGTCCAGCATGGCGTCACGATCGTTCTCAAGTGTATAAAATAGCGTATGAAAGCTCCGCTTGGCAGCTTCCTCTGTCGCTTTCTTGTCCTCTTCTAGCTGCTTTCGGATATCCTCCACTGATTCTTTCTTTGTTTCTTTTAATCCATCGATGCTAGTGGAAGCTGCGGTACCGGGTCGTGGAACGGGTAGGGTAGCGGCACTGGGGTCCTGCGACGGGGGCACTGGCTTGCTCTTCAGAGGGGATTCAGCTGCATCTGCCATATCTGCATCATCGTCCTCATCGTAGTCATCGTAATCGTCATCCAATTTACGCGCGGGCTTGGATGGTGGAGCTGTAGGGGGTGCCGGCGCATCAACGCGTTCGGTTCCGGCGTCGGGCTGTTCCGTCTCCGCGATCGCGGCGGTCGCAGAGTCATCTGCAGCATATCGACCTGAGAAAAGCGCGTTTATTCTGGCTTCACTGCGCCGATAGAGATCACGAAATTGAGCAATGCGCGGGTCTTCTTCGAGGGTAAGGTCGGGCTCCGATGTCATACTACTGGGGTTCGGCCCGTCGGCGCTGACAGAGCCGCGTACCTGGGGAGTGCGCGAACCAGACAATGTCTTGACTAGGCCATTGACAGGTCGAGGTGATTCCTGATGATCGTCAGGAGGCCGTGTATTGCCCGGGGGCCAGGCGTTGTGACCGAGCGACATGCTCGCTCCAAAACCCCGGTTCTGGGGCGGGTGATACTCGATCCTCCACGGTTGGGATCACGGGCCGAGAAGTCACGACAAGGGCGTTTGAGGAGGGAAAAAAGGCATAGAGAGGTGCCGCACAGTCGCCCGAAACGTCAGGCGATGTCGAAAATGGCCAGAACGATGGCACGGCGGCGAAGTTTGATGAAGAAGTTGAGGTCTTCTGTAAGGAAGTTTCTCGGACGGGGATGAACTCACGGCAGGCGCGAAGGCGGCGGATCGCGGCAATTTGGGACCGTCGCGCTTGCCTTTCACGGCCTTTTCCCCGCCATTTCGGGGTACCTCAAGGTAGCACTTTACATCCCTCTTATCTCTACATCTCTGCCAATTTGATTTCTTATACTCTTTATACTCTTGACTTTCGTCCTCACCTCCCACCTGCAGTCATGCTTTGACCTTTGTCGACCTCCCAATCCTACCCCGTCGTTCTCCCTTTCATCTCATCTCTCCTCCGCATATGACGCATAAGGCAGCAGCTGGGGCCAAATCAATCAACGTCCACTCTGCTCTCCACCCACTCCACCGACACCAACAAAGCTTCAACAATCCTACCACAACATTTGCCGAGTATACCCAAAGAAGCTACAGCTTGTACACCCAATCGTCTTTCATTTCCTCATCATGAGGATCCGCTATCCTTTCGCAGGTAGGTTCACCTTCCTCAGCTCCGGCATCCATCCCGATATCATCTTGGCGGTTCGCCCTGGCTAACCCACCACCTCTTAGGAGCATTCGTCTTTCTGTTAATTCTCGCTGCTTATATCGGTCTCCTCCCGCATAGTACCTCGTCATCTATACCTGCGAATCTACAACCCAATGATAAATTTCTGCATCTGGTTACCTTTTTCCTGCTGTCGGTCGCCTTCTACTGGATTGTAGATACGTCGCGCCGGCGTAACTTACATCTTACATTGGCCGTCTGTACGCTGGGATTGGGAGTCGGCTCCGAGGTTATCCAGGGCTTACTCCCCAATGGTCGAGCCTTTGACCTATTCGATATTGTTGCCAATGTGGTCGGAAGTCTCGGCGCAATTGGCATATGTGGCTGGTATCACCGCCGCATGCTACAGCGTCGCCGAGCCAGTCGCTATGGAATGGTAGATGGCAATGCAGATGATGATGTCGAGCTTGGTACTGGCGTCGGGGCACGTTCCAGGGAAGAGGAAGGAATGGGTCCTCAAGAGACCGGTGTGACAAACCTCGAGGAGGAGGTAGACAACTGGGATGAAAACGCGGTTGATAACTGGGATACCGAAGACGGACCCGGCCCTTCTGAGATATCGCCTCCAAGCTACCACGAAAATGGCCAAGTGGCTGGAGATGAGGCCGTGAAACGCAGTGACTGATGGTTATCCAAGACCACAAAAATCGCTTACGAATTTTGGCCGCAATATTTCTCGGCCAAATTTCACCAAATCTAAATGTCAAATATTACGATGAAGGGGATGACGCATTGATCGAATGTATGTCGGTATGATATGATGGTTGTCGGGTTCCATGATTGTGTTTCGTATCGCATCATGTCGTTTCTATCGCCGATACAGGGCTTGTCGGTTGTCGGTTATGTTTATTATTATTGGACACGTTTAGGGGTCAGCGCTTTGATACTGGCTCATAGTAGTCTTCTTGCAATGCTTTCAGGGAAATAAGGCAAGAGTATCCAATCAAGTGTACAAATTTTCACCACCTGCCCAGAGAATTTGAACTCAGGAAGAATGAGTATTTCATGGTTCTTTTATACTAGTAATTTATGTCAATGTACGAACTCATAAAGCTACCTAGGTATGCTTCCTAGAAGGTACCCGATGACCTAGTAGATAGGTAGTTAGTAATAATATAGCTTTTTAATTGTGGACCTGTCATGGTTTGACTTCCCGACTTCAAGGTCCTCTGTTTTGTGGCGGGGATTCCCTACTTAAGTGATGACTGTCTTCTAGGTACCCGAGGTCTTTCACGTAGTTGCCCATGTTGTGAATCTGAATGATCAGTGTACATGAATTTTGTGGACAACTGCTGCGTAGAATACAAACCTGCCATCGTGGGCATTCGCATAGGGAACAATAGGCGATCGGGACTGGACCACTAGGAAATCCACTAATATACAGCAATTCTAATGCGAAACTAGACATCTCCCGTCGGCGGGCACAGCTACATACAACGCAAGAGGCAAAAACGACCATGCACACTAGGGGGTATTTGAAAATGGGAAGGAGGAGACGTGGGTGTATACCGGGGAGGGTAAAAGACGTGAACAAGAACTAGGGGAACGTAGAAGGGAAGAAGCCAACAAGTCGCAAACACCGGGTGCAATGATATGATGCAAACAAAAAAGGAGGAGGATAGGCAAGGTAAGACAAAAAAGGACTCGTAATCACATCGCGACGGGGAGAATTGGTCACAAAAGCTGAGCATGAAACGTTGAGAGGCGGATGCTCGGAGATGTGAGAATGAATAGCAAGGGGTATTTGGGAGAGCGACATATTGATTCCGTTACTCGCTGTCAGAGACCTCGGACGATCTAGACCAGCTGCGCGTCGGAGTTGGAACACGGTCTAGGACGGCTTCCAATTCAGGTTTCGACGTAGGCAGATAGTCCGCATGGTCGTTCAACTTGGCCACTTTTGCAGATCGCGGCTCACACTGGCTTCCGGGTGACTGGTCACCGTGATTCGGAAGTTTCCCCAACTTCATGTCAGTCTGTTCTCGCAATACTTCGTAGATAAATTGCATCTGCATCTCGTTGTACACCATCATCATTCGTTGCTCGCGCATTTGGTTGACTGTTTCAAAGACAGGGTCCGATTCTGCGTCGCTTACTTGCAGCAGTTGGCCCGATTCGAGTTCTTCCAGTAAATGATCGAGAGCGATAAATGTTCCTGTTCGGCCAACACCCGCGCTGCAGTGCACCACACGTGGATTGTCCGGGCCGGATTTAGAAGCCGAAAGCCTGATCAGCTCGAGAAGTGCCTCGCGATCATCCCCTTCGGGTTTCGAATAGTCTGCCCAGCCTGCAAAGAGGAAGTGCCAGATGACCTTCGATTCGGAACCAATGGTCAACTCAAGCCTGCGAATTTCGGAGCGCGCTTTCGGGTCAAACGTAGACTCCAAAAGAGTCACTTTGCCGATGATCCCAGAACCATCCTCGGATTTGTCAGTCACAAATGGATCCAACTCCTCTGCCGTAAGAATCATCGAGTCCTCCTCCGAGTCCAATGGGAAATATTGGGCGCATTTCTCTCGGCCTGCCTCAAAGGTCTGGGTGAGCATGACGATGACGCCGACCTCCTTGCTTTCGTGGAAGACCATGTGCCAGAAATGTGAGAAATGTCCGAGCTTAGGGCCCTGTGGATCGATTAGCCCCGATTATATGGAGTAGTCCCTGATCTATCACAAATAAGCTTTGTGAGCTATCACCTACCTGTGTCGCAATATATCTTCTCTCCTCCTCCGTAACCGTATCCCTGAGGATAATGGGCGAGGCGTTGATGAAATCACATTCGCCGCCGGGCACCCGCAGATGGATCCGACAATTTGCCCAAGCCTGTACATTGATATATCGGTTCCTGGCCTTGACCTTGGGGTCTGCCTCGAGAGCAAAAGGATGGGAAGGATCGTTGGACAACATGCCCTCGGTCAACCGCGTCCTCTGCATCCATTCCAAATCTTCGAACTTGTCGTGAATCTCTGCAAGACAGGCCAAGCGGTCAGTAAATCAGTATCTTCCACGTGCGGGCTGGTATGCTCGGAAAGGCTGCATGCAGGGCCTCCACTCACCGGCGACAGATTGACACAGGAACGGCGGTACATCATCTGTGTTTCCATCCTCCAACCTGGGATTCCCTTGTTCGGCGTCTGGTAGGTCGATGCCGGCTTCATCCGGCAAGCCGCGCTTGGTGGTCTGTACGCTGGTATCGATCTTGATAGACGGGTGGGCCATCTTGGCGGCCGCGACCCGGTGGAATGCGCGAACTTTGCCAAAGACACCGCGGGCCTTCTTGGAAACGGTGTGGCTGTTGAAGCGCTTTTTCACGCGCGGGGCAGCGGAATCCGGCGAAGAGGAGCGAGACTGCTCAGGGTCGGTATTAATGTCCTGGTCGATACCGTAGGCGGCGGCGGAATAATGGGAAATCTGCAGGGACGACAGATCGGGACAGCTATAGTAGCTGTCCCGGGAAGGTGTGTCCAGGGCCAGATTTCTGGAGATCGTGGAGGGGTTTGGGCGTCGAGAGAGGAGATGAGGAGCGTCGCAATAGGGCAACGTGTGACCTCGTATAAAGCCGGAAGGTCTGCGCCAGCAAGAGAATAAGAAGAAGAACACGCGGGGGCAAAGTCCAAGTATATTCTTGTTTTCAGCCTTTCTCCCGGTGGTTAAAAAAAAAAAGAGCCAAGAGTGGGCGCGGGAAAGGAGGGAGAGAGGAGGGGCGAAATGGGAATCCGGAGCAAAAGTGGAGGAGTAAAGTGGAGGGAGTTGGAGGGGAAGAAGAAGAAGAAGAAGAAGAAGAAGAAGGATCCAAAGAATGAGAAGAAATCCGGAGTGACAGAGAAGTGTAGAAGTGTAGAAGTGTACGGAGTCAAAGTATGAGAATATGAGTTAAAGATAGAAACTCCGATGCGTTGGTGATTGGCGGGGGACTTTGCCACTGCGCGAGTCTCAGCTGCGCTGCGTGCGGACTTGCCAACCTTGAAGGGCCAACATCCAAACATCTCCACTTTCGCGGCTTATCGCATACTTTGTTCTTGTTTTTGTTTTTTTGTTTTTTTTTTTTGTTTTTGTTTTACTTTTACTTTTTACCTAGGTACTATGTATACCGGTTTACACTTTACTATCTAAACTCACCGAGGTCCGGCAAAACAAGTGAAACTATCCTCTCTACTACTAGTACTAGTACATTCTTCGACTTGACTTCAACTTCTCCCTTTCATCCCCCGGTCCTTTCAACTTGAACTTCTTCTTAATGCCGCCTCCCGCGTTCCCTTGACGGGTGTGAACCCCTCCACCATTTCTACGCATATTCCTATCCTCGATTTGGCTTTGCGACATGGTCTCCTCCGCCCAGATCCTCGATCGCGTCGCACCTAACCAGAGTACCCCGTCGGTCGTGTCGCGACACTCCCAATCCCACTCCCATTCCAACAGACGACATCGATCCGGTCGCTCACATCATGGAAGTGCCCCTCTCCAACCCTCTTCCAATGATTTTCCCGTCTTCGCATATACCGGCGATACTGAAATCGTGATTCGTGCCGGATCGCAGGAGAAACGCTACCTCCTACATCGATTGATCCTGGCGCAATGCTCGGGGTTCTTCGAGACAAGCACAAACGAGGAATGGTCGCAACAAATCACTACCGGTCCTCCAAAGATCGATAGCTCCCTATCACGCCTAACCGAGGAAGACTCCTTGTCGAGTGGTTCTACGGTGGTTCAGTCAGACGGGGGTGGACAGCCAGTGCGACCAGGAGAGAAGCGCCGTTGGCGATATGAACTTGGCTGGGAGAGTTGTGCGCAAGACGAAGTACCTGTCTTGGTTCAAAGGGTGAGTTCGAAATAGTCACCTACTATTTGACCTACAAACTTGCATCTCCTCGCGCATACCCAAAATGACAATGGCTCACCTCTTCTTCAATAGCAATCGAGCTTCTCCTCATTCTCCTCCGGCCACTCGCCTCCATTCTCGCAGGCAATAACAAAGCCATCTAATTCCCAAGCGGGATTCTTCCGTTCCATGGCTAACCTAACGGGCATGCCTGCGCAGTCGGTGGTTCATTTGCCTCAAACTGCTGGAGATCCGAGTAGTACCTTTCCTCCCTTAATCCAGGACTACGACAACTTGTTCCGTCTCTTCTACAATCACACGCCCAATATCAACAGCGTGAACATCGCCACGGCTTATACAGAGTGCAAATCTCTACTCGCCTTAGCAGACATGTACGATGCGCTACCAGTAACCGGGCCTCGTGTTGACCATCACCTCTTGGGATTCGGCTCGCGACTCTTCAAACAAATCGCCAAATACCCACCAAGCTACCTCAAGTTAGGCTATCTCGCACGCAGTCGAGTGATCTTCTCCGAAGCCTTGGTCCACGTCGTAGGTCAATGGCCCGCGGCCTTGCCCAACTTGCGCAACGGCTCATACGCGCCTCTCCCAGACGCTGTTCTTGATCTGATCGAAGATAAGTACGAGGATCTTGAGGATCTCAAAGCGCGTGTGGAATCTAAACTTTTTCGCCTGTCATTGACCACTTCTCGTGGTGAGCGTGTTGGGCCATCAAACGCGTATCTGGACTGGTTGGCTGTCTCACTCTTCCGCCAATGGTTAATTGAAAGCACAACCCCTCCACCTGCGCCAATTCTCAAGAATTCAACCAACGCCAACCGTGCTCCTCCTCCAATTGGACAGGGGTCTCAAACCGGATCGTCCAGACCGACCGCACCTGCAGACCCCTCTGCTCGAGTGTATAGATTGATCGGGTCTCCCTCGCCACAAGCTTATCTGCCTCATGACGAGATCAAACGCTTTCTCAAGCTCCACCCGACCCCTTCTGCTGATTCACTCTATTCAAGAGAGACTCTGAAACGCTTCGAACGCAAAATGGACGAAATTAAACGACTAGCTCGAGAAATCGTGAAACCGCTTATGCGGAACTTCCTCGAATTGGAGCTGAAGACTAGCACTGAACAGAGCACCACTACCGTTGGGGCTCACGAGAAGTACTCCCACGCCGGGCTTGCTTTATTTAACTTGCACCCGCGTGGAAGAGAGTGACATGCCTTGGGGTTGATAGCATGGCGGCTTTACTTCTTCCTTCTCCCCCTTTCACGCATATACCTCTTATTTCTTCTGTTTTTCTTTTGATTTGCGGCGCCAAGAATATTCCCACTCTTAGTTATTGTTTTTTTTTTCTCTCTGGCGTCTTGGAAATTTCCATTTTCTACTTCTTTGGGCTGCTGGCCAGCTCGAGAGCAGCGAGTACCCCTATTCCTTGGCTATATGCCAGATTATGTTATGTGTCCAACATTTTGATGCCCCTTATCTCAACTTTCTAGTTAATATGTGATAATGATGTCATGAATCGCTATGTCTATCAACTTCCCAGCACCCATGTATCTCCAATTATACAGGTCGGCGTTTCTTATAGTAGTATAACTGATGCGTTTCTAGATAGTAACGGTGCATCCACGATGGATTTCGATATATTCGCTAGAGACATCTGGAAATAACCTTGGAAGGTAGAAAGAAGTTCCGATTATAGTACTTCAATAGATTACAGTTTCCTAGCATAATATAATGACACAGTAGTTTACATACGGAGAGACAAGTGTCATCCTCCCGAGTCTAATCTCGTCGACCAATCGTCTCCATGCCATCCATCCAAGGGCGTAAGACCTCGGGAATGACAACAACACCCATCTCTGCATCCCAATTATTCTCCAAGATAGCAGCCAGCACGCGTGGAACAGCCATTGCTGTACCGTTCACGGTGTGCGGGAAGCGGGAGTCCTTGGCCGCACCGCCACGGACACGAGTCGCTAATCGTCGACTCTGGTAGTCTGTACAGATAGAAGCGGATGTCACTTCACCCCAAGCTGACTCCAACCATTCCAGGGCCGGGTCAGGCCCAGTAGGGGTGGTAGTTGGGCGGAATCGCGAGGGGAAAAGTGCCTCGATATCACGCTTGCGACTGGCGCTCGCTCCAAGATCAGTGCTTGGCATCTCCAAAATGCGGCAGGGAAGGTGCAAAGATGTCAGGATTTCGGTTTGAATGTCGAGTAGTTCTGAGAAAATGTCGTCGGAGGTTGCCTTGGCGGAACCGGAAGAGTCTGTGGGAACATTATCTGCCCAGCCGAACATTTCCACCTTGGTGAACTCGTGGACTCGATATAGACCCTTGGTATCGACGCCACGTGAGCCTGCTTCAGCGCGGTAGCAGCGACTAGCGCCTACCAGCTTCAGAGGTAGATCGGCGGCGTCGATATCGCGACCAGCATGCATGGCCGCAAGTGGGATCTCTGCGGTGCCGGTTAAAGAGCGCTGGGGCTTGGTATCCCGATCCCGTTCAGTTTGTTCAATGGACCATATTTGTTGCTCATTATTTTGATCGCGCGGTTGGAATCCACACGCCTCGGCGATGTAGGAGTAGACTATTGATGGCGGCGCGACAGTTCGCCATCCACGACGTCGTGCGACACCCAGTGCGTACTGGACTAGCGCCTGCTCCAGCATTGCTCCCTCGTTTATAAGAAAGTACCACCCCCATCCGGTTGTTGTTGCCGAGCTGGCGAAGTCAATGAGACCCAGCTTGGTACCAATTGTAACGTGCGATCGGGCCGTGAGCTCTGCCGGTGACTGGCGCGACCATGTGGGTGGAGTACTCGGGTCAAGATTGAGGTAACCGACTAGGCGAGGGTTGTCTCCGATTGGCGTTTCCGTCGACGAGAGGTTCGGGAGGGATAAGGCGAGGCGGTTGATTTCTTCGTCGCAGGTCGACTTGCGCACTGTCATTGCGTGCGATTCGTCTTTTAATCGCTGTGCCTCTGACTTGAGGGTAAAAATCTCTCCCTCCGCATTATTGCCTGTGGTCCCATCCTTGCCGGCCCCCTGGCGTGCTGCAATTGAGAGTTTCGCGATTGTCTTCTCGAGCTGTTTGATGCGGGAGCGTGGCGTCTTCAGGTCGTGGTCGAGTTGCCTGACTTCTTCGGACAAACTTTGGATCTTTGAGGGGTACTCGGAATGAGCGACGTAGTTTCGCTCTACGCAATTCCTGGCGTGGAGCTCGGCATTTTGGCGGATGTTTTTGACGTCTGGGGTGGGCTTCGGGGCTGTTGCTGGGCGGAGAATCTGATGGACTTGGCGAGATCCAGGGAAGGTGCGCGGTCGTGAGAGTCGCTTTGTATATTGGAAAGCAAACCTACAATTGAAGCAGGTGTAGGGGGAGGGGGAGGGTGCCATGGAAAAGAGAAAGGAAAGATAAAGACCGAAGGGAGTTGGAGAGGGAGAATCGGCGGGTGTGGATGGTTCCCGGTGGATCGTCAGTTTTGGTGGGGCGAGGCTGTCTACGGGTGAACTGTATGAATAGAGTATGATTACATCCATGACACTTTTATATTTCTATATTGAACTTGATATTCTGAAAATGGCAATTCTCATACTGGTAACCAGCGCCCGAAAAGAACAGTAATAATAACCTTGGAGCAACTTGAACGAACTTGAAGAAATGGGGGTTAACTCGAACCTTGGAAGCAGCGGCTATAGTAAAGACATAATAATTTGGTTCATTGATTCCCCAGACCCAACTTGTGCTTTTTAATCCTGGTCCCAAGACCAAGCAGAATCAAGATCAAGGTCACAACGACAGACCAAGTGGGAATGCCTAAGGCTCCCGTCTGGGTCGCCGCCAGGAAAAGCGCAGTCTCCAACAATAGCAGAACATAGCCGGACCACCGATGATATTTATAAATCCGCTTGCCAGCGTCAACACTGCCAAAGACAACAGTGGGGATGAAGAACTGCGCGACTCCGACGAGAGCCTGTAGCACGATGAAGATGACTGTGAGCAGTCCGAGAACGCCGTGTGGGGAAACAAAGTGTGGGTGGTCGCCCTTGTTGATCTCGATGATGGTGAAGGCCCCTAAGAAGCAAAGGACACTAGCCAGCTGAATTCCGTAGTGGATATGAGTCCCTAAACGCTTTTGCTGTGGGGTGGATGTAGGCTGGAGGATGAGAGCTGCCTGCACCTGGAGGAGCAATGCGGAGACGCCGCAGAGCTATCGATCGACAAATGATAAGTAAGTATAGGATTCGCAATGGAAACTTTCCTGAAGCGTATTGGGTGACGTGTCAACTGACTGGATGAAAGGTGAAAAGGTGAACTGGTTTGGACAACATGTCAGACCAGACGAGAATTGCCAGCTGAATGATTTCCCCGCGTTAGAAATGTAGACCAGTCAACTCTAGGGTGATCCTTGTACAACAAGGCTGTGTGTGTGCCACTTACAACCCACACTCCAACTTGCGCAACACTCGCAGTGCCTATTTCCATTGAAATTAGAAACTCGGTCGGCCAAAAAACCGAGGAGGTCGTGGCTTGCCTGTGATGAAGTTGACGACGATCTTCTCGCGTGACTCCGATGGGTAATCGAGATCATCTCGTTGACCTAGCAAGGGCTCGTGGGCTTCGGGAATCCTAGTAGTAGAGGCCATGACTCGGTCAATTGGGGGCCTTTGTGATATTATCTCCTACTTGACTGGGAGTAGGGGGGAGGTCAGGTATATGAGCAACTCAAGTGACGGTCATGGGACATAGATGAACCTCTGCAGTGCCAACTGCAAGGTTATCACCTATTCCTGCATGGATTTACGAGAAGAAATAGCGCATATCACGGATTATGCCTGCATCCTGGCTCGAGAGACACGACAAAGAGTCTTTGTTTGGCGTGATGCTCGGCTCCAATGACGATCTCACAATCGATAGATGACCAGGTGGAGCTGAAAGACCAGTCAGCAAGGCATGATTGCCAATGATTCCAGCAGAAGCAAAAGATCGACCAGCTCATTGATGCCTCTGGTTACACAACCGCATTCTCCTTGCAGTAGCTAAGGTGTGATTTCTAATACTTTTATGCTGAGCGGGTTTAGTTCCGCTCGGTTCATCCCATGTTCATGCAGAAAGGATCCACAAGCAATCTCTAAAATACACAGTACACCCCGAATTGAATTTTCAAAAGGAAACGGAATAAAATCAATACGATGCTATTTGAAAGACCTATCTCGGACACCTCATGCCCAGTTTACACTAGTGCCTGTGTGCATTGGCCGGTCGGGTACCCTGCTAATGATCATGATCACTCACTATAGATGAATTCTTCGTTATCTGACCAACATGGGATAGCATCCCCAGAATTCAAGTCCAGAGAATTTATGTACTCGATCAAAATCGAAGCCACCCATTCAGCCTTCTTTGAATCTTGACTTAAGGTCCGCAGCTGTGCTTGGACAAGGAGAATAAAGAGTGTGCAATGATCTGCAATGCAGATCAACTCTTCATGAGGAGCCCCAATGCCCATCGCCTCGGTCAGTGCCCTAAACTTGATCTTCGCGACTTCGTTCACAAGCTTCCTGATTTCATTTGTGACCGTCCTGTACCATGTGGGATGATCTCGGAGGTGGGTTGCCCGCAATTCCAACAGCGAGATAGACCCGCGCCATTTAATAGCATAGATCCGAGCATCTAGGGTTTTCAAAGAATCTGGCATCTTGCTCGGAAGATATCGAGGGATAATTCTGTTGATATAGTGCTTGGCATCAGGAGCCTCGCTCCACTCTAGGTCATTTATTTGGCGTCGCAAACTTTGGTTGATTGTTTTCACGGGGTATATTTCCCTCATAAAGCGCAGCACAGCCACCATTGAGCTCACAGCTTCTCGACAGCGATCCGGATTATCTCTTATAAACCGAGAACACTCAAAAATAGCCAGCTGTACAGAGCTAACATGTGACGTATCCAGAAATAGTCTTTGATGATCAGTGTTCAACCAAACCTGCGTCACTCTAGAATGTAATTGACCCATTATTTGGCTAACCTCCTCGTAGCTTGAAGGAACGTGACTGAGATCTTTAATTTGGCATTTGAGGAGACTAATGCATGCAGCCCAGTACGGCTCAAAAGAGACTTTCAATGGTGTACTCGTTCTATCACCTGCATCTTCGACGCTTTGTGGTGAGGGCGTGTTGAAAATTGTTGCAATATTAATTGGCAGGTTTCTGATATACGAAAACATCATTTTAAAAGGTCAACTTAAATATTTGTGACTGCTTCTACTCTTTAGGGAAAGAAGAATATCTATAATAGTATTTATATCCTACTCTTGTCCATCGCAAGGGGCTGTCATTGTATTTGTTGGGCTTTGAAGCACTAGTATCTCTTTGTTCATAGATAACCTGTCTTTGAGCTGAGCTTCTTTGAAACAATGGCATTGTAGAAAAATCCGATCCCCAGCTACAATGATATGACCTCTACTCTAGAACTCATGGGAAATGAATATTAGCTATGGTCATTCAAATTACTCCGCGATCCCACGGTAGTTCATAAAATCTTGATTTGTATCAGAGTAGGCCATTGTTGGCAATAGTGTGTAAGCTCATTCAAAACCCAGATCTTGTCTCCTCATCACGCGCAGCAGCGACGCGCTCTTTCTTGGCCTTCTGAATATCCAGGGACATCTTGACCGGACGAACGCCGGGTGTCTCAAACACAGCATCAATCTCTTCCAAACTTAACCCCCCGGTTTCTGGGAAGACGAAGTATGAAAGAATGAGTTGGACAGTATTGTAGATAATGTAAACAACCCAGATCTTGTATCCAATTTTCTCGATACCGACACTGATACCATATGTCTGGGCGGCACTGGCTCCACCTTGTATCAAGCTGTACAAACCCATTCCTTTGGCACGGAGTGGTAAAGACAGAATTTCCACAGGGTAAAGATTATGCATTGTAGCAATAAGCGTTGCTGAGAAAGTCTGGTAAAGAAAGATCCAGAGAAGTGTGAGAGCCGCTGCTGCATGGGTGGCATTGAGACTGTATTGCCAAGATGTAATGGTCGTTGCCGTCTGGAAAATAACCATGCTGATCAGTCCCGAGAAGATCAAGGTTCGGCGACGGAACTTGTCAACAAGAATCGATCCAACGGCTGTGAACACAAAATATACTGCAGTGGTTCCAATGCTGATGCCCAATTGCTGTTTTGTGCCATCGATGCCAACTGTTTCTAGCGCGGGGACCATCTAAGAAGCTTTGTATCAGCAGAAAGTCAACTGACTCAAAAAGAGTAAACTCACGTAGTAAGTTATGATGCTTCCTCCATTCCACTGCTGGAAAATTGAATACAGCACCAAGACCAGCAGTCTGTATCGGGCAATCTTTGTGAAAAACACACGATAGTCCCAAAATGACCTGTAACTATTTTGATCATTTTCCAGTGATTCCTCTATCTGAGTCACGACAATGTCAACAATTGGCTCATTGATACTGGTGCTAGTAGTGTGGTATTTTGCGATAACTTCTTTAGCCTTTTGTCGATTGCCTCTCATGACATAATAGCGAGGTGATTCCGGGGTCAAGACGTAGATTGTCAAGCAAACAATAGCGGGGAAGATAGCCTCGAGAATCAATGGGATACGCCATGATTTGTTTCCCGGTAGGTTTGAAAGTCCGACCATTGCTCCAAGCATGGCCAGACTGCCGACTTGGAAGCAAGCGCCGAAGAAACCCACCATGCGGCCTCGAAGATGGATAGGCGAAATTTCACCAATGTACTGAGAGCTGGACATGAGCGCTGTTCCAAATCCCATAAAGAAACGGCCAGCCATAAACATGGGTAGGTTGATAGCGCAACCCTGAATTATGGCAGCGAATATGACGATTGCATTTCCAGCAAAATTGATTCCTCGTCGACCGATAACGTCTGCAAGTCCCATAAAGGGGGCACCACAGACTGTTCCAATACTCATAAGGGCGTTGATGAGACCATAGGCACTACCACTGGTGCCAAATCCAAGATAGGTGTGCCATGCCTCGAGCGAATTGATACCTCCAATAACCCCCCCAGTCAACTCCGAAGCCTGCCTATTTGAATTATCAGTTCTGTGTAAGCTTCCAACAAGGCAATGCTAGCTTAATACTCACTTGATTACAGCCATGCACAAACATAATCAAGCCTAGTCGGAACCCTGTCCATGACCAGACGCTAAGTGAATCCTCAGACAGTTTCCACAGGTCCTCTTCAGTTAAGCGAGCAAGGGTAACCTCCTCAATGTACTCTTCGCCCTTTAGAGTGGCCATTTTAACCTCATTTTCACTGGGGTTACCCATTGTGGGTCCTCGAAAGATCAAGTCAGGGTGAAAATTGCGTGTTTGTGAGTGTGTTACGAGCGAGGTCAGATGGGGAGGGTCATCCCTTGATATCTCTGCTCTGACAGGAGTCGCTTAACGAGATCAAAGGAGGACCCCAATCAACCAGCCGGATCCATAGCGTGACAGCTCATTTTGCCACGGAGACTTGAAGGATCCGAAGCCAAAATGGAATTGAAAGAAGCTAGCAGTTTTTATTAGGCTTGGAATCACATGGTCCAGTTGGAAAAAAAGAAAGAAGCAAAGATGATTGGCGGTCAATCGCCATGGTGCAAAGCTGGCGCTAGTCACGCTGCGCTGCGGGGAGCTAAAGTAGATTCGTTTGCTTAACCTGGGCGTAAGCTTTTATCCATAAGGCCATTGCTACTGGTTCGCTGGTTGTTTGCCCGAACATCGTGCATATAGTGGAAATTGTCCACCACTAGGGTGCGACTGCGGGGAAGGATCCTCCCATATCAGCACTTAGACCAAATCTGGGGAGAGTCTCTAGCCTCTTTATGACCCAGCGACTTTAGGCTATATGGAGACTTGGAATTCCCAACTTTTAATAATATCCCCGGATATAATTTGCCTGGTCGGGTCCGAGTCACTTTACCCGCCCACAAACCCTTCAAAAATTACGCCAGCTGTTGCCACGCAAAGTCGCTGCTCGGGCCTTGGTAACTTTGATCCTATGATTCATGACTGAACTGTGGTATGAACAGCCTGCGGCGAACTGGGACGAAGCTCTACCAGTTGGCAATGGACGCCTCGGTGCTATGGTTTACGGCCGCACTGACACGGAACTACTTCAGCTGAATGAGGACTCCGTGTGGTATGGAGGTCCACAGGATCGCACACCACAAGACGCCCTAGAATACCTGCCTCGTCTTCGAGGGGCGATTCGTGCCGGAAATCATAAAGAAGCCGAAGAGCTCGCTACTCTTGCATTGTTTGCAAATCCAATCAGCCAACGAAATTACGAGCCTCTGGGTACTTTCTTCTTAGATTTTGGCCATGACACCGCTGAGGTCAAGAATTATAAGCGATCTTTGGATATTAAAGATGCCACAGCTCGTGTCGCTTACGATTATTACAACGTTCATTATGAAAGAGAAGTGATAGCCAGCTATCCCGACGGGGTTATCGCGATCAGGATCCAGTCTTCGTCAAAAGCTCAATTTAACTTGCGATTGACGCGTATGAGCGAGCTGGAATTCGAGACAAATGAATATCTTGATGATCTTTGTGCTACAGAAAATTCTATCACGATGCATGTTACTCCAGGAGGTCGAGATAGCAATGGGGCATGCTGCAAAATCCGGGTACGATGCGAAGACGATGGAACAGTCAGGAAGGTTGGAAATAACCTGATGGTTAACTCATCTGATGCTATTCTGCTTATCGCAGCCGAGACGACGTTCCGCTTTGAGAATCCTAACGAACAGACATCTCGTGAACTTGACCAGGCTCTCCGTCAATCTCCTGAGCAGCTCTGGATAAAACACAAAATGGACTATCACGCACTTTATCGGAAAATGGAACTTCGACTCGAGCCTGAAAATCGCGAGATGCCTACCGACAAACGACTCAAGTACTCCAGAGACCCAGGTCTAATTGCTCTCTATCATAACTATGGCCGCTACCTCCTAATATCTTGCAGCCGCGAAGGATACAAGGCCCTCCCGGCAAATTTGCAAGGAATCTGGAATCCTTCATTCCATCCAGCCTGGGGCGGCAAGTTCACAATAAACGTCAATCTCCAAATGAACTATTGGCCTGCAAATGTCTGCAATCTTTCAGAATGTGAGATGCCACTTTTTGAACTTTTACAGCGCATGGCGAAATCTGGCGAGAATACGGCACGGGTTATGTATGGATGTCGGGGATGGGCGGCGCATTCATGTACAGATATATGGGCAGATACTGCTCCGGTTGATCGATGGATGCCAGCAACTATCTGGCCACTCGGAGGCGCGTGGCTTTGTTACCATATCTGGGAGCACTATTACTTCGTGGGTGACTTGCAGTTCCTCCAGCGCATGTTCCCCATCTTAGAGGGATGTGTTGAATTCCTACTTGACTTTTTGGTGGAGGATAAATTTGGTCAATATCTTGTCACCAATCCCTCGGTATCTCCGGAAAACTCATATCTGGATTCTCACGGTGAAAAGGGTGTCCTGTGCGAAGGATCGACAATTGATATCCAGATTATCGATGCGATCCTGAATGTCTTTGAATCTGCTATTCAGAAATTGAATATTACTCATCCTCTGTCGGAACGAGTCAAAGCTACACAGGCTCGACTACCCCCGATGAAGATCAGTGATGTTGGTTACCTCCAAGAATGGGCTCTTGACTACGCCGAGGTCGAACCTGGCCACCGCCATACCTCTCATCTTTGGGCTTTATACCCGGGGAATACCATTACCCCAGCAAAAAACTCGGCTCTGGCGACAGCCTGTGGTATGGTTCTACGACGTCGTGCTCAAAATGGTGGTGGTCATACCGGCTGGAGTCGTGCGTGGCTCATCAACCTACATGCTCGATTATTAGAGACGCACGAGTGCAAGGAACACTTGGATCAACTGTTGGCTGAATCAACTCTACCAAACTTACTTGATAGCCACCCGCCATTCCAGATCGATGGCAATTTTGGTGGCGGCGCAGGTATTGTTGAAATGCTGGTACAATCCCACGAACCCGGTATAATCCGTCTTCTACCTGCATGTCCAGAGGGATGGAAAGGTGTGATTCGGGGAGTACGTGCCCGGGGTGGGTTTGAATTGGATTTTAGTTGGGAAAATGGGCGTGTCGTAGGCGATGTCCGGATTACTTCTTTTCCAGGAGAGAAGATTATTATCTATTTCCCTGGTGAAAATGGATCACAAGTAGAAATCGACGGACCTGGTGTTCATGTAATTAGGGCTCCATAGAGTTTCTAGACAAATTCAATGGTTTAAATTCATAAACCTTCTATGTTCCCTGAGACTCGCTCTCCGCGATTTGTTGTCTACTTACCCCGCCATCCTACGAGTACTGCATGAAATAGCCCAATGACCCCTCAATACTTTTCCGACTATCCCATATTTCCTAATTCGTCACGGACGTGGCTCCGCTTGTTCCATCTACTCTGGATAAATAAGAACGTGGCTTGACCATAAGCACTCAATTAACCGAGAAGTCAATCCTCAAAGGCATTTTCTTTCCAGCTTGAGCTCTGTCATACTAGTAACCGATTCAATTTCTCTCACGCACAGGTTTAATCTATAGATTTAATACGGAAATGGATCTAAAATCAGTTCAAGACCTCGAGGGGGTTCTTCGGCCTGACTTCTTTCACGGGTATGCTACGGCCGCGCCGCAGACTGAGGGCGCTTGGGATAAGGACGGCAAAGGAATCTCAATCTGGGATAAGTTTGCGCACACCCCTGGCAACATCTCGGACGGAAGCACGCCCGACGACGCTGTCAGATCATATGACCTTTACCGCGAAGATGTAGCGCTTATGAAGTCCTACGGCGTGAATGCCTACCGCTTTTCACTTTCTTGGTCACGTATTATCCCTCTTGGGGGATGTAATGACCCCGTCAATGAGCAAGGCATCCAATTCTATTCAAATCTTATCGATGAATTGCTTCAAAATGGAATCACTCCATTTGTCACCCTCTTCCATTGGGATACCCCGCTGGCCCTCGAAGACCGATACGGAGGCATGTTAAACCAAGCCGCATATACGCCCGACTTTATACGGTATGCTCGAGTATGCTTTGAACGCTTCGGTGATCGTGTCAAGCACTGGATCACATACAACGAGCCTGGTGTATATACTCTAGCCGGCTATGCCGCCGGTGTTCACGCTCCGGGGCGTTCTTCTTTTCGCGAACGGAACGCCGAGGGGGACTCGTCTGTCGAGCCATTCACCGTTGCGCATACACAGCTAGTCTCCCATGGACATGTGTCCCATATGTATCGCAATGAGTTTCAAGCACGTCAGCAAGGGACGATTGGAATCACGCTACATGGCAACTGGTCTGAGCCATGGGATGAAGAGGATCCACTTGACCAGGAAGCAGCTGAGCGAGCGCGTGAGTTTGAGATTGCCTGGTTCGCTGACCCACTATACAAGACTGGTGATTATCCCGCATCGATGAGAGCTCAACTAGGAGACCGGCTACCCCGGTTCACCCCTGAGGAATCTCAACTCGTTCTGGGGAGCTCGGAGTTCTATGGCATGAACAGTTATACCACATTTTTCATGAAGCACAGAACATTGCCCCCGGATATAAATGATCACAAGGGGAATGTTGAGATCCTCGATGAAAATAAGCAAGGTGTACCACGCGGGGAAAAGAGCGATACGGAATGGCTCCGTGCTGCACCTGGGGGCTTTCGAAAGCTATTGAACTGGATATACAGCCGTTACAAAATACCAATTTACGTCACAGAAAATGGTACCACTTCCCCGGGAGAAGTGGCTCCGACAGCTGAGATCTTAAACGATACTTTTCGAATTCGATTCTTTGAGGGTTATGTGGGCAATGCGCTCGCGCGGGCTGTTAAAGAAGATGGTGTTGACATTCGTTCTTATTTCGCGTGGACATTTACCGATAACTGGGGTACGTATCTATCCGAACAATTCTTCTCATCTTTCATTTCATAGGATGCTAATAATATTATCAAGAATGGGCTGCTGGCTATGGTGATCGTTTCGGTTCAACGTGGATTGATTTCGAGTCTCAAGAGAAGAAGCGTTATCCCAAGCAATCGGCATATTACCTTGACAAACTCTTCAGGCACTTGATTAAACAGACTTAGTAGCTTCAATGTGTTACAGTGAGAGTATTCTTTATGCTCACTATTGGAATCCTTCGGCTGTTCGTAAATTGTATTGAAGCGCATCGAGCAAGAGCCTTGTCCTCCAGTCCGATCCCATGAGCTTTAACAATTGATTGAGAAATGACTGAGAAACACACTAGACTAACTTTTTGACTCCAAATACGAATGAAAATGATAGGCTGGTGAACAAAGGAAGGCTCTGTGATATCGGCCGGGAAGGCCGAGGTAATTCACTCATTAGCCGCTTAGGGCAGGTCATTGCGATTGTCTAATCGGCTAGACCCCGCACGACTCCAACTACGGGGGAAAGCGCAATGGAGACGAGATAAGGACGCGAGGGAGAAAAGACTTCGTTGTTTTCTCCGAATCTCTCTCAAATTTATCTCTTGCGGTGAGGCAACAACAGACCTTGATAATGCATTCACATGCCCGAACCATCATGAATCCCATCAAAATTGAACTCAGTGGGAGTCCTCACGAAGTACGAAATCATCATTTTAAAGCGATTTACCTACTCATATTGGGTTCATATCTGACTTGCTCTATTAGATTGGTTTCCAACATGGTCGAGCGTTGCATGAACAAATTCGCAGCCAGATAAGCATCTACGACAGAATGTTTCAATTTACCTCAAGATTATCTTGGTCAGATGTTCGCGATATCTCAAAGGAGTTTCAGTCTCCCTTACAGACCTTGGTTCCGCACATTTACTCGGAGATGGAAGGAATCGCCGAGGGTGCAGAACTAGACATATTTGATATCATGGCCCTCAACTGCAGAAGCGAAATCGCCCTGGGGAGATTTTCGGACGGTTGTACAGCTTTAAGTTGGAAGAGATCCAACAGCGCACAAGTCTTATCACAAAATTGGGACTGGACTGCAACTGTTAAGAAAAACTTGGCTATGGTATCGATTGAACAGACCGGGAAACCAAAATTATACATGATTACTGAAGTAAGGATCCATGGATCGAATTCCCTCAGATGCCATCCACGATTATTCCCAAGGCTCTCTGGCTAATCAAATCAATTGTCGCTCTCATTCAGGCAGGTATTGTTGGTAAAATTGGCTTCAACTCGGCCGGTGTTGGAACATGCCTCAATGCGATCCGAGCAAAGCCTATGATCAGCAGTAAGCTTCCTATCCATGTTGCATTGCGACTGTGCCTTGAGAGCACCTCCGTCGACAGTGCTGTCAAAACTCTCGAGTCATTAGGTGGGGTTGCCTCCGCCCAGCATATTTTGATTTCAGATAGCACCAAATCTTTGGGTCTGGAGCTTTCGCCAGTAGGTAACAAGTATCTGGCAGAGGATACTTCGGGTCTTATTGCGCATAGCAACCATTTTCTTGAAAACCATTACGTTGAAGAACCGCCGTGGCTTCCAGGCTCGCCGATTCGCCTTGACAGAATTAAGTATCTGGCACTTGAGCTTATTGCAAAAGGTGTGAGTGGAGATGCCATCACGCCAGGTCTCTTGCGGGAAAGAATCTTTTCCGATACATACAACGCCCCACAAGCAATATGTGGCAAGGAAGACGAATCCCGTCACATCTCCACACGGAGTAGCTCTTTATTTAACATTGTCATGGATTTAAACTCTGAAGCGCCGAGTGCAGAAGTGGTATTTGGACGGGTAGGCTCTGGAGAGGAAGGGCCGGTTCTGAAAATGCCTTGGGTATAGCCGAAGTGTGGAGAGCTGACAGAAGTCAAATAACGACATCTAAATAAGAGTATCGTGTGATGGCAAAATTTTTGATAGTGCAACGTCAAGATAATTGCTATTAGTGATACCTTTTAGTAGTCCAAATTCACTTGCGTGAGGTCTCCTATCTTATGTGGGCAGCATCTCACGATCATTCGCAAATTCGGCATTGTCTCGGGTAGCACAGGATCATGCAATTAAATCCCTTTCCCGAAGATCCTTCAGCCGTTGAGCACACGATCGGACCCGAGAGGAAAACGACAATAGTACAGGAATGAAATCGTTGAGATGGCTTTTCTTTGCTCCTCCGGAATGGCACTTGATCACGAAGACAAAGTGTTGGCTACGTTACTGTTGCAATAACAACCAAATCGCCAGCATTCTTGTGCGACTGCCCACCAATTCACCACCGAGTCCAGTCGCTGGCCACAAAATGGGGAACGCAGAAAGAGTGTATCGAGTGATCCATTCCGAATTGGCTGCCCTTCGTTTCTATCGAGGAAAGTAATCTCTATGTTGGCATGTCAACGCATTCTTCACCGAAGGAAACCAGAGTTCGTATTGAAATTGTAAACTGAAAAGCAAAAACAAGAAATAACTCTTGATCTCGAATTCACAATTAGAACAACGAAGTTAAATGAGAACAACAATACAAAAGTCTTTTAGGAAGATGCACCGGAAGAGGAATGCCGCAGGAACAGAGGCGCTGCGTTGCCGGGACATCCTAAATCTCAAAACCAACGCCAAAAATGCCCTCAACAAAGCGCTCAATAATTGCAATCCAGCAGAAAATCCCACGAAAAGCACTTTTTGCCCCGCTCAGTATTTGTCAACCGCTGGTGGTCTTGGTCGCCGTTTTCTCCAGCTGTTTGAACCTCCACTCGTATTGTGTCAACTGTCTTTTATCGGTTGGGGAAAGGGGTTTTCCCTTCTCTAGTAGTTCCTTTTCTGTCTGTCTCAGCATATCCCAGCGCTTCAAAATCTTTGCTTGTGCCTCCGATATCGAAGCCAGATTGGCATCTTGGGACGCCATGCGCTCCTCTGCTGTGGAGTGGTATGATAGCTTGGCCATGAAAAATGCCATTTCGGATTCGTCATACTTAAGACCCTGGGCCTCGGGCATGGCGGGGGCGTCTTGGGCTGGCTTGGGTGGCATTTTTTATAGGCTTCAAAGATGATCAGCAACGTGGGTATCGGGTTGGCGAAACCAGAAGAGAGATTGAGTGCTGAGGACTGTATCGCAGAAACTTTGAGACAGGTAACTATTGAAGTGACAGGTGATATGCTCTGAGCGCCCTTAAGTAGAACCCTTTTTTGGACCATCAATAGCGAGCGGGTCAAGAGTGGCTTTTCTTCCGAGGAAACAATATTAAAATGGTGGTAAAGAAAAAGAGGAAAGTTAAGATCGGGGAAAGAAAATGGACGCTGAGAATGTAGCAAGCATGGGGGCCCGGAGACTCTTTAATTATAATACGACAAGATCGTGGCAGCTGTTACTGTCCTTCACAGGACACCGAAGCTTCCAATACCCGGCAGCCACACCAGGGTGCTACCTAGGAGGAGGGTGGGGGGGGGGGGATGGCCAGGAAACAATCTCAGGGTGCAGTACAGATAGAGGCATCAGACCAGACTATCCCGGAAATAGAAATGGATTGAAGCCATACGCAAAAGGAAGTTTATTCAGCTCACTGTTAGCTCTGCAATTGTGGCATTCATGGCAGCTGGCGGAACTCGATGAGCTGGCGGCATGCCTCGTCCAAAGGTGACGTCCCGTTTGCCTCAAAGGAAAAAAGCGAAACTTGTCTCGTGATGACAGTCAAGCCAATAGGTAGCCTTGCGGTGCTCACCGAACTGCTCATTGGTAGCTCCATGGTGACACCGTTTCCCCTCTACCGTCCGCGCAGCCAGACATGCATAGCTCGAAAAGTCTGCTGGAAGATGAGGCAGATCGGGCGATGTATTAGTCCCGAACCAGTCCGTATGGTCGTGCGCATCCATGCTCAGCTTCTTGAGGTGATATAATTTGACCGTCGGAAGCTAGATTAAAATACTGTATAGAAATTTGTCTCACAGACGATTGAGGGTGTTAGTCCCAACATTTCGCATTGAGGCAAAACAAAGAATTGTCTGAGAAAAACCGTCTTAACCTTGCCGTACAGAAATGATCGGAACATCTAAAAATCAATTGAATGAAACGTCTGGACTGATAGAGGAGCAAGCTTGATTACACAAGAATAGAGTTAATGCGCCCTGTCAGTCATCTAGCCTACTTTAGGTCTCACCTCGATTTGTTCCTTCATTTTTTCTCCAAACCGAACAAGTTTAGATCAAAAGAGCTGCCACTTCGAACCTTCGATCTCTGCATAGAAGACCGCGACGGTGGGGTATGGCCCACGTATTGCTAAATTTCCGGTTTCATCAATGCAGGAGATGTTGTGCACCCGGTGCATGATTTCGAGCATATGAAGACATCTACCATGTTACAGGCAAAATACACAGCCTACCCTGTTACATAAAAGAAGCCATATATCAAACGTCATGATGTCACAGAAACAATAAAAATACTAGTATGTATCCTCACGCTTGAGTTGCCCACGACACCTCCAAATACCACGCAAATGATATTTGTTCATTTAAATGACCGCGACATCGGATCATTTGTGAAACTACTCCAGGGCTAGTACTGGATGTGAACAATCCGTTGATCCCTCCAATTTTCCCGGCATACGCATGACTCATGTCTCAACAATGTCAATCATCGAGCAAGAATTTCTAGTTATAAGAAGCAAGAGGGCTTGGATCGGAGCTGGAGTAAGGTGTTTGAGAACGTCTTAACTCGGTACCTGATCTGTCTGTGTGACCCTTCGTACCGAGAGGTAGGAATCCTTTGCTTTATGATTGGATTTCAGGCTAGTGGCGAAGGCTTTCGGAGAAAATATTTCACAGATCATTCAGGGCCAGGATCTATGGTGGTTGAGACAGGGACCGATTGGCTTAGCCTGTTCAGCTTGCTCCCTGGGCCCCGATGGCGGAGACGGCACCATGCCTTTCGATTAGCCGTTGATCTTCAATAACTCTAAGATATACACTCTGAGGTTTCCTTGTTTTCCATCCCAAGACGATAGAAGACGGAAGCCGTGCTACAGAACAGGCATCCCTCCGACGGGTAAGTACATTTGCATCGGAACCGATTCCGTTTCATCCACTGTGCTTGGACACCTTCAACAATTTGACTCTCATATACGTGACATGTACTCCCGGAACTAACTCTTTTCATTCCCTTTTGTAGTGTATAGAAATAAATTAATACTCAAGTGCAGCTGTTCAAGTCCTCACTAAAAGGCACACTGGGAGTCAGCCACCCTCTGGTACCTATCTTGAAGCCGGGTAGTTGCAGTGAATTATTATCAGCGCGCGTACGGACATTGGCTTATTAGATAGTTCTTGCCTTTCACAAAGTCCAAAAACTTTATCAAGTGATTGCAGTACCACTGCATCATTGCCTGGGCCCGGCCTCTCCTGTGTTGCCGCCGCTTATTTTCCCTTGGTTTCAAGATAACGATGGCACGTTGAGGAGTGTAAAGCATCTAGGCCTTGTTGGCGTAGAGTTATATTAGAAGAGAAAACCGAACCTCGGCCCATATGGCCATGTGACCGGTGTGTAGTGAGTTTCGACTGCAATATCTGCCGAGTCACGAATGTCACCGAGCGTGTCGGTGACATCTTACGCGAAGACATCATGCCAGTAGGGCATTCCTGAGTGCCCACTGGCAGGTGAGAGCTACCAAAAGGTAGTGATAGGTGTCTGCACATGTCTCTTGTCTAGGTGAACTTGTACAAACATAGATTTCATGCGCAACTATGAACGATGAAACCATTAGACTACCAACTTGAACTGTTCAAAATGTCTTATTGGAAAAAGCCGCACAGAAAGCATCGCCAAATAAGTAACACCGCGGGTCGTCAATTCGTTCAGACAAGGCACGCTAGGAAAATATGACACTATCATGATAAATCAACAACCTTGCACCCAAAATCAAATAACTAAAAACGATTCCTGAATGACGCCTGATCCTTCTATGTCCTGGTGCAGTTGTGCAGGGTATCTTTTGAAAACATTTGGGGACTATTTTCCCCCAGAGTTTGAAAATGGTGTATGTTTAATATCGTCGGATCCCGACGAAGAGAAGCTAGTTGGGGTACCAGCATCGGGCCCAATACTTCCCCTTGATCCCTTTTGTCGAATCGCGAGTCGGGTGCGTGGATGTGAAGGAACGGGGGCAAGGTATTTGTCCAACAGCTCGCTTAGAATTGGGGATCGTACTGGCTTTGGAAGGTAATTGTTCATGCCAGCCTCAAGGCATTTCTCTCTGTCGCCTTCGATGGCACTTGCAGTCATAGCAATGACGAGAACCTCATTCACGTTCGGATCGGGATCTCGCCGAAGTTCCCGGGTAGCATTATATCCATCAAGCGTAGGCATCATGACGTCCATCAAAACGATATGGAACGGGTTGCCCTCTTTGGACTTCGCACGCAATGCATCCACGGCTTGTTTCCCATCGCTATAGGCTTCGCAGTAAAGGCCAAGTCCGTTCACAAATTTGACTGCAATCTTTTGGTTGATAGGATTGTCTTCAGCAATGCAAACTTTGATTTGGTCGCGCGGGATTTGGGTGAGGTCCCGAGCCTTGGCCTTGGCCTCTTCTTTGTGTTCTGTCTGGCTCAAATCCTGGGACCAGGCCGCCTTGACGGCTGTCTTCTTGGGCGCTTTATTGAATACCAGGTGGAATGTCACTGTAGTCCCAATACCGGATTCGGAATCAAGCCAGATGGCACCCCCAAGAACATCCTCAATAATTGCTTTGCAGATACTGAGGCCTAGTCCACTGCCGCCGTAGGACCTTTCCGTTGATGGGTCCGCCTGGGAGAAGGGCCGGAACAAGCGCGCCTTTTGCTCCTCGGGAATACCGATCCCGGTATCGGAAACTGAACATTCCAAGCGAACACGTCCTTTGCCTTCTCTAGCAACCTTCGCTTTGACCGTGATGGATCCCTTAGGCGTGAACTTGTAACTGTTGCTCAGCAAATTCATGAAAATTTGGTGGAGACGAACTGGATCTCCGAGAACGACAAGCTCTGGTGGAACACGCTCCAGGTCCTCAATTGTGTCCAGATCGCGTTCTCGGTGGGTATATCGAAGTGCACGAATAACCTCGGAGATTGTCTCCTTGAGATTGAGCGGAACTGTGGAAATCTTCATCTTCCCAGCTTCCAGCTTGGAGAAGTCGAGAATATCGTTGATGAGCGTAAGTAAAGTGTCCGCGCAGACACGAATGGACTCCACATATTCATCCTGCTCCTTGTTGAGCTGGGTACCCTTCAGTAGTTCAGAGAGGCCAATAACGCCATTCATGGGAGTACGAAGATCGTGAGAGATATTTGCGAGGAAGATGGACTTTGCTCTGGCCGCGTCTTCCTTGAGTTTGACGTTATGTTTGGCCTCGGCCTCGGCCACCTTCGCCTTTTGCTCTGCATCGCGGGCTTGTGCGAGGGCGCGCTTTTGCGATTCTATCATAGAAGCGTTCTTGGCACTAACCTTGCGAATCTCGCGGAAAAGCAATGCATTCGATAGCGAAATTCCAATCTGGTTGCACAAGAGGTGCAAAACGACAACGTTTCGTTGGGTAAACCAATTTGGCTTTCCCTCCAAATGAATAACACCAAGTAGATGATCTGCCTGGACAATCGGTAGAGCGATGACGGATCGTCCCACGGGAAAGTTGGCATGGTAGGCCTCATTCACATTGGAGAAGCGCTCGTCCTCAAGTACATTGTGAACGAGAACCTCTTCCTTTGTACGCATGACGTAATGAGTGATCCCTTCTGCCATGCGACCCTCTAGTTCAGAGAATGGCCGACCATCTGGATATGATTTCTGGCCCTTTTCAGCGTCTGCAGCTGCGGCAATGGCAAAGCCATGTTCGTCAAAGTCCGTGGCAATGACAGCAAAATCGGACCCGTTGCAGGACTCGAGAATAATCTCTAGCATTTTTGTGAAGAGTTTGTCGATCTGGAGTTCCGATGACATGACCTGGCTAGACTCGAGGATGCTGGAGAGATCGATGATGTCTATCTCGCTGTTAGTACGCTGGAAGTTCTCTGGTTCCAAATAATGCACTTACCTAGCCCGACGCTTGAGATATCCATGGACCTCTCGCCTGATGTGACACCGTTTTGCTCGATCCAACGCTGCCTCCTTTCATCTTCCTCAATCTGCGAAGGAATGACATTCTCCTCTTGGGCAGCATCACGGGTGATTTCGAGTAATGAGTCAACTGTTTGGCAGCCAATATCGACTGTTCTGGCAGATGTGGCAGTTTTGAGGAGCCATTCATGCTTCTCTGCGAGCATTGAAGCCTTTCCGCTGGCACTTATGGAGCTCCACGCTGCGATGGCATCTAACATAACAGATCGAGCAGCTCGTTTTGCACCGCGCCTCACCAAGAACTCTCCCTGCAACTCAAGGGCAAGCGCCTCCTCCAATGGCCATGCATGGATTTGAGAGTGGTCAGTTGCGGCTTCATAGGCCTGAATTGCAGCACTATGATCATTTCGAACTTCAGATAGGAGGGCCTCTAGTATCAAGGCCCACATGCCATAGTTTGCTTCTGAGGCTGTCCTAGCAAAGTCAATCACTTCCTTGTATCGTAGAACCGTGTCCATTTTGCCGTCGAGATAGCCTTGGGACGGAAATTCGTTGTGAAGTGTCAGGATTGATACAGCCAAATAGAAGTAAATTGCGTAATTCACTCGTAAAGACCAAAGCCTGTATGCGGTGTCTAGGAGCCGTGTTCCGACCTGAATGGCTTTGGTATGGTGACCATAGAGACACAAGGGGATCATGGAAAGACCTAGGTAAATATCGCGAGGCCTGTCGACGTTACTGGCGTTGGCTTCCAGATAGGCCATGTACGAACTTGTTTTGTGGTTGTCGTCAGACATGACGTTGTCAGCGGACCGATAATCTGTTTTGCCTTGCAAGGATCGCGCAACTTGTCTATATTCATAATATCAGTGATGGCCTAGGCCAAAAAGATTCTGCAAGGGTGGTACGAACCGAACACCTAATATACTAGCGCCACCGCGCGTGTCCTTGCCCCAAAAGGGAATTTCTTCTGGGGTTTCGACACAAAACACCTCCAGTTGGGCCATGTCGTGTCCGAGATAGAGCCTAGTCATGGCCATTGACGAAATGCTCACAAGAGTGATATACGGGTCCCCCATTGAAAATGAAACCTCGAGCGAAGCTTCAACGGCCGGCAAGGTCGATTCCATAGAGACTCGGAGATGACTAACATAAAGATTATGCACGATTGAACCTCGGCTCTGGGTCCAAAGCTCAGAACAACGTTCAAGCAGTGAGAGAGAAAGATCGCTAAGTTTGGCACCAAATTCGAGATCCTTGAAGCGGCTCAAGGCGATCATGGCAAGATGGGAACAGCCGATGGAGATTTGCGTGAATCCCCCTCTGAAAATATGAATGTTCATCATTTCAATGGCCATTCGGTAGAAGGTTAAAGCATCATCCCAATATGTGACGGCCATTGCCTCAGACATGACAGCTCCTATCGTTACCACATCGGGATCCTTGCTGAGCGGCCTCTGCAAGATCGCATCAAAGTCTGCAGATTGAAGATACGATTTCAGTCTGCGGTAGGCGGCATCACACTCCTCGTATGAGGTTGGGGCACGGAGATGAACTCCAAGCTCATCCAGGCAACTAAGTAGTGATTCCATCGACCGAGGATGATCCCCCAGTTGAGCAAATATCTTGGCTTTGATCACCCAAGCCTTTGACTTGCTCACGGCATCTTTGCCGTGAGAAAAAAACAGCGTCGATCAATGTAAGGGCGTCGTCATTTTGACCTTGAGACCACGCCATTTCTGCTGTCGCAATGAATAGACGCATAGTTTCGTCGTAGTAAACGTCAATCTTGCGAGGGTCCCAAGGGTCATTTTGAAGAAGGGCAATGCAGTGGCGGAAATACCAGAGAGCAGTGGGTCGGGCTCCGGACTGTGCAGCTGTCTGGCCAGCTTCCCATAAGATTCGTCGATAATCAACTCTTCGGCCAACTCGGGATTTGATGGTTCGTGAGGCGAGGGCGACGTGATGAGCCATCGAATACAGGCTTCGAGAGTCATGATAGTATTTCATCAGAGTCTGAGAAATGATAAAGTGCATTTTCTCTACGTTTCGGCTTTCGCCCAACGACAGAGCCGCCTGTGCGAGGCGGTCATTGCCAAACTTGAACTCATCATCGGTTTTGCCCGTGTTTAGAAGGTTCGTCTGAACCAAGTACTGCAGACCGACAACCATATCACCTTCCGATTGTCTCATCAACGTGGAATTTCGCGGACAGCTGAGATCAATGTCTCCATCGTCGTCGTCCGAGGAGAAAAGAAATTCGCTCGTCAGAAGTTTCTGGACCAACGAGAATGAAAATGGGCTTCCCAAAAGAGCACCCCAAACCATGATTGATCGCGCAGCAGATGGAATCTCCTGTAGGCGTTTCGTGAGGAAGCCCAATCCGAGGCCTTCGCCGTAAACGGGGGCCACAAATTCCGTAAATATCCTATCGAGATCGAAAAGCCACTGCGAGTCCTTCCAGGAATACCACAGGCAGTTCTTCCGATAGCAGGTTTCAAGCATCACCCTCACATAAAAGGGATTTCCTCGACTTTTTTCCTGGATCACTGCAGTGAGTGGAGTAAGTGTCGAATTGGGCTCTTGGTGCATTGTGGCAGCAATAAACTCTGTGATGTCGTCTTCTCCAAGTGGCTGGAGATCGATGCGGGTAACGTTAGAGCTTTCCATCTCGAACAAAGCTTTCACTTGCTCGGAGGCAATCTCATCCTTGCGACTTGTGAGGATAAGTACACAAGACAACTTGGCCCTGATGATGTTCAGAACAAGTTCCAGCGTCTCGTCATCTGCATACTCGAGATCATCCAAGCACACAGTTATAAGCCTGTACTGGCATATTGTTCTCATTATCTCCAAGAAGATATCCATGAGACGCATATTGTTTGATGCTGCATTCGATAAAAAGAAATCTACCGATGATTGGCCCTGGTCAATCCAGGGAATATTGATACGCTTAGCTGGTTCACCCTTGGTAGGGTCAATATTGGGTTGTGAACTGGCAGCAGTCCGCAGTGATGATGGCTTGTACTTCACACCAGGCGACATGAGTTGTTCGGGTAGATCCAACACTTTGTGAAGTGTAGGCCATATTGGACGTAGAGCGGTTCGGATACTGTCATGATATTCGGTCGTGACATCTCTTTCAGAGAAAATCTGACGCAAGAGACTAGCAAGGATCTTGGCAAAAGGCTCAAACGGGACTCTTTTCGCACGATCAAGCCTTGAGATAGCGATAAACCCGGTTTTACGGATGACTGGCTGTACCCGATTCAGGAGATCCGTTTTTCCAATGCCGGCAGCGCCATTGATCGTGATGACTTCACATCGTCCATTTCGGCGAATCTTTGCTGAACTCTTCTGCTTTGCTAGAGAGCCCAGAGTGTCATGTTGACTAAAGGCATTGGTTGAATGCTGGCTGTTGCTACCGGCGTGGATCGACAGATGGCTCTCTCTGTCAGTGTTGTAAGAAGATCGAGAATGAGAAGGACTTTTCGTTTTGCTGTATAATGAATTCGGGGGTATTTCTTGACTGGTTGGGGTTGGCCCAGATTTGGGTGTCGAGGAAGCCGCGTCACTGGTAACAGTTGATTCATGAGTGCCGACATGGGCCAGATGGTAGCTTGTCGCATTAGAGCTCGTCCGAGGTGGTAGGTGGAATGATCCAGAATCACTTGACATAGAGGCAAGCTCAAAGCTGTCAACACGGCCGTCCGAAATGGACGATGTTGAAGCTAGTGCGTGCGCGGTTCCTGGACTTTGTGATGATGCTTTGGCAAGAGCAGATGATTGGCGCTTCTTGGCCTTGTCAATCACGCTGCAAATAAGTTCGTACTCTCTCTGTCGACCAAACATTCGTGATGGAAGGGTGAAAAATGAGGAGACATCATGCTGTGCAATCCGAAAGCTATTCAAAGCTTCGCCGTCCCCATCACCTAACAAGTGTGCGATCTGCATCAAGTCTTTCTTGGCAGATGAAATGGTGTGGTAGCGATCATGGACCCCTTTCTGTGTCATTTTCTGGATCACGGCCGAAAGTGCATCAGGTACATCCATTCTCTTAGAAGAGATGGGTGTCAACTTCTTGCCGAGTACATTCTGAACAACGTCCATAGGGTCCGTGCCCTCGAATGGCAATTTTCCAACCAGCATTGACCAAAAGAAAAGGCCCAGGGCGTAGATATCGGTGCGGCTGTCCGGTTCTGTGGGCATTCTGCCTGTCTGTTCAGGCGCGATGAATTGCAACTTGTATTTGGCACCAAGCTCTCGGGAAACCGAGGACCAACCTTCGCTGAGAACATTGTCAAATGAGCGGGCACCGTTGCCGATATTTGAGAGCTTGACAGCCCCGGTTTCAGCGCAAAAGTGAAAAGCGTCACCACGAATCTCTCCGTGCACCGTCTTCATCCCATAATGCAGTATCTCTAGGCAATCACAGGCACCAACAGCAAAATCTAAAAAAGCGGGCAGGTCGACTTGTTCGTTGGGGGTTACGTTATTGTCGCCTCTTGCGCCAGCAACAAATGATGCTGGGCCGAAGGTGACTATATCTCGCAACATGTCATGGCCAGGATGCTCAAAAATGGCCACAAGGAGTGTAGAATTGTCGCCAGTATCTGGGGGGCAACCTTATGAGGTCAATAGGCCGTACGGTATGATTGCAATCAGGGTCCGAGGATTGCACGATCGATCTCAACATATGAAATTCGCGTTCCAGTCGGACTACGTTGGTAGAGATGCGCGCAACAACTGGAATCCATATTTGCTCTTGTTCGCCTCGGGAGACAGATAGCTCACTGCTAGTTTCACTGACACTGTGGCGCCGGTTGAGGGTGCGGGCGGCCAGACGAAGGTCGATACGTGGGGAATTGCGAGTGAGGCTGGATGGGCCGGACGAAGCGGGGTTAGAAGAGGTCGCGACCGGGGTAGATAGATCTGCTTCAATAGCATGGCGGAACCCAGTGATGTGCCAGTGGTTATAGGTCGAGTGAAAGGGCTCCACCGACTGGTCCCATGTATAGCCCGGCAGCTGGCTAAGACGGTCGAAAAGCCGGGCTGGCGGAAGCGGCAAGTCGTCGCTGAGGTGATTGCTTTCCTCCATCACCAGATCAGTAAAGTTCCTATTGCCTGAGCGACCATGGGCAGGACTCATCGGGTCCGGGAGAGGAGAGTTCGAAGGTTTCAGGCAACGAGATGCCGCGGTGGGATGAACATGAAGGCTGTGCGACACGTGCTAAAAGATGAAATTCAATTATCCCGTTGCGATGGAGTAGAAAGGCGACGTGTCTTGAAGGTTGAAGGACGACAGACGACCACCACAGGCCACTGACAGCTAATAGGTGATCATTGATCATTGTGAGTGACTTTACCAAGTGGTGCAGCGCATATGCGGAAAATCTATTCTTCCGGTGGGCCCAGATCCAGACGCACACGGTACTTATGGATAGTTAACTACTGTACTCCGTAGTTAGTTATCAACTAGTTAGTTAGTACTAGTAGTACTGGTATCGTCTATAGTAGAATTTGGGTCAGGGAATCTTCAAGTTGCCCAGGTGGCTGATAGTACCTAGGTAGACGAACCTCGGAACATACTAGTAGTACTAGTATCTCCTAACTGACCAGTACCTGGGTAGGTAGATATATTTCTTAAGTCAAGTTCCAATCTTAATGCCTTCCTTGGCAGAGGTCTATCAGCTACTAGTACTACTACCTAGGTAGTTATTGTGAATTGCGGGGAGAGCTATTTCTAACTTCAAGGCTATCTACTAGTACTACTAGGTAGACCCCGGCACCTGATGCGACTTTGTATGAAATTTGAACTTGAATCCATATCGTAGGTACCTAGGTAGTAAGTTGTTATAGTCACTCCGAGTCCAGGGTACCGACGCAGAGTACTCCGTACATACATCATGCAGGTAAATGCCCAGGTTGTCCCGTGCCAGCCTTCTCACTTTACCTGCAGCCGGGAGGCGGTTATGCCTGTAGCCTTGGGATGTTCACCCTATGATCTGAGTCGCCCTCTAACCATCTCCACCCCCGCATATCTTGATAGTCCAATACATGGCTAGGACAGTCCGAGTCTGTACTGAATTTACTTCACACCTTGCCATACCTGAGGCTTCAAATTCCCCGTCGATAGGGATTCGAGAAGGAGACGCCAAGGCTGTACGGCGTGACGCAGTCTCAGCCACGAGCCGGCATGACGTACATATCGCAATCGCTGATGGGAGGGGTAGAGGTAGGGGTAAAAGGGTAAGGACTTTCTTCAGCTCCTCACCTTCCGTTTGACGGGGTTTGAAGACGCCGCGGCTGTACGGTGTAGCTGCAGGCCAGTCGGTAGGGCTGGAATGGCCGAAATGCCCACCAGATGACGATGACCGACCGTATTTGTGCTGATCAGATGATCCGGTGCCCTGATCGCGGAGGTCTGGGGCATTCATCTCTGGGACGAAGTCGGTTGCGCTGCAAAAAAGGGGGCAGACCCATTCTGGGGTGCGATCTTATTCGAGCCGTGCGCCACCAGTGGGCGATCACTCTCGTTTACGGTTTCCAAGAGGGCCGCTCCCCCAGAGTCCTAATTTCCCTAGTTTTCTAGAACAACCGCTAAGGCGACTATCGCTGCACCACGACGTAGCTAATTTTGGGATGGATCACCAAGGGAGAGAGGTGATTCAAATGGTCTGAGACCAAGTCGAAGAATTCCAGCACTCTGTGCTGGATCATCAATAAACTCATTCCGGGAGGTGTATAGAGCACTGCGTACTGTGCTGTATGTACTAAAAGACCCATGACGTTGAAGGTTGGCTGGTGAACTGTGTGACTAGGGAAATCAGTCTGACTCTCGCTAGATACGGATCCACTGGGACAAAAATATTATGATATGGCCAGGGGTAGCAGATGTCCAACTATGAACACACGATGAGTGCCAGTGGACTGTCACTGGCACTGGCACTGGCACTGGCAACTGTCAGCAGTACCATCCTAGTCAGTGACTAGTAGGTACTAGTATTAATGGGAATTACATATGAATGCTACAGGAGGTGAACGTATGTACCCTAAAGTAGGAGACTAGGACTTGTCATTTGGACTGACGATACTCACTGCAGACCGTGGGCGGTCAGTGGATCAAGGTATCTGTACTGTATTGGTACTGAGGCTACCAGTGGCAGAAGTAGAAGTAGAAATAGAAGGGATAGAGGAGAGGTTATCTAGGGACTGGAAATAGAAATAGAAATAGAGATATAATACCTCAGTACTTATATATCAGCCCTGCTTTGTAGAGTACATACACTTGTAATAACTACTACCTGTAAACTGTAAACTGTATGTAAACTGTAACCTGTATACTCTACGTCATAGAATCCACTTGGTTCCCAGCGCCTCCAACCCACTAAACGCCCTGGGCGATCCAAACAAAATGGGCGGGTACTCCAGTTCGAACTCCTCTCCTCTTTCTCTTCTTCTCCATGACTGGCCAACCACACATCCTTCTCGCTCTCTCCTCTCCCCCCCACTCCCACTTCCTCTCCTCCCCCAACCCTACGTGACCTTCCTATCCAGCCTTCAACATCAAAACCTTATTCCTTACCCAGTCTCGGATTCTAAATCGACCTGACGACAACTTCGCCTTCTGACTCCCTCTCCTTGGTTCTTGCCAGCCGTTTTCCGATCCTAGCTCTTGTTTCCTTCGATCTGACACATACACATAATATACACACTCACTCACACACACACACACACACACACACACACAAACACACAAACACACAAACAAGAGCCGACAAACCCCTCTCTTCCCATTTCATCACCGGTTCATTGTGACCGAAGAATGATCGCCCGAGTTCTGAGCTTGCTCACTGTCGCCCAGGCGTACTGAATTTCTCTTCAATCGGAAGACCGAGAGAGAGAGAATGGGGGACGTGCATAGCAGGAGAACTCCTCCATTTCCTTCCCCAACCGAAACCGTCTCGCCCGTCGCCGTCCCACAGCCTCATAATTTGCAAGTATCCCGATCATCCTCGACCTGCCGACAATCCTACGAATCTGAATATGTGACTGGAATCTCGTTGGATGGGCTGACCCGTGGTGTGGATACATCGTTGAAGGAGCCGGCACGAAAACCTCACTTCTCGCGCGGAGATTCGGCTGAGCAGGTGGTGGGGTTGACACCAGTCACAGAAGATCACCAGGTTGCAAGTGACCGACCGGAAGACCAGGGCCGTTCATCCCAAACTCTGAAGCAGTTGCGCAGACAAATGGAGGAGCTGCTGGTGTATCAACAGATGCAGCAAACTCAGAATCAACACTCGTCCTTGACGCAAACCGGAAATTCATCCTCACCTCCAACCGAAACGCCTCGCAAGCGCCGTCTGTCAAACTCCTCCACTGCAGATACCCCGGTCACAATAGTGCAACCCTCCTCCGGATCCATAGGTTCCGGGGGACAGTAACAGGTGTCGACAACTCTGTTTCTGCCGATCAAATCGCAACTCAAACCCCATCCTATCCCTTCCCACGTGAACAAAACCAAGTGAAACCCTCCAAAGCAGCTATGGAGAAATCAGGACCCCAGGGCCAATTTAGGTTGAAGTTCCCTGCTGACAGGCTCCGTGCTTCACCCGTAACCCATACACCCGACGGAAAACCGACGTTACCGAAGCTGCCAGGTCAACGGCCGCATTTTGGCCCGCCACTTCATGATACTGCCACCGAGGATGCAGAAGTCCCGACGCCCAACCTTTACGACCTGACTTTGAAATTGAATGCAGATCCGGGACTTGAAGCATGGTGGACAAATCTCATTGAAATCTTGCAGGCGCATTACGGGGCAGAGCGTGTCACGCTGGCTGTCCCTGGAGATGCGACGGACCTGGAGAATGTGCCATGGGGACAAAAGGCAATTTTCAATGGACATGCGGAGGCGGTTACGAACAATGGCCAGACCCTTCCCCCTCAAGTTGGCTCTGCCCCCGAGACTAAGAGCTCTCGTACCATGAATAGTGATGAATTGGGGCATAGACAAGAACAAGATTCGGGTTTCAAGCCCAAGACCCCAGGGCCTGCTCCACTGCTAGGTCGACCGGCTTTAGAATCGCGTCATTCTTTCGCCGGGTTTCCCCAGAACAAGAAACACCGCGCAATGGAGATGGATCGACAGCAGCATCTGCCGAAGTCAAACGCCGTCAAACAAGAGAAAAAGCATGCTCGAATTGCCGAGCAGTCTGAGCTGGTGGGCAGTCACAATGATTTCAAAGATTGGCCAAGAAACTCACTTGATCCGATTCGACAAGCTGTTTTCCCGATCCCGAGACCACTAGAAAACGAGTCTGATCCACTTATCAAGCGTACTGGGGTTGTCAAACTTTTTGGTCGAAGCAATCCTATCGTTCTTACCCGTGAATACACGGAACATGAACCTACTCGCATTTCGCAACCATCAGACAGGGCCGCTCGGAGCCCATTAGAAACCGTGCAGGTCACGCCTGGTGCCGAGGTGCCTGGTGAACACCAATCCATTGTTGGACAGCAGAGGAACCTCATCGCTACTAATCTGCGAGAATTCGACGAATACGAGCAAATACCACAATCTCCTTGGTCTCAGTCGCCTGCACCATCACCTGCCCCACGAACACACGCGGATTCCAACCCCTTCTTCACCAGCCATACGGTTGACGAAATGGCCTTTGCAAAGAACCCTCCTGAGCACGACTATTCCAATGTACAGCCCCTGGAGGCCATTGGAATTGATTACTCAAAGACGGTGGTCCACGTTCCCTTGCTCCATGGCGGCCAATCTAATCATGGCTCCTCGTCAACTTTGAGATTCCCAGTGGCCATCGTGTCACTGCTGTCAACAATAGTGCCTTATCCATCTAATCTCCGGCAATCACTGTCTCTCCTGATGCCGCACCTCACAACCTCGTTCTGTCTGGCCCAACAATACAGCCAGCTCGAACGCCAAATAACCTCCAAAGTGGAAGCGCCACGTTACGGACATTTATTGGGACTAGGGGGGAACCTTTTCTGACGCAAGCAGCGAGCTAGAACTTGTGGCGGGCCTCAGCGGCCATGTCGGCTATTCTGTCGGCGACGAGAGTTCCATGTCTGCCCGGGCTAGCCTGACTAGTCCTAGCGATCGCTCGTCAACGAAGTATAGCCCTGCGGTCTCAAACATGGGAACGCCAGGTTTTGACCTTGGTCAACTTGGATTAGGTTCAAACAATCAGTCTCCGGCTTTGCGCTCCAGCGATATCTCAGATGGTTATTTCAACGTTCAGAATCAGCAGTCCAAGTTACCACGCGACAATATTCCACAGCAACGTCACCGTCTCTCTAAGTCAACTGTCAATACGGATTATACAGAGAGAACGGCCGGTAAACTTATCACGAGCGAAGAAAACACCCCACAGGATCCCAATTTCAATGCATCGCCTCTAAATGAAATGCGGCCACCATCGGCGTTTTCCCCGACTCAGCAGCCGTCTCGCCAGGCGTCGACGAATTCTTTCTACAACCAGCTGCAGCGCGATTTAACCAGACCAATTCCTGACACTATCGCCCAGTTAATGCTCAACTCTGTTCCCCTCCATCTTTTTCTAGCAAAGCCTCAAAGCGGTGAGATGATATGGACAAGTACCAAATTTGACGCGTACCGAAGAAGCAAACCGCAGGAACAGAAACTCCGGGATCCATGGCAAAACATCCATAATAGCGAAAGGGATCATGTGTCGAGTGAATGGGCGAATGCGCTGCGAACTGGATCGCAGTTTACTGAAAGAGTACGCGTCCGGAGGTTCAATGACGAAACCGCCTATCGCTGGTTCATCTTTCGGGCCAACCCGCTTTTATCAGCAACGGGAGAGGTTTTGTACTGGATTGGCTCTTTTCTTGACATTCACGAACAGCATATCTCTGAGCTCAAGGCCACTCAAGAGAGAGAGAAATTCGCGACCGATGCGAAATACCGCGCATTTTCGAATTCGATCCCACAGGTCGTCTTTGAGGCTACCGAGAATCGCGGACTCATATTCGTCAACGAACAATGGAACCTGTATACCGGCCAGAATCTAGCAGAGGCTCTTGATCTTGGATTTGCCAAACATGTTCACCCCGATGACCTCGAAAAATGCGGTGGAATCTCTTCCCAGACAACACAAAGCCCTAATGACACTGCGCCTCTGGATTCGAGCTTGGAAAACCATGGTGTTTCATCTGCCCTTGACGAGTTAGTGAGACGTGGTGTGGCATCCTTACAAAGGGACGAAAACGGCCGCGTGTTTTACTCGACAGAGATTCGTCTTCGATCTCGAGGAGGGGATTTCCGTTGGCATCTAGTTCGTTTGGTATGCGTCGAGACGAGCAGCTTTGGTAGCGAAGAGGCTTCTTGGTATGGAACATGCACCGACATCAACGACCGAAAGAACCTTGAACGGGAGCTCAACAAAGCAATGAGTCAGCTGAACAATCAAATGGAGTCGAAGACCAAGTTCTTCAGCAATATGTCCCATGAGATCAGGACTCCCCTGAACGGAATATTGGGCACCATTCCATTCATTCTCGACACTCAGCTCGACAGTGACCAAAGGCGAATGCTTGATACCATCCAAAATAGCTCCACTAATCTTCGAGAACTCGTGGACAACATTTTAGACGTATCTCGCGTGGAGGCGGGTAAGATGTCTATGGTGAACTCGTGGTTTCATGTCCGGTCCATGATCGAGGATGTGATCGACACAATCGCTTCCCGGGCAATCGACAAGGGTCTCGAGATAAACTATCTAATGGAAGCCGACGTCCCTGCCATGATGATTGGTGATCGATTCCGTATCCGCCAGGTCCTGATCAATCTCGTCGGCAACGCGGTCAAGTTTACTTCACAAGGCGAGGTCTATATTTGCTGCAGCCTCCATCGCGACACAGCCGTCAATTTCAAAGAAACAGAGGCCCTTTTGAATTTCGATGTCATTGATACTGGCAAAGGATTCAGCTCAAAGGACGCGGAGCGGCTGATGCAGCGATTCAGTCAATTGGGAGAGAGTGGGTCTCAGCAAAATGCTGGTAGTGGCTTAGGTTTGTTTCTCTCGAAACAGTTGGTCGAAATGCATGGCGGTAGCCTCACACCGAGCAGCAAAGAAGGCCAAGGTGCGAAGTTCTCGTTCAATGTCAGAGTGGATGCACCCCCTCCTCCTTCGCCCTCCGAGAGACCCCAACTGCTTCGTCAGGCCTCCACTGCTTCTAGGAGGCCTGTGGGATCTAGGACTACGTCGTACGATCGGTCCTCTCTCCAAATACCGAAAACCTTCGAACCCAAGCTCCAAGACCCCACTGCTTTATCCCCGGATCTCGATTCCCCGACAACCCAGTCGCCCATCGATAGCGGTGGCCTAAACCCTCCTTCTGCTATGTCCTCCGCCCTTCCGACCCCGGATGTATCAACTTCGCACATGTTTCATCAATTCGGCCAAGAGCACAAATCAAATGCAAACACGGCAATTCCTTCCCCAGAGGGTATTTCCAACGCATGTGCACACCAAACGCCGTCGCCTTCTGAAGGTGCCTCGGTTTCAGGCAAGCTACCTGTGAGCTCCCCAGGATTTCCTTCACAAGGACCTTTCTCTATCGTCATATTGTGCCCGCTCGATAATACCCGGAAAGCCACCCAGCAGCACATCGAGAAGGTCGTCCCGCATGAAATTCAATTCAAAATTACCATATTACCCGATGTGGATGAATTGAAGGACGTCACACAAGGCCACGGTGCAAAGTGCACCCATTTGGTTCTGAATTTGCCCGCGACAGACGACATCTTGGAAGTAATTCAGCAGGTCTCAGAAATCGATGCGAACACAGCACCCGTGGTAGTCATAATTTCGGACTTATACCAGAAACGCCAAATCAGTACTCGAGTCAAAGAACTGGCAGCCACTGGCAAACAGGTGTTCATCGTGCCGAAGCCTGTCAAGCCTTCTGCTTTCTCCACCATCTTTGACCCTGATAGTAAGCGTGAGTTGAGCAAAGATCGCAACCAAGACATGGCGCGAGAGATCAACAATAACTTCAAGACCGTGTCGAAGATGGTCAAGGAAGTCCTTGGTAACAAAGGTTACCGCATTCTGCTTGTCGAGGACGATGAGACCAACCGTGATGTACGTATCGAATCAAATTACCCAAAACAAACATGTTGAAGTTACTAACTTTCTAATAGGTGATGCTGAAGTATCTTGACAAGATCAAGCTGATGTCAGAGACTGCTTCGAACGGCCAGGAATGTACAGACATGGTCTTTTCCAAAGAACCGGGCTACTACTCGCTTATCATCGTGAGTCAACTCAGTGTCTCCCTATAAACAGGTCTGCCGATCACAAAAAGTACTAATACTCTGGATCCTTAGTGTGACATCCAAATGCCAATCAAGAACGGCTACGATACTTGTCGAGAAATTCGGGCATGGGAGCAGAAGAACCATTACCCCCAGATTCCGATCATGGCCTTGTCAGCCAACGCGATGACCGATCAGATCGAGAATGCCGCACAAGCAGGCTTCAATGACTATGTCACCAAGCCCATCAAGCACAACGAACTAGGCAAGATGATGATGGGCCTTCTCGATACCAACAAACCGTTGTTGCTTCTCCGCGACCGCCTTCACCCAGGGAGTGACAAAACAGCATCTGCCCGGCGTTGATGCTTCGCTCTTTAGGGTGGCCACGGTTTCCATAATAGCTTTTGCATTTTGTGACCCTGGCGTTTCCTGCAAATTCCGCTCGATATCCCCGCCAATTTTCGCATTTTTCCCCCTGCATTTTATCTCCAACACACGATCAAGCGGATACCTCCTTTTTGCATGACTTCTTTCCCCTTCAAACCCGTCTTGGTGAGCACAGCGGAGCAACAAGGAAATATGTGAAATCTTTTGAGGAGGTTTACACATGAATTTGATTCCATCAACTTTACCTACCCTTTACCCTGCGCACCTCTTTTCACTCCACACTTTGTCCAAGAGGCTAGAAGGTTTCGTGCATTGCCTGCATTTGCATTGGGAACTGAGCATTTCTCGCAATCCTACAGCGTGTCCATTGGGTCGCCAGACGCCACTGTATTATTTGATTTTTTTTTCTTCTTTTTCTTTTTTTTGTGTGGGTTTGCTTTCGACTCTGGGCGCTTGGCGTCAATGCTGGGATACTGCCTTTGGCTTTTTCGATTTTTTTTTCTCCTCTTTCAGCCTTGTGTTGCTTCCTTTTCCACGTGATACCAGATTACGAGCGCGCAACGACACCTTTTTATCTTCTCAACCTGTATTTATCATTGACTTTACCTTGACACCCTGGCTTTCTTGCTCTTAATGTTGACTAAGCTAAAGAGGACCGTTTTTAATTGATGAAAAGGGCCGGTGACCTTGTTATTCAGTTCGATTATCTCTACTATACTCTAGTATGTACTAACTTGACGACCTAGTCACAGCCTCGGAGGAACAGTCATCAAGAGGCTTCAGGTCTTGGCCATCGAGCCCTAGCTCTAGCTCTGGTTTTAGAAACAGAGTTAGATCAAGATGAAGTCTCAATCTGACAAACTCAAGTGCAACAGGGAGGGTGAAAGTCAAGGTTTCGATCAAACGCCATCAAAAACATAATGGGAGTCACCAAAGGGGCTGTATGCAAGGCATAAAGCCAAAGGACCTCGGCATGAATCACCAGGCTGATAGTAATCGGGAGGGTATCCTAATCGGGGTAAGGGCTTGTCGAAATTGATTTTGTGCAATGTAAGATAAGAAGCGAAAGTTAGTTTTTAGTGCTTTACGAGCTCGAAAATGTCGCAAATGTCGACAATGATGGGCATTTTTGATATTGAAAAGACCGGCCGTGGATATCCGACAAGAGCCATATATATTGTTGAAACTGACAGCAAACGCAGGCCCTGCCGCACATTCAGCAGATCATACCTGGGGCAGCATAGGGAGAAGGAGGGAGAAAAATTGAACCATGGCCCAAAAAGGGAAAGAAGTGTGAGTTGGCCATTGCCAACCATCCAGTCATGGCGCTGCATGTGGCGGTGAAGGAAGCGTCGAGAGCGAAAAAATCCCCGCCTCAACCCCACTCTAGTGCTGGCAAATTATTTAGGCCGGAGTTTGCTGCGATCATCGGGAATTTGGGGGCTGCTCCAAGTTTGACAGTCAATCAATAAAAAGGATGATAATATGAGTTGCTGGTCACCGATAGAAGGCGACATCCATATAACTGAGTTCAAAACGGGTAACATTGGGGATGGTGGGGATGAGACCGTTGTCTAGAATCCTTCGGATCGAACCAGAGGGTTCGTGTAACGCATTTAACTGAATTAATAAGTTGACGGCATGCATGTATATCCAGGAAAAGGGACAGGTTCATTGCAATGGTCGAGGTGTGTGCGTTGGGGAAGTTTGTAGATGGAGGATGGGGGCATAAAGTGTGCAGGCTATGAGTTGAGTTTCCCGAGAACCAAAATCTCGAAGTTCAGGGAGGGGCGGATCGCATTGCGGTCAATGACCGGGGAGACCGGGGCTATGACGATGAGGATGGTGGAAGAGGTATCCCGTTTGCAATGCCCGATGTTGGCGTGCGCTGCGCGTCATTGCTGTGCTGTGCTGCCCGATGGCTTCCCTCGGTGATTCTTGCGGAGAAGGGAACAGAGGCGATGGGTGGGAACCCAATTGTGGGCGGAGTACAATATTTGGCGTAGTATCCTTGATATACTTGGAGATGAGAAATTAAATGGAGGAGGGTGGTGTCACGGTGTAATTCGACCGTGGGATGCGTGTCAACGGGGCATATCGTGCCTCGTCAGGCTGCAAGGCATGCAGAAAGTCCAAGACCAAGGCGCCGGGGTGCAGAAGTGAGGCATCGACGGACATCAAGTAGGATAATTCTCAGGTAGTATTCAGGGTACCCTCTGCTTCTGCTCGGTAAGGTCCCCATAGGTGCCCGGCGGCGAAGGGGCCCAGAAGAGGACTCTTGGGACCGGCATGCTTTTCCTGTCAGCAGGCAATCAGGGACCAATGATGAGAAAACGGCCGTCTTGTCTTGTCTTGTCTTGTCTTCTTTTTTTTTTTGTCACGAATTGTATTGCCGACTGCCTGCAGAGACGGTCTTCATTTGCATGATTTTGAGGACAAGCAAGTCATTCGAGCATGTATGCAGATAAAGGCGGGGACACTGCTGCTTTCCACACCATGACGGCGTCTAGAGCGCTTGTCTGTGCCGCATCACAATCATCCTCGCCATATGTGCCACTAATAGATCGACGAGAGAGATTTTTGTTCTGACAGCCGCATGGTAGGCGGGCAGACGGGGGAGCAGGGATCAGCGTATTCAGGCTCTCTTTGCCTCGATGGGCTGATTTTTGTCGACCTAATCCGACCACACGCTGGTCACACAAGTATTCCTTTCCCTTCCCTTTTCGTTCTTTTTGACCATATGGCTCCTAGGGTGACTCTTGCTCGAGACTTGGCTCTAAATGGCTTGATGGCCCACAGACATGTCGGCCCAGACGCGGGATCCCTTCGAATCATTGCTGGGTTCTCCACGGTTCGTTCGTTTGCGCCCTGCAGTGATGTCCAACTTCACTGATCTTCATCCCGTGTGACCTTCCTCCTTGACTTTTGCTGCCTGGCAGAGGTCTTGTTTTGAGTTTATAATTTGGTTTGAATTCCAAGTGATGTCAGGCCGTGAGACATCTTCTTGTTTCGTTGCCGCCTCCCTGTTGCCGAAGAGAAAGAATCGGAGGGAGAGTCGCCGGCTCATGTAGTGGCAGATCCGCGCACGACAAGCCACCGTTAAACGGTCTCTGAATCCATTATTGGAGCATGTCCGAACAACTTGAAGAGAGAATAAGTACCTATTCACTGTATTAACAAAATTGCAGGAGTGAGCCAGGTATAGGCAGCACAGAGTTGGATGTCATACCGGTTTTTTCTGTAGTTCGCAGCTCCTCATCAGCCTCACCCAATGCGCAACTGAACCCGGACCCTCGATCCCATATCCGAATCCCCAGCCACCGAATTTCAAAAATTACAATGGAAAATAGAGGGGTAGTGTGAGAACATGGGGGGGCATGCGGGAGCGAAGAAGGCAAAAAAAAAAGCAAAAGATCGGAGAAAAGAAATGGGCATAAGGCTCATTTTTATACTTCCCACCCCCAATCCTTTCCTTCGACCCAACTCAGGGTATTCCCACCCTCCACACTTCTCCAATTCCACTTTTCTCATCCAATTTTTTTTTCCTGTTTTTCATTTGATTCCGCTCGGACCCAGAAAGCAAACATACTTTGGGGAGGGGCCGCGTAGACCAAGACCGATGATCCGGTGGGAGGGGCGGGATAGCGGAAGTCTGAGTGGAGGATGGCTGGTATCCCACCAGACACATTGCCTCGATTCCCACCCCGAGCGGGGTTAAAGCGGTCCAAGAGGCGAATCGGCGGACAGACACGGAGGAAGAGGTGCAGCCGAAGAGAGGGATTGGGGTTTATGGTGCGAGGGCTGCGAAATGGCCCAATGGCTCCGTCCAGACCCAGCCCATCCTTGCTCTCTTACCTTTGCCTTCTTCGTCTCAAATGGGCCCCGCCGGATGGAAGACTTTCCGCCGATGGCTATAAAATCCCTCGTCTTGTCCGGCGGGCCTTGCTCTCCTCCTTCTTCCTTGTCCATCACTCCTAGCTGACCCCGTTTGCACACTCCAACCTTAGACCTTCCAGGTGTATCTATATTGCTGCACCTACCCTGACCAAAGATCATCTCACCCACTTGCATACCGTTGTCAATTTATCTTGTTGAGACATACCTGTTGTCCTAAACTTCCAACAACGACATAAAACAACAACATTCAACCATCATGGCTACTCAACGTCACTACTACCAGCCCTCTGCTCACGCCATGAACATGCCATCCAAGGCTCCCGCGCCAGCGAGCATGTACCCAATTTCCAGAGTTCCAGGATCCCCGCCTGACTACTCCGATGCGAGTACTACAGCTGGTAGCCGCACCTCGGGTGGATTCACCTTCAGCTCCGCCGGTGGCAGCGGTGACTATGAAACCAGCCCTGCATCATATTCGGGCGTCGACGTCGTTGACGTTTTAAACGACCGTATGCAACATTCTTTTGATCCGACGCCATTGGATCGAGGTCTGGTGAAACAAGCTCAAACGTGAGTATTTCCTCTCCTGGCGCAAGATTCCATGAATCCCGTCGCTCGCCCTTCTCCATGACGAAAGGCGTTGCAGCGGTTGATTCTAGGATGAAGCCGAGACTTGAGAATTCAAAAGCTGACCGGTCTACATGAAATAGCTCCGGGCATCTGAACGCAAAGCAGCAAGAGCTTCTGGAGTTGCAAGCCCTGGCTCAGCGACGTTTGAAGGGTGTTCGCGCCAACTTCAATGAAGGACTTAAAACAGCACGCGAGACAAAGCGTGATTTGGAATGGACTCAAAAGCGCGTCAGGTAAGAGCACAAAATCATTATCCCCAACACCCCTTTGACGACCCCTGAGGTGGACGTTGGAAGCTCCGCCCCGCTCCGCGATCAGGGGTGATGCTTCCGCTCCGCCGGGGCAGTGCTTGGCACGTGCGCCGTTGCGATGATCGACGCGCCAGCTAGCGGCCACATGCGGGTTCTAGAAGGCTGACAGAAGCTTGTTTTGCGCAGTGCTTTGAAAGGAAAGGCCGAGAAGGCCCACCCGGACGAATACCGTCGGGCATCGAAGAAGTATACCTACGACGATTACTGAACGAGTGCCCGAGATGCCCCCGCCGGGTCCACCGGCATGGCTGTGGGTGGTTCAACCTTCTTTTCGCTTAATCTAACGACTATAATGACTTCGGATAAAATCGGGATCTTTGGATTTGGGACGGACTAATTTGATTTTTGCTGGTTTGGGTTTGGTGTGTTTGCTTGGGACTCTGTATATCTTTCGTTGAATGCGCGCGTGGGCTGTGTCATCTTCATATATTAAGGCCTGTTGTGGTGTGGGATACCTCGAATCGTACTTGTTCTTACGTATTTACCTGTAAGAATGAAAATTCCAGCCATTCAGTAGCCAAAATTCTTCGAGATGATATATTTCTCTACCCTAGCTCCGTATTGAACAGCAATTTGAAGCCCTAGGGCTGTATGTCTAGGGCTTGAAGTGGCCCCTGAGCCCAGGAGTGCTTGGCCGGCTTCAGCATTGAAGTCGGGGTAGCTAGGGCCTGCTGCCGAATAAGGTTCAACAGTCTTGGGCTACCCTATGGTAGCTCGGACACATAGGATATTGTTTACCTCTTCGGGCTTTAGTGCATGAGCTAGTGTTTCAAACCATGTAAAACTATAGGGGTTGATTCAGCATGATTCTGGGCCAGGCCCTCGACACACGATAAACAACCCGAGACAGTCAGTACAGCATTACCGTTACTAGGATTAGGTGAATATTCGTGGGTGAGACGTAGCAGCAATGGACGCAATATCAATTGATCTCAGATCTAGTTACAGGGCGCAGGCAAAGACTCCATAGGAAATATCCTCATACCAATCGTGCAGACCCTATCTATTTATATACACTCTAAGAAAAGGACTGCTCCTCCTCAATGGCCCTGTTGATGACACGCACAAAGCGGCCGACCTTATCTGTATCCTGCTTGGCTGTTTCGATTCCGAGAAGGACCTTCTTGATACCGACGCTGATACGGCTTTCATCCGTTAAGCCACCGATACCATCTAGTGCCCGGGCGATCTCTTGGGCATCGAAGGCTTTAGATTCCTCCATGACGAATCGCAGCTCGGCAAAGGTCTGCACATTGGGAACCATGATGTCCGAGTTGAAAGAGTTGTAGATATCAAGCTGCTTCATCAAAGCACGCTCGGTGGTCGTGGCCAGAATCAACAGGCGCCGTCCATGAGTGGGCTGCTTTCGAAGGAAGACCATCAACGCCTGGAGCACGCTGTTACTGAAGCGAGGGCCGATAGGTACCCAGTCGATAATTCGTTCGATGTTGTCAACAACGACGATACTGGTACGACTCTTGTAGGCACTGTCAAAGATGCGACTAATGTGCGCCACCTTGGCCGGTTCGCTGAAGCCAACCATGTCTTCAGGGCTGATCAATTTGACGAAGGGGAATCCAGAGTTGATCGCTATCTTCGATGCCAGAGCGGTCTTGCCGCTTCCAGTAGGGCCGTGCAACAATACCGAGAAGAGTGGAGTGGACTCTTCCTGGCTACTGACCTGCTTGACGAACAGCTCACCCTCGCGCATAATCTCCTTGATAGTCTCGGAGTAATGAATCATGCCATATTGGATGCGGCTTGAAAGCTCCTCCTCGGAAACACCAAAGGCAGGCTTGACCTCATCAAGAGCTTTGTGGAAATCGGCCCGGTTCACTTTCATATTGACGACATCATCGTTGATACTTGCCATAGTGCCAACTTTAACATGACGGGAGAATGCAAAAGAAGACGCGGACTTGACCAAACCAGCGATTTCAGCACCAGAAAAGTTCTTGGTCAGGTGGGCAAGCTCCCCAAGATTGACATCAGTATCCATGACATTGTTGGTACGCATCTTCTCGGTGTGGATCTTGAGGATCTGGCTTCGGCCCTGCTCATCGGGCAGAGAGATTTCCATGTGGACCTCTAGACGTCCAGGACGTAGCAGAGCCTCGTCGATCATGTCCATACGATTGGTCATACCAATCAGCAAGATGTTGTTAAGTTGGTCAACACCATCGAGCTTTGACAGCAGTTGGTTAACAACACTATCGCCCACACCGGTGCCACCACCTCCGCCACTGCCACGTTGCTTGCAAACCGCATCCAACTCGTCGAAAATGATGATATGCAGTCCACTCTCATCGCCTTTCTCCTTGTATTCCTTCTCGGCGTCTGCGAACATCTTTCGGATGTTTTCTTCGGATTGACCGACGTATTTATTCAAAACTTCAGGACCGTTGATGATTTTCGGTTCTCTGGCATTCAACATCTTACCAATCTGTCGTGCGATCAAGGTTTTGCCGGTACCGGGAGGTCCATAGAGCAAAAGACCCTTAACGTGATGAATACCAAGTTTCTCAACCAACCCGGGAGGAAAAATGCGAGACGCAAAGGCTCGACGGAAGATGGTGCTGAACTCGGAATCGAGACCACCAATTCCCATGTCTTCAAACTTGAACCCGGGCTGAATGATCGAGTTCGCAGCTGGGCGGCGGTTGGAGGCCTTCAAGTTGAGCCCAGTCTGCGCATCTCGGTAGAAATTGAGCTGGGTTTGCGGCGTAAGCAATCCGCGTGCGATGGGGTCCGTCTCGATCTTTCCAGAGTTCAGATCGACCTTCTCAGACCAATCGACACGTTGAACGGTTTTGATACTCAGTAGAAGAGGGATGCTCTTGTTGTCCATGAGGAATCTTTGCTCGGGCGCAAACAATTGGTTTTGGAAATTCTAGTCTCGTCAGTAAATACCAAGGAAGCTATACCAAGAGTGGACATACTTGAATAACTGCCTTCGCCAGATCATCTTGATCATATGGGACTTCCGTGCGCTTTCTTGCGGACGCAAAGCTGACTTCAATGTCGGCCGACCCCAAATATGCTTGTCCACCTTGGCTGAATTGATCATACAGTTCGACTTTGACGGTATCTCTCAGTCCAACACGCGCCCATGTTCTTTGTGGGTCCGACATGCCGATGCATCCGGGGGGAAATCCGTCAAGAGGGCGTGCGGAGAAGACATAGAGATCATTGATTAGGAGGTAAAGGTCGGTACCATCGCGGGTTGGCGGGATATCCAGAGGCGAGACGGCGATACTAATAAACGTCAGCAGTGATATATAAGTTGCATCTCAATCCACATACATGTTACCAAAAGTATAGTTGTCATTCGGGGCCTTGCTGGGCTGAAGCATCCATGACGGTCCTCCAGGGCGTCCTCCCCCGACCGGTGCGCGGGTCGGCATCGGTTGTGATTGTGGAGGTCTGCCCCCTGATTGAGGTGCTGGGCCACCGTATCCCCTTTGGTCAAAAGATGCATCAGTCATGGGCTCATCGTAGTCGCTAGGAGCGAGCCGAGAATTGAACATGGGAGGCTGGCCGTGATCATACCGTGGTGGTGCTTGGTTGGGGTTCGAATAGCCGCGCGGCGAAGGGCGCCCACTATCCCCAACGGATTAGGACGATTGAACATAATGCACTGTCAATAATCTGGCGTCTAGGAGTTGGAGCTGTGGTTGAGGGTTAAGAATGTTGCGGTAGCGCCACCGTGGTGTTTTGAGACAGCGTAGGCAACACCGTAGATGGAGACCCCGGTTCAGGATAGATGAAACGTGTCCGGTTATGAGATGGGAATTGAAAGGATAGGCAAAACTTTGAGGCAGGAGGTGTTGTAAATGGGAAGATGAGAGAGCTCCAGGAGAAACGAACTGGGGAACTCAGCCACTCGCAGTTGGACGACGACCCCATCGGGCTGACCTTCAGTGGGGTGGCCTTATCGATAAAGCGGGTTCGGGCTTGGCACTTTCCCCGACCTTCACCTTCCTTCTCTGCATCTTCTTCTCTTCACTACTGAACAGGTCGCTCAAGATGCCTTTGTGGGTACATTTCCCTCATATCCTACTACATATCACTAACAGTGTTTGAAAGACATCTTCTAGGCAAGAAATCATGGAATGTCTACAACCCGGATAATATTGCACGTGTGAAACGTGACGAGGTTCAGGCACAAGCCCGCGAAGAGGAAGATGAGCGACTCATGCAAGAGGTCGATGCTGAGCGACGGATTAAAATATTACGTGGCGAGCGGCCACCGACGCCTCCACCCCCGCCTCAGCCGTCTGCTGATACCTATGCACGATCTGAAAGAGAACCGAACGATGATGCTGGCCGGTATCGGAAAAGACGACGCCTGGCAGGGGAAGACGACACGGACAGAGATATTCGATTTGCCCGGGAAGATGCAGAACAAGTCCTTTCCAAAAAAGACGAGCTCTCTCTTTCATCTCAACGAGAGAGAAGGGATCAACAGGTGCCTCTTTTAGATAGCAACGGTCATATCAACCTCTTCCCGGAGGGCTCCAGGAAAGCCGAGAAGAATGCGGAGGCTGAAGCCGAGAAAAAGAAGAAGGAGCGAAGCTACGAAGACCAATATACGATGCGATTCTCGAACGCCGAAGGCTTCAAGGAACAGGCTGGTCGTCAACCATGGTATTCATCTGGTGCACAGGTGGTAACAGCGCCTGATCCGATGTCCAATAAGAATGTCTGGGGAAATGAAGATCCCATGCGCAGAGAGCGAGAAAAGAGCCGCATGGATGTTAATGACCCTCTTGCAGTCATGAAACGTGGTGTGCGACAATTAAAGGCGACCCAGCAGGAACGGAAACTATTGAACGAGCAGAAACGAAGGGAGATCGAGAGCCTGAAGACCGCAGAAAGTTCTAGCACGACACGGAATCGGCGGAGGCGCTCACGGTCTATGGACAGCCTAGATGACTTTAGGCTGGTGGAGTCCGCTTCGAAGGTTGACAGTGAGAAACATCGTAAGGGCTCTCATCACCTTCGCCGACATCATCATCGGGACCGAAGCCGAGACCGAAGCCGAGACCGAAGCCGAGACCGCTCACACAAGCGGTCCCATGAGACTTCGGACCGTTCTCGTCGCTATCGTAGCGATCGACGTGACGAGGACCGCCGAAACAGGAGACACTCCCACAGGTCAGAATCGGGCAAAGCCCCTGCCGGGCGTTGATCAGTCATTGGACCTTACCACTTACTACTATTACTAATGAAATTAGACCTATTCATTGGGGACCCTAGCATAACAACCTGTATTATGGCAATGTCTCGTTGGATGCGCCATTGGGTGCTTGCCCTCGCGCTCAGGCACTCGAGCTCTGCAGCTCGACCTTCACAAAGTGAAATATTTGAAAGTCATGACCAGGTCGTAGAATTCTTATCTCGCTGGGTATTTAATTCTCTATCCATGTATCTAGCCCACGAAATATCAAATTTTATGACAGCATCGTTAAAATCATATCAACTTTTGGATGAAGCGGTATTCACTGAAGCGCCCATTGTTGCTTGCCCGAGGCGTTTTCTCCGCCGTTCCACTCGACATTGATATCCAGGCCACGGTAGCCGTTCTGCTTTCGCTGGTAGCCGACTTTACCAGTGAAAGTCTGGCCCTTCTTCAATGGCTTGGGTTGCTCCTTTGCATGGTCGATGAGAAGGATGGTTTGCATCCAGTGAGTCTCAGTGTCGTCCGGGCCGGTGGTAAAGGAAACAATTCCCTTCTTCTTCATCTCTGAGGGGATGGGGTTCTCGGGCACCGGAGATTCCCTAGAGGGCATGAAGAAGATGTCGAACCAGATGGCGAAACCATCGAGGGCATCAATATCCTCGTTCAGAGTGAACTGGAACTCCTTGATAAAGTTCAGCTCTTCAACGGTGATAGTGTGAAGAGGCAGCGGCAAGAAGATATTGGAGTCTCCTGGAATGGTGGTAGGCTGAATACCACGCACAAGTGCCTCCTCGTAGATGTTCAACAGCATGCTGTTCATCTTGAAGCCGTACACGTTATGCCAGAAGGAGATATGCGACGCAATGAAATCCGGGTCGGCGAAAGGCGCCACGCGGAGAGTGGCGTGAGAGGGGACCATAAGTCCATCGGGAGCCAGGTAGCGGTCCCTGGCGTAAATGACCGAATCAAACATGGCCTCGAAGAGAAGACCGTAGCCCATCCACTCTGAGATGATGATGTCGACCTTCTCAACCGGAAGGGTAACTTCTTCGATCTTGCCTTGGACGCAACTAATCAGATAGTCAGTGGACCTTCGGTGGATGCAAACGAACACAAGAATACATACGTAATCACATCACCAAGGCCGTTGTCATAGACGATTTCCTTGGCACGATCAATGATGTTGGAGTTGTCAACCGAGATGACCTTCTTTGCACCAGCCTTGGCACAGAACATGGATAGAATACCGGTTCCGCATCCAACGTCCAGAACGACCTTGTCCTTGAAGAGGTGCTTGTTTTCGTAGACAAAGTCACGGTAGGCATCAGTTCGGATGGTATCCTTCAGCATGGACTCGTGGATAGCTAGACGGTGATTATCAGGTTAGCAAATTATATATACACATATATATAGATATGTTTGAGTTAAGTGGATGCCAACGTACTGTTGTAAGAATAGGAGCTGAAATAGTCAGCATCCACCTCCTCAGTCTTATCGGTAGTTTTCTTCGCAGCATTGGGCTGCAACTTCTCATCTTCCTTGGTCAATTGATCTTCGAGAGATTGTTGCACGGCGGTTCTGTACTCGGAGAATTGAGTCTGCAAGCGCTCCAATTCCTCCTGTAGTTCCAGAACCCGACGGTCGGCGTCACCACCAGATGTCTCATCAACAGCCTGTTCCTCAACAATATCGTCCAGACTATAAAGAAGGGCGTCGTCCTCGAGAACGGGCTTCAAGTAGGCATCGTCTTCGAATTGGGACTTGGAAGAGACATCGGGAGTCTTGTTACCGGCCTTAACCTGGGTGCGCACATAGTTGACCAGCTTGATTGAATCCAGGAAGTCAAGATCTATCGCAAGATCGAATGAATTAGTCTCAAATCACATTTCAATCAGAGGTAAAATTCGTGGCTTCCGCTTCGCTTACAGAAGAACGAGAACGGGAACCGCAGTGGCGGGAGGGATACATACCGAGTTGCTTCTGGATCTTCAGTAGATCAAAGTTGTGCTTGTCCTTGCAGACCTTCAGCATGGAACGAACATCGGGGTAGACAGTTTCGGAAAAGAGGTCGACGACTGGTTGCGAATCATCCTCCTGCTCGACATCTTCCCAACCTTCCTCGTTGCTCGAGTCAGATTCGTCAGAGACGGATCGGGCATCGACAGGTTGCTTTTCAGCAGGGAGATCGGAACGACTGAAGGAAGCCATAATGCTGGGATAGTAGACTATAAAAGCATAAAGGAATGGTTGGAGGGGTAGAAAAGAAGCCGATAAAAAAATCCGTTATCGGGCCAACGGTTGCCCCGCCCCGCTATTTCCAGCTTGCCTTGTTGTTTATTACGGGAAACCCTGGACCGTTCCAGGCTCGCCCTCTCCTTCTCCAGCTTCTCCAGCTTTCCCTCCCTCTCTCTCCGTCTATATTTTTGGTCATGGCTTTCTTCTTTAATCGTGGCAGATCGCGCCAGCCTGCTGATGTCGCTCGCTCAACGAAAGAATCATTGTTGAGGGTCCAAGAAGCCCCCAATACACCCAAGGTGCCGCCGCTCGAATCACTTGTGATGCACACTTCCTCGCTGACCTAGAACGCAGGCCGATGAAGAGCTGGCTAAACAGCTTGGTCAGATGAAAGTGATTGTTCAAGGAACACAAGGTCGGTGAACTGCGCGCCCCAGGAATTTGAGAGATCCACAAGCAGATGGGTTCTCTGGCCTGGCCTGCCCTGGGCTTGGAATCATGGCTGACGATGAATACGCGATTTAGAGATCAGCACATCCCCCGATCAGGTTTACGCGCTCATTCAAGCAACACTCCAGGAAGACTTGCTCTATGATCTCTCGCGCTCAATCCATCTACTGCCCTTTGAAGCTAGAAAGGACACACAGACCATCTTCTCCCATATCTTGCGCTTTCGACCCGTCTCCTATGCGCCCGACAAAGATCCCCCGGTCATTTCCTATATTGTTCATAACCGACCAGAGATTCTTATTGAGTTATGCCGGGGGTACACACATAGCCAAAGTGCCATGCCGTGTGGTGTGATTCTACGCGAAGCGCTCAAATTTGACGTGGTCACTGCGGTGGTGCTGTATGATCAATCACAAGAGGGGCAGGAGGCCGTGCGTCTTTCGGAATTGAAGCCCAATGCCCCTCAAAACGGCGATGGCGTGTTTTGGAACTTCTTTGAATGGATCGACAAGGGGAACTTCGAAGTGAGCGCTGATGCCTTCACGACATTCCGGGTACGTCCAATTCACAAGTCGATTGTATCGTGGTGGAAAGGTTGACTGACAGGGCCTTCGACAGGAAATTTTGACTCGGCACAAGAGTCTGGTGACCGCATATTTGGCCAGCAATTTTGAGTTATTCTTCGGTCGATTCAACACCATTTTGGTGCAGTCAGATTCATATGTGACCAAGCGACAGAGCATCAAACTGCTTGGGGAGATTCTTTTGGACCGTGCCAACTACAATGTGATGATGGCCTATGTGGAAAGTGGAGAGAACCTCAAGCTGTGTATGAAATTACTGCGCGACGATCGGAAGATGGTACAGTACGAGGGATTCCACGTTTTCAAGGTATGCCTACCGTCGACCATTACGAAGAGTCTCACCCACTAACGAGACCAGGTATTCGTGGCGAACCCAAACAAATCGGTGGCAGTACAACGGATCCTGATCAACAACCGCGATCGGTTGCTGCGGTTCTTACCGAAATTCCTCGAAGATCGGACGGATGATGATCAGTTTACGGACGAGAAAAGCTTCTTGGTGCGACAAATTGAGGTACTTCCGAAGGAACCAGTCGATCGGAGTCGACCCAGTCGAGAGGCCCAGTCCGGGGTCAACACGGCCGCGGTGGTCTAAATTTCAGAGATCTAACGCTGGACGGCTGGATCCCGACGAGTATCTTCACGCCATGATGATTATTCTTATTCCTATTGTTGTTGCTATTATTCTGTATAACCCCAGGGGATGCTTGGGACCCCCCTTCTTCTTGCATTGGAGGCTGATGGCTTGCTGAATTAGCGGTCTTGGCTATGGGCGTTTTGACGCGTTGTTATTTTTCATCTTTTTAATTGCAGCCTTTTCTGTACACATTGCACTCTGCACTCTATAAATAACCATTTACATGGGGAGGACATTACGTTGAAGTGGCACGGAATTGGAACGTTATTGTATGTACTTACCTAGTAGGTACCTTGGAGTAGTAGGTACTACCCAAGTACATATACCCTAGTCGAACGGGGCGTTGGCCATGCTGTGGCTTTTCCTCAAGCAAACCTTCCTTGGAATTACTCCTATTCTACCCCAGACCAGACCAGAACAGACCAGAATATGACAATGTCACGGTTGTTCTAATCTAAGCACCAGTGGGCTCCACTCGAATCCTTTTTTGTCGTCTAGCTCCACTGTTGCGTGGCCCGGTGTTGTGGGACATGATAACTTGAACTCATCTCCTTGCCCCTGGGACTGAAGATTCCAATTTGTCTACCTACCTAGGTAACGCCTTTAACTCGAATTCTGGCAGTTACATTGGATATATACCTATACCTATACGGAGCATCTACTACCTGGTTGAACTTGAATGCTCAGCTCCCTGATTGGAATGAGGTATCCCACGCCAAGCAACTCCACTCCCCGTCTTTTACTAGGGACAAATTCATCTTAATTTCCCCTGCCCTGCGCAAGAATTGGTGATGCGCTCGACTCACATTTCTGCCCCGATTACTGAGCTTTGAGTTCTCGGTTTTGATTTCTGGCTTGAACTTGAATCACGTCGCTCCTTTTATTTCCCTCGTTTCGCAAGTCATGCTGGGATAATGGTGGAAGAGGCCCCTGTATCGCTATCGCCCTCGACCGTTCGCCCGGAGTCACGCCCGACGATTCGCGCCGTCCCCTCTAACGATTCCCTCGCTGTGCGACGCCCCTCCGCCATTCGTTCGGTCTCACTGCCCACTGACAATGCGCCACCGGAACCCAATGGCCGATTGCTGAGTACGAGTGCCTCCCCAGGCTTCGACGATCGTCCCGCCACCGCGGTCGCGGGGCAGGACAACGCCAGACACGAGGGGAATCTGAGACCTTTCACATCCTCGGGCAATGAAAGCCGGTCAAGATTCTCTGAGGATGGTCGATTTGGCGACAACGCGCCTTCTTTGCGCAGTGTCCCAAGTATCGTTCTCAACGACGGGAGCGCTCGCCCAAGCTCGCGCCCGGGGTCTCGACCAGGATCGCGCTGGTCGGAGCGGAAATGGGGCGGATTGAGAAAGAGGTCGGCCGAATTGGAACGGAAGATGAGCATGGAAGAGACCCCTCCAGTGCCCCAGATTGAACCATCCTTCAGTGGGATCAGCTTGGACATTCCTTCGGCCTCCCTAAACGGATTGGATAAGACAATGAAATTCTCACACCGCGGCAGTCTCATTCGAGACCAATCAAATCGGCCGCGCCCTGGAAAAAGGCTAGAGAAGCGAATGGAATCTCCCTCTGAGCAGGAACAGGAACAAGAACAGGACCCCGAGCCGCAGTCGGAGACTCAGTCAATCCAACAAGATGTCGAGATATCACCTGAACCAACCCCCTCGACCGGCACAAATGACACCGACACCAGTCTGCCAAAGCCGACCCCACGCCCCCAGAAACCACAGGGTACCCTTCGCCCTCGACAGACCAGTCTTCAGAGTAGAGCCATCTCTGCCGACGAGGATATGCTCTCCCGGAGAGTTCGATTGATGTATGATAGAGGAGATGACAAAGTAACTGACTCCGACGTTGCAAAATCGATCGCTGCGGACAACGGTGTTCTTTGGGAGGAGGGTGCTACTTCAGATGTAGAAACCGCTTCTACCCCCGGACCCCAAGCACCGGAACCCGAGTCTAAAGGTCGAGCCTCAGAAGAAGTCAAGCGGACGAGAATGAAACGGGAGACCCAGGAGCTCGCAGGTGGCATTGAATACTGGCAAAATGTTGGCGCTGAAGACGTGGATCGCTACGGCTTCATTCATTTTCCCCCAAAGAATGGAGCCGCGCCTCATCCGATCCAAAGGGTCACCACGAGCCTCTTAATTGCCTCCGAGTCACCGCGTCGCAAACGTTCTATTCGGCCATCGAGCAATCGATCTTCTAGTGCTCGGTCGCCTACCCGCAATCTCTCTACAAGCTCTGCAACAGCTCGCCCGTCTTCCTCGGCTAGTACAATCAGTGCGCCGATCCGGCGTTCAACATCTCGTCTACGCTCCGCAACCAATCACCTGCCCCACAACAGAGATCGCAAGTTTACGGACGAGGCCGCTGACATGCTCACTGTCCCAGATGGGAATACTGGCGATGGACAAGACGCTGCGGCCGCGCGTGCGATGCGGAGAAAGGAGTGGGAACGTGAGGACAAGTGGACCAAAATGGCCAAACCTACGAAAAAAGGTCGCGATGGTGGAGGCATGAAGTTTGAATTTGATACGCAGAGTAGCAAACTCATCGAGCGAACATGGAAAGGAATCCCAGACCGCTGGCGTGGAACGGCTTGGTATTCGTTCCTCGAGGCGAGTGCTAAGCGACATCCTAACAGTCCATCTGAAGAAGAGCTCATTGATGCATTTCACGAATTACAATATGTTTCTTCGCCGGACGATGTTCAAATTGATATCGACGTGCCACGTACCATCTCCAGCCACATCATGTTTCGTCGACGATACCGTGGTGGGCAGAGGCTTCTCTTCCGGGTGCTTCATGCCATGTCGTTATATTATCCCGATACCGGTTACGTGCAAGGCATGGCAGCTCTTGCTGCCACACTCTTAGCGTATTATGACGAGGAGCATGCTTTTGTCATGATCGCCCGGCTCTGGCAGCTTCGCGGTTTGGAACAGCTCTATAAATCTGGATTTGCGGGGCTTATGGAGGCTTTGGAAGATTTTGAACGAGAATGGCTGGCTGGCGGTGAAGTGGCCTCAAAGCTGGTAAGAATGTGTGGTAGTCCGGCGCATCCCAGCCCATACACTAACACCTCTTGCAGAACGAAGTGGGAATTCCACCCACAGCCTATGGTACCAAATGGTACCTAACCCTTTTCAACTACTCGATCCCCTTTCCAGCCCAGCTCCGTGTCTGGGATGTTTTTATGCTTCTTGGCGATTCTGAGGACCCCCCCAGGCAGACCTGCGACCGCTTCTGCAAAAGGCCCGAAGAAAAACCCCGGCACCTTTGGACAGGGCCTGGACGTGCTCCACGCCACCTCTGCTGCTCTCATAGATGGCATGCGCGATATAATTTTGGAATCCGACTTTGAGAACATAATGAAAGTTCTGACTAGTTGGGTTCCCATCAAGGACACCGAACTCTTCATGAGGGTAGCAAAGGCCGAATGGAAGGTCCATCGTCGCCGAAAATTGCCCACCCATTGATCACGACTTGGCTTGTCTTTTGTTCTATTCATCCCACCTTTTCACTAATAATTCTTGTTGATGGATGTCTTATACCCTAATGATCGGACGGACTCCCGAGAACTATCTCTCGATGCCTAATTTCTTTATACCCAGTCCAGGCCTTACTCGCGGCCGGAGGACATTGGACAGTGACGATACCACTTGGGCCACTCTATTTGACTCGGCTCCTCATATTCTTAATACGTGTATTTTTACACTGTGACTTCACTCCACGTCTTGACGTTCCTTACTTGTCTCTTTCTCTCTTCATCCTTTCCGGGCCCTAGTCATTTGGGCATTTTTCCAAAACTAATTGGCGGGTTCCGGATCAAGACAGCACTGACTGCTACATACGCTCTCGCGCCTTTCTCCTTGATATTATCCACAAGCTCTCAAGACTTGTACATGCCTCTTTTTCTCCCAAGACTGACGTCTGGCCCTGATTCGCATACACATGATCTCGCCCCGGCCCGTCGGCCCACCCTGATGTCACCTATGTCGAACTTGCCAATGCGTTATTGTGGACCTAAATTTATTGAGTGGGAGCTTCATACTTCTGATACCCATTCTTTTTCATAATCAAGCTTAATTAAATTTAAACAGTTCCATTCATGATCTCCATTTCACGTGAGAAATCTGCAAACCTCACGAATGGTAGAATAATTTTTGTTCTTGCTGCTAGTAACTCTATAACCCTCCGAGTCCTTTTTTTAGGAGCCCGAAGTCCCCCCCCCTATCCCCTTTGCCAGCCTTCGCGCCCAGATTACCTTTGTCAACGTAAGTGGCCTTTAGCCAGTCCTTGGCCCGCGGGTTTGTTCCTAGCTGCTGCTCATATACAACATCGATATCGTACACAGTGTCTAATCTAACAGTATCCATCGTTTGACAAGGACCTTTGTCAGCCTTGAACCAAGACTTGAACATTTCGTCAATTGTTCGACCATCATTAACACCATCTGCCATGACGAGCAGGCACTCCCGCTTGATGCTCGCCCAGATACGATTGAATACCAGACCAGTCGACTCCTATTTCACATGCACTGGCTGAAAGCCCGCACTGGCGGCCACGTCCATCAAAAAACGGAAGATGGCGGGATCAGTATGACCACAGCACATAACTTCGTAGTAGGTCTGGTCGGGCGGCATGTAATAGTGGCCATTGCAGATGCGATAATTGTTCACTGTGTTGACGAACATTGGGCTTGAGCGCAGCGAGGAAGAGTTGGTTGTCACGACACAGTCCGAGGGTGCGAGTTTATCTACCTGGCCCTTGATATCAATCTTCATCTCCAATTTCTCGGGAATAGCCTCGATGGCCATCCAGGCGTTATGTGTCGCCTCCTGCAGCGAGGCTGTCAGTCGGATCTCGCCGGGCTTCGTGTCTAGCTTTGCTGCTTGCTGTCCCTTGTTGTCATTGACATAATCCAATGCCCCGTCGTAGCTGCCCATTGACTTCTCGCACAAAATCACATTGTAGCCAGCTGCGACCAACATCATAATCACTCTTCGGCCCATAATACCGCTGCCTATCATGGCAATAGGGCGGGTGCTGTAATCAGGCTGAGCCCAGGGAGATGAAGGCATGATGGATCAGAAGCATGTGGCTGGGCTGTATGAGGTTTAAAGAATTTCAAAGGCAAAGAGGTTTGGGATCGCAAAAGTGAAACAAAAGGCGTTAGTAGAGTAGTCGGCTCATTGACGCGAAGATTCAAGTCTTGTTATTCCATTACTAGTAATTAGGGCTAGTGATGCTACGATGACCGAATACAGACCTCAGGAGGAAATCGATCCCATCCCATCCCTGCCATTGACTATGATATAAGTGTGAGAAATGCCGTGGCTGTGTGGCTGAATATTATCCAGTGGCTTAACATACCTACTACTACTATTACTACTAAGTGAAGCTTGATAGTTGATCAGATAATGGAATCCGAGATGCGCTCCAGGGCTGGCAATGCATCGCGAATTGATGAATCTACTGTTAAGGTATACTAGTATCAACTAGCGCAACGTGAACCTTGCTAGCAAGGGTCCCAACCTACTAACTTTAAAATTGCCTGTTTCACGGGTTGTCTCCTTGCATCAATTATGTGCGGAGTCGCGGAACTGCCCGGCGAAGCCTAAACTCTAGATCGCATCGTTCACCGATTCCATCTAGAATTAGAATTAGAATTAGAGCGCGTAGAAACAACGACCAACCCTTCTAAAATGACGGTTAGGGATTCAATTATAGGAAGCTTAAAATTGGATCTCTGGAAAGTCCGCCCCGAGCAACAGCAAAACCTTGAAAGCTTTGATCGTCATTGCGTGGGAGGCGAACCCCTCATGCCAAGGAGGTGATCGCACTCGCCATTGAATATGTGGGGGCAATCCGGGGGGGGGGGGCATGGGGTAAACCTTGTGAAGTAACATGGCGGGGAAGGAGAAACGAGAATTCTTTAAATGATCACATACCAGGGATGAGCGCTTACTCTGCCCTTCTTTTCTTCTTCCCTCTTTTCTTCCCCTTCCCCTCCAAACGCCCCCAAATTACCCCGATTACCTGCCATCGCTATGCCGGACTCCGGTGACATGTCCAAGGAAAAAGCCTCGGCGTGCGAACTTGAGAGCTCCTCTATTCCACAAACCGAGAAATTTACGGATCATGAATCGGGAATAATTGGCGCGGCATATTTCAATGTTGATGAGAAAGCGGTGTTGCGCAAAATGGATCTTCGATTGATTCCCATGCTAAGCATCCTTTACCTACTTGCTTTTTTAGACCGAGGTACACAACACGCACCCCCTTAACTTGAACTACTTGGTATGGGTGTGAGAACTAAAATGTCCTCAATAGGAAATATTGGAAATGCCAAAATTGAGGGATTGGTGGACGATTTGAATATGACGGGACCGCAGTACAATTGGACTCGTATGAACTGCATTCCCTTCTGGCACGTGAAATATGCTGACGATCGATTTCCCAGTGACCGTGTTCTTTTTTACCTACTGCGTCTTCGAGTTACCCAGCAATCTTCTCCTAAAAAAGTTGAGACCGTCCAGATGGCTACCATTGATCATGGTTGCATGGGGTATCGTAATGGTCCGTATTGAACCCCTTATGAAATCGCGCCTGGGCTGAGTTAACGCTGTGATTCAGACCCTGATGGGAGTTGTCAAGAGCTATGGAGGCCTCTTGGCAACCCGCCTCATGTTGGGTGTCGCTGGTACGTACTGGTCAAGTTCTTTACTGTCATCCCCAGCGGGAAACTTTGCTAATCAACTTGAATTGCTTTAGAGGCCGGTCTATATCCAGGTGTCGCCTATTATATTACGCTCTGGTACCCACGTCATCGAGCTCAGTTTCGACAAGCGCTTTTCTTCAGCGCCGCCAGCATTGCTGGTGCATTCTCTGGGCTTCTAGCATATGGAATTGCGGTACGATTTCTCCTCTGAAGCCTTTTCGGTAGCCAGATATCTCATATGTGTCGACAGAAAATGGACGGGGTTGGCGGGTATGCCGGCTGGCGCTGGATCTTCATTTTAGAGGGTCTCCTCACTGTTGTGGTGGCTCTTTTCGCACCATTCGCAATCCATGATTCTCCAGAGACGGCCACCTTTCTCACCGAAGATGAACGTCGCTTCGTCATTCATAGTTTGAGGATTCAAAATTCGGCGGACGCGCGCGAGATGGTGCAGGACGAGGACAGGTTCCAAATAAAATATGTGATTGATGCATTTAAGGACTGGCAAATTTGGTTGGGATTATTCAGTATGCCCCAGCCCTCATCTTCCGTGCTGTAAGTGACTAATATGATATTTTTAGTGTACTGGGGCATTACCTGTCCCCTCTATGGAATCTCGCTGTTCCTTCCTTCTATCATCAAAGATCTTGGCTACACATCTTCAACCGCCCAGCTTTTGACTGTGAGTACATCCTCCACAATGGCGCTGGAACTTGAATTGAATTCAGTTTCTAAACTTGAACAACGCAATCACTACAGGTACCGATTTATATTACTGCAGCATTTGTTGCAGTTCTTGCAGCCTGGTTCTCAGATCGTCGAAAGCAGCGGTCACCGTTTATTCTATTCTTTATGACCCTGATCGCTATTGGATTCATCATCTGTCTCGCATCGAGTGGCCGCAGCGTGCCCGGTGTCGTTTATTTTGGAGTCTTTGTTGCAGTTATCGGTGAGGACTAATCGATATGCCAAGCAGACTGGATCAGACTGCTAACATCCTACTAGGAATTTATCCCGCCTTCCCAGGAAATGTTACTTGGATCAGTGTCAACCTTGCGGGTGATTATAAACGTGCTGCCGGAATGGCTATTTTTATTGGACTTGGAAATCTTGCAGGTGGTAAGTGTGATGTTGTCTTTCGTGAAAATCCAATTCCTATGTGCTAATCTGGCGGGTTACATGACAGCCATGGCATCGAACTTCTATCGCTCGAAAGACGCCCCGCAGTATATTCTTGGCCATTCTTTGGAGCTTGCCTTCGTCGTTGTGGGCATGATAGCGACTGTGTTTCTGCGATTTGCATACCAACGCATCAACCGTCAAAGGGACCTTCTTGACCCCTCGGAATATCCTGATGATCCAGATTCCTTGGGAGACCGGTCTCCACTATTTCGGTACATGCTATGAGTTACTTCTCTCAAGAGAAATGAATGTGTCTTTGCATGTATTGGATTCGGATAGCTTGGATTTCCATATCACATTGAGGCCAGCATGTTTTTTTTAAGCAGCAATCAGAAGTAATCACTAGAACAATACAAAGCTAAATCTAAATCACATTGTGGGAACAACAGGCCACAAGTTATACGTTGAATCTAAGAAAGAGCTCCCTTGAACTGCGCATATCAATCACACTCGAACTCTGTATCCGTCGGCTGTTTGTTGTTGAAAGTGCCGTTGGCACTGGCATGTCCCTTCAATTCCTCACCTCCCTCCTTTGTTGAACAGGCATGTGATCATGGTACGTGGCCCCAGCTCCACAGAACTAGGATTTTTCAGTTAGGGGTAGCCATAGCAAAAACCTCCTCAGTACCCTAGGTACTACTAGTATTTACTACACACAATATACAACACATAGTATTGGAATAGTACTCCAGGGCTAGTATAATATAAATCCTGCTCTATTCTTAGTACTAGATTAACATCCTTCTCCCTCAAGCTCTCCATCCACCATCCCTCACTTTTTTCTTTCCTTTTCCTTTTCCTTCATCTTTATCATTTTCCCCTTTTCTTTCACATCAACTCAACCTTTTCCATATCCTGACCTTGATACCTACTCTTGAATCCCAAAACGAAATAACTCAGCGCACTCTCTCGATCAATCTCAAAATGCCACCTGAAGCTGGTAACGACAAAGAATACCGCTTCTTGGCGGAGTGTTTCAAGAACATTAATCACACTCGAGGCAAGGTGAGCTTCTGCCATACTCCTATTGTTTGAAAGCCCTAACCATATGGTCTCCAGGTCGACATGGTCAAAGTAGCCGCCGCAATGGGCTACGGAAACCCTCACTCTGCCGGAAACAGGTACAAAGTCCTCAAAACGAAGCACGGATTCAAGACCGACTGCTTCTTCACTGGCACGGTGAGTAACACATGATTCATGATTTCTGATTGGTGTTCAGTTCTCATCCTTTCTGCAGGCCGAGGCCACCCTGACCTCGCCCAAGAAGAGGGACCCGCGGGCCAAGAAGGTCGCAGTCAAAAAGGAGAAGCATGATGAAGAAGAGTATGATGATGATCAGACCGAAGACGCGAAGGTCGGCACCTAAGAGAAAGCGGCGGGTTTTGAGACTGACAACGAGGTTTAAGCCTCCGAGTCTTCTTTTTGAGACCCCAGGTCCTCTGCGCATAGCTTCTATGATTTTGATATGGGTTGCACCAAGTTTATTGACGGGTATGGTCTCAAACCTGATGGTCAGTGGGGTTTCTTTGCGAGGAGGATGGCGCGCGCTCTTTTTTTCTTCTCTACTCGATGCCTTTTTTTCGGGACTTTTTCGTGAGAAGTGTGGTCTCACCGGGGTAGCAAGGTGCTCAGGAGGGTTCTGGAGATACTTTGAGGTGTTACATTGAAACAGGTAGTGAATCTGCTTCGCAGCACTTTTAACAAAAAGAAGCATTGTGTTTTTGCGTAGTACTGCTAATTAGTAGTTGTTGTAGATGTGAGAAGATGGATAGTAGACAGTAGCGTCCAACCGGCCAAATCGATCTTCGACTTCACTTGTGACGTTAAAACACGTTAGGGTCCGAGCGTATAACGGCTATAACTCAAAATTCCTTTCAAAGCCCGCTGGGGAAACTGGTTCTATTCAAGACAATTGCAGTGCCAAGTCCATGATAATGGTATGTTGACAGAGCTGACTGGCCGGCATGAAAGTCCAGTAGTATCTTAAGGCGGCCCAGGATATCAGGAAAGGTTCACCATGCCAGGTGATAGAGTATTTAAAAACAGATCATAGAATGGACTGGGGTATCTTAGCACTAAAAATCACAAGATGACGCCATGAGAATGTAGTTGAAAAAGAAAAGAATGATAGGCCACAAGGTACTGCGCTTTGAGTGTATATCACCCTCGTGTTAATCAAATGTCCGCCATGACCGACTCAACAATCTTGCGCTTGTAATGAGACAAGGCACGCTCTTTCTTTTGCATCTGTGCCCGCAGTTTCATGTAACGTGATTTCCAGCTGACCTCTGGTGCTGAAGGGTCGAAACTGTCCTCTTCTAGATCAAGACCTTCCAAGTCATATTCCGGAACGGATTTTTCTTGACTTTGTGCGGTGTTGGCTGCTTGATTGTATGCCGTGGGTGCCACATTTCCCAAGTGGAGATCTCCCAGTATGAGATGTATCGACAAATGAAACGATGGTGTGTATTCCAAGGAAAGGCTGTATTTTGTGCCGGTGAGATCTCCACGTCGCGGCGATGTGTCGATATTCAAAGCCATCACAATTGGTCGCGGGGCTAAAACCCCAAAATGATGAGCTACCCCTAGATGAGTGGCCAAGTGTAATGTTGCAAAGTCAAATGACATCTGAGAGTAGGTAGAAGAAACATTGGCTACTATGGCTGAAGCCAATTCGCGAGTTTCGCCAAGCTTCAAAGGGTCCGTTCGTCCAGTGAGACGAGCACGCATAAGGTCATCTGTAAGGACATGAATAATTCTGTCAACAGTTATTTTAGAACCGCCATCCCCTTGTTCTTCGATAGATTCATTGTCTGCTGAATCGGATGTGTGAATTTGGTTGGCATGTACGACTGCCCCGTTCACGCCATTAACTAGAAGTGTTGGCGGTGTTGCAAGACGTACTGGGGCCCCGAAATGCTGAGGAACCTGCAACTGAAGCTTGCTTGGTCTTCCATTATTAGCGGGGGTAGGTGATTGGTCGAAGCTTGAGCCTGGGATTGGCTGTGACGAGCTCTGATTAAGCACGAGGGAAGAGGGTTGGTGGAGAGGGTTCGTTGAGAGATGTGAAGAGTCTCGTGCGGTGTTGACATGAAATGTGGAAAATGAGCCGGATGTTGCTGGTTTACTAGGTGGCCTGCCTCGACTTTTACCATTAGATGAACCGTTGCTGTTTGACCAAGCTGACGAAACCGCCGGTCCATGTCTACGTCGCGAGCGACTTTTCTCGCTGGTAGATGGTGTGATGGCGGATCGAGGCTCAACAGACACAACAGAATCAGATGGCTGGTTTCCTCGTGGAATAATCGCGGATTGAGGGTATCCCGCAGGCGATGTTTCCCGCTCCGGAAGTCTCCAGCGAAGGTCCTGTCCGGGTTGCTCTGATTGCCCAGGTTGCGGGTATGCTGAGGTGGCCGTTATCCAAGGATCCTCACTTGGAAATGCACTGAACGGTATGGCGCTCTGTGGAAAGGTCACAGAGTGCTGCTGAAAGCCTCCAGGTTGTAGACCTGCTACCGATGTATCTAGCTGGGGTCGCTTTATAGTCTTTTCTTCTTCAAGCTCCCTATCCTCTGCTCTTTTCCTGCCTCTTTTGGGCTTCCATTGAGGTACAAGTGCGCGGAGGGCAAGATCTTCTTCCAGAGGCACACCATCGCGGGATTCGCCAACATATGGGCCCAAGGGGGGGTAGCTGAGTATAGTACTGATGTTGGTGGCCCAGACAATATTCGAAAAAGGCATCGACATGCATGGCACGCATCCATCGCTAGAATTTATTAGCTTTGATATTGATTTTAAAAAGAGACAACATGTTAGATACCTTTAGTCGGACAGCGTACTGTTGAACTTTCTGGGTGCTTTGTTTCTTCTCCATGGAGGGTGGCTCCACACCCAGTTCAATCGCTAATTGAATCCATGTCTTGAGCTCTTTATTATCGAACTTGCGAATGAGCTCAAATAGGGTAAAAACACTGAAGTTTTTGCCATCACTGCGTGGAGGGCATCGAAAGGTTCGTCGAAGATCCAAGGTATCAACAGAAGAAGGAACATTCGGATTGCAATATAGGATGAATAGCACATAGGCATCGTCAATTGTTTCGTCAGTGATTTCACGTGAAGGCAAACCCCGGGATTCAGCCTGGTCAGCGGCGTCTTTCAATTGCTGGTGACGGAGGGCATCGAAGACTGGAGGAGACATGGAGGGCCCGGAACGAGCTGCCGAGGACGGGGGAATAACGGAGCGGAACCCCCTTGGAGAAGATTGAATGCTCCGGGGAGTCTCTTTACGATGCAGCGATGGGGATTTGTTAGCCTCAGTCTGGCTGCGAGCGCTTCCAAGTGAAGAGGCACTGCGAAGTGTTGATTCCATCGTGGATGGGTATCGTGCATACTGCTGGATTACCATCTGAGACGCTCCGAGGTCGGTCTGATCCGATCGATCGGTCGAGTCCATCATGATGGGGAAGGTTGACTCCATCGAATTGTTCCAGGAGTCGTCAGCCCCCCCGACAAGCATGCAGAAAACGCTAAACAGAGCACACTGATAGCAATCATGGGTTCTATAGGTGCTTCGTCAACTGCACTGAAGGGTACTCAAAACACAGTCAATACATGGTATTATCATCAAAAAGTAGGGGGTGGGAGGAAAATAAGAAACGACTGGGCCTCTCCACGAGGATCCCCCCCTCGAGGTGGCTGGAAGCGCCGTCGGGTTTCTATTTTTATGGTGCATCCATAGCGTCCTCACGGGGGAGCGGGGCGGTTGATGCCTTGTTGCCTTACTAAGATCACGGGATCACAGGCAAAACGGAAGCCAAAGCTTACCTAAGGTCCTACTAGGAAGGACGCTAGCTTATCGATAGCGCCGATCACGCCCCGGGTGGAGTGCACCGGCTGCGGGCGCTTTCGTCTTCCTTCTACTCCGTAATCTTTTGGACCCTCTTGGTCCAAACTTTCCATTGCACTTCGCTTTCTATGTTACACTTGAATATTATAATCCCCCTCCATTGCACGTCATAGTACAAACCCTCTCAGTCATGGCACCCCCACGGTCGAGTGGGCCTTCAACGTCCACTCGACCTGCGCGCCGCAGCCGGACCCAGGTCGACAGCTATCAAGAATCGACCTCTGATGATGATCTCGGCGCACAAGAAAGGCCAAAAGTGTCTCTTCGATCTAGCTCGAATGCCCAACGTCCCTCATATCGTGAACCGTCAGATCATGAATCAGAAGATGAACCCACTGCCGAGCCAGACAATGATCAAGGCGATGGTCCCGAACGCCAAACGAATCCGCCAGTTTCAACTCGCAGTGGTCGTCGATCTACTAGAAATAGCCGTCCGAGCTCGATTCGAACGACTCGGACTCGGTCCTCGAATACTACTGGCCATGGAACGCCTTCTATTGGCACGAAGCGACGCCCGCACGAACGACCAAAGGAGAAGAACTCGTTTTCGAATAAGCGAGCCAAATACTACTCCGTGCTCCTCGATGATGTTTCTCGATTTATTCCACCGTGGCAAAAGTTGCCCTATCATATACTTTTCGAAATCCTCCTCCAGGCAACCTACCCAGCCCCCAACGAAAAATGGGAGGCACGAAGTGATATGGCCAGATGGCTTGTCAATCTCGCATGTTTATGTCGGGAATTCCAAGAACCAGCCCTGGCAGCACTTTACTACTGCCCACCGCTTTTCCCATCTTACAAATGTCACGCACTTGTAAAATTACTTTCCACACCACGGGAATCTCTTTTGATCAATTACGCCGGCAAGATCAAGGAACTTCATGTTGATGTCGATGTTCTTCGCTTCAAAAGTGGGCCAGTACTGGGCTATTTCGATCTCGCTCAGCTGATCCAACAGATCCCCCAAGTTCACGCAGTGCGACTGTATCACCAAGATGACTTTATTCTTGGCCACCAGCCAGCGGATGTCCCTCAGTCAAAATGGGTATACTCAGAAAATCTATTCGAAGTTATGGACTCCACTGGTGTTCGACTTCGTGCCTGGGACTGGAACTCTCGTTTCTTGAATCTGGCCGACCTTCTCCCGTTCATGGTCAAGCAACATCAACGACCAGCTTTCCAGAAACTGAAGGAAGTCAAATTGCTTCATCTGGGTGATCGCAACCATAAGGATACAATCGATAATGAGGACGCCCTAGCTGCTGCGCTCAACGCACTACCCGATCTCGAACGACTAGAGTTCGTGGAATGCACATTGCCCACGGATCGACTCTTGCTCCAGCTGCCTTCAACAATCCACTCCCTGACGATTACCAATTGCGATAGAATCTTCTCGGTTTCAATTGACGCATTCCTGAAGTCCCATGGTAGTCGTCTTCGTGAGCTCAATTTGAATCATAATCGGCACCTAGATCTGCTGTGGATGGGTGATCTTGCTTCCCACTGTCCTATTCTCGAAAAATTGAAGTTTGATGGGAACATATATGATGCATCCCCCCACAATGACACCTTACCTCACTTTGATTCCCTAATGGAACCTGGCGTGCAGCCGACATGGCCCCACACGCTACGCGAAATCGAAATGACCTGTCTGCGAAAGCTAGAGAGTGACTGCGCAGATAATTTCTTGACGAGCCTTGTCAAAGAAGCTCCGCATCTATGCGCTTTACGACGCCTTTCTATCAGCATGATCCTAGACATGTCATGGCGGGACCGGGCTAGCTTCCGTGATACCTGGGTACCTGACATAATACAAACATTTCAACACGGGGACTTGGTTTCAAGAAGCCCGGAACCCTGCCCGTTTCCAGAGTCATCAGACGCGACATCATCCAAGCGCCAGAGCGCGCGTCTCGCCCAAATTGTGGATAAGGAGGATGCATATGTGAACTCCTCTCTTGATTCACCGGGCCGGGGCGGCCAGATGCGCGGGGTTGGCATGTGCGATGAAGTCTTTATTCGCATTGATAACCAACGCCCGAGTGAAACGCAGTTCAACGAAAATGATTTTCTTGATTCCGAAGCCAGCGGCGATGATGATTGGGATGGAGAAGACTATGAGTCCGGCAATGGTTATGCGTGGTAGCCAGGGACTTGTTCCTCAATACGGCTAAAGCTCGATCTTGTGATCATTTTCTTCTGGACTTCCTCCTCTATTTCCCTCTCTTTCTTTTGCGATATTGCTTCATCTCCGATCTTGTACTTTTTATTCCTTTTGTCGGGGGCAGATTATCATCTAGGAGTTAGCTACACGGTGGGACACGGTCCCTGGGTCATCGATGGAGTAAGTAGGGGCGGGTGGGTTAAATCGCGACATGGCGTATGCTACCAGTAGTACCTTAATACTTATGTTTAGATTAAAATGTATTAACAGTCTTATAATTTGTTCTTTTTTGATCATTTCTGTTTGCAGGATAATTGATATATCATATCAGTCGTGGTTGGTTCGATCGCCAAGGCAAGACAATTAACTCAACTCAACCTGGTGAGTGAACGGCACGGGGCCCCACAGGATCGACCTCGCCCGCGGCACCTCTCTGCTTCGGTCAGGTCTCTGCCATTTCCTCCCTCCCTCCCTCCATCTCCTTCTCGCGCTGCCTGGGCTTCAATTTCCATACTTCAACTACTCGCACGATGCCACAAGAGGCTCCTGCGGATACTGCAGGCCCGTCTTCTCCGCCGCCTCAACTGCCCGACGGATGGTAAGCCGGATCCTATCCTGTTGATAACGATTTGGTACCCAACTAACTCTGTTTATTTGAGGCTTCCTCAATGGGAGGGCGTCCAACGTAAATGGTACTTTGTGCAGAGAGCGACCGGCAAGTCGCAATGGGAAATCCCAACCGAACCTGTCGTTCTCACTCCTTCAACAACACCCACGTCTATTGGGACCGGGCCACGTACCCACCATCGCGTCCATCGACGAACAGTCCCCAAGTGACAGGGACAAGGACCACATTGGCGGAACGGATTGAGCCTTTCTTGGGCAGTGCTAGAGTTCCCGTAGGAAATCGCGATGATATTGTTTGCACCCATGCCGCAAGAATAGCACTGATGGCGGGATAGAGCTCCCTAATCGCCCAGCCGAATGGACAACTCGCACACCCTACATACGGATCTTCGGTGACACCCGACTGGTATCCGAATCAAAACAGCCAACGACTGCCCCATGAATTCAATCAGCAATTTGTGTACAACAACAGTCAATATGGATCGGTGCGGAGGTTCTTTCCGGGATATCCTCTGATGCATGTCGCTAATTGCTTTGGCAGCAGCCACACCAAAAATATGGCGCCAGCCCATCGACGTTCTATCCAGGCCACGACCACACACAACCGACTGGTGGATACCAGTCTTTGGATGGGGGTGCAGTGTCCATACCCTGGGGTGGCAATGCAGGCACTTCTCAGACACACGCTGGAGGATACACACAGCAACATCCTCCAGGTTCACATTCAGGCTTCGCCTTGAGCTCTCAGCATTCACAGCCACCGGTTAATAACATAGAGGCAGCCATGGCGCAGAGTCATCTTTCGGGTATAAACTCTGTCCCCCCGCCCGAGCCTCAATGGCATCCTATTCAACAGCCCTTGGTGTCGAATGTCCCGACTGAATCGGTGTCGACGGGTTTCAGTTCTACTACTTCACAGCCAATATACCGAAGCTACCCAACTCCACACACGGTTGGAGCCTCTCCCAGGGAATTAGCTTCGCGATCATCACAGTCCTCGAACCCGTCGCACTCTGGGAGCGACTTTACCTACAGCCGAGAAAATAGCCAATCGATGCACGGATCGCAACCGATGCACTTGCCCCGCGAGATTGAAAGTATTCCAACTGAGGCTGCACAAGCAATGTCCCGAGCCCATTCACAGCAAGCTAGTGTATTGCAGCCGCAGTTATCTCATACTCCAGGATCCATCACGCAATCTCCTCATGCCTATCAGCCACAGCCACCGCCACCAACTTCACATGGTCAATATCAAGCCACCAGCATGTCACCAACACAGCCAGGGCCGGGCTTCAATTCCACTGGTTATTCCGCACCCGAGTTTCAAAGTGGAGTCCCGAACTACCAGAATCCTCTTGTGCAAGCAGGCATGCATCAGTATCTACCCTCTCCGCAACAAACTCATTTCAAGCAACAAGCAGCCAGTCCTCTGGTGGGGCCGACGCAGCCCTTGCAAAGTGAAGGGCCTCCAGGATATCAAAACCAATGGGATACACCAGCTTCTATCGGCGTGCGCTCAGCGGCATCTGATCCCCAGTTCGTAAGTGGTCCCTGGGCATCGACGCCACCTACTTCTGGGCCGCCGCAACCACCTCGTTACGAATAATAACGCCATATATTTTTGACCTGTCAATGAGAGAAATTGAATGTATTGGAAAAATGTATTGGGGGACTAGCAATGCGGTCTATCTTCTGCCTATTTGCTATTTTTGATATATTCTCTTCCAGATTCCCTTCAGCGCGGATGTTATTATCTCACTGTTTCCTTTCCTTGTTCTTGTTCAAGTACTTACGGTAGTATTCTATGCATGCAGGATTGACCATCCAAATGTCAAATAATCCCATGCTTCCCAGTTCGGGACCAAGGCACTCAGAAATGCTTTAATTGTGCAATTGGGGATCTTGATTCTGAGTTGGAACCTGAGGTCAGGCTGGAACGACTGTACTCTAGAATATTCCTTTCCCCCAAAGTGCAAAGTGGTGAGTGTCCCCCAGGTGCCAGTTTCCTACCCTTTTCACTGGACCTGCCCTTCCCTCTCTCACTCCTCATTTCAACTTCACATCAATATTCCTCCACGCTCCTCAACCATTCTCCGACCTTCCCCCAGCCTTGCTCCAACCAAAAACCACATTCCATCCACCACCGATCTACCATCCAATCTTTGAGAGTCCATTTTCGTTCAGTCCGTCAAAATGGCCATCACCTGGAACGCTGAAGCTGACGCCAAGGTACGCATCTCTTGAGCCTACATGTCCTATCTACTATCCCTCTCCGGTATCATACTCCCTCGGGATAGTTTTGAATCTATGCAACTAACAATTTAAGCTCCTCGTTGGCATAATTGCTACTAGCAATTCGTCCATCGACTTTGAAAAAGTCGCCGAATTCATGGGCCAGGGCAAGTATTCTCCTATATTTCTTTCCAAACAAACCTCGATTCGTGTCATTCTTGCAAAGACAGGTTGACTTATTCTTATTCTTTCGAGCAGACTGCACCGTGAGTGCGCTTAAGCACAGGGTTCAGCGGATTAAGGAAAAAGCCGGTCTCGCGAACTCGAAGGGTGCCACCCCAAAGTCGCTATCTACCCCTAAGACAAAGCGATCTACTTCCATGAAGGCAGCCAAGAGCACCCCCAAGCGCAAGTCCGCCCTCACCAAGGGCGAACAGATCGATGAGAAGATCAAGCCTGAGAAGTTGGACCATGATGATTATCTTGCATAAGCTCCTCTTCGCTCATCCAGAGCAAATCTGGTAGGCAGCCTAGTCTGCACCCTCTACCAGCAGGCATACTTGATGGGGATCATGCTCTTTTGCGAACTTTGTGAGACTAGCTCACTTGATTTTATCGGAGATACTGGTTTGATTGAATCTTGACTCGATCGGGTCTTTTTTTTGTTGAATGGAGATGGTTCGGAGTTTGAAGAAGAACTGCATATTGTGCATCGAAGCTCGTCGGTGGACAATATCAAAGGATACCTAGCAATCTTACGAAGCATTTGATCCCCATTTCTATCTTCCACCGTGAACTTTAAAGCTGCTAATTGTCCATAAACTCCCAGGCTAGTAACTTAAATACAGCGTGATGCGTGCGGTGCCCCATAGCGAGAATCAGCTCCGTACGCCTAACAGGCCGGTGTACCCTCAAAATATCTGTGGTTTCTATATTTATAGCTAGTACTAGTATACTACCCCCTCCGTAGAGCCATTATACACTTACAACCCTTGGAATTGATTAATCTTAATAATTCAAGATGCTGTGTACTACTACTAGTTTTTAGCTATTGCTATAGCCAACTCAATAATATTTCTAGGTATCCCTGGATGGTAAATTTATGAGTGCTTGCACATTAAATCTCTGCCCAAACTGTATCGGGGCCCCTAGTAAATTTAGGACACTGCTGGCACTGAGCCGATTACCGCTACGAAGAAATGTAGATATGTCTGGGGAGTTAGAGCTCATTTTTTGAGGGTTTGATAGATAGCAGAATCGCGCAAAACTGGAAAAGGCACCGTGTTTCGTCCTTCCACATATGCCTTTGTAAATGCCGCCCCCTCCCTGAAAAACAGAAAAAACTCTTGAATAAAACCCTTTGCCTGGTTGGAACCTCGTTAGGTAGGCTTTATTGACTCGCACGGGTTGAGGAGAAGGAAGGGGTACTAACGCATTGAAATATGGCGCTTCCCATGGAAAGAAACCGAATCACAGAAATAAAGAAAAGAACAGCAAAACGTGCAGGCTTCTCCAGACCCCGTCGTAATGTAAAGACCCACCCATAGGGACTCGGAGCTTAGAGCTCTTCTTCAAGATCCGACCAGGTTTCATGCTCTCCGGGGGCTTTGGCATCGCTCTCGCTCATGGCGGCCTCGGTCTTCACCGCAGCCTCCTCGGTCTTCACGGCGGCCTCTTCGGAGGCCTCATCATCCTCGTCGGTAGATTCAACCTTGATAGGGGCCTCAAATTTGACAGAGTTTTCGTTATTCTTCTTTCGGCTCCTTCGAGCTGGGGTCGAATCCTTTGGGGTCTTAGGGGCCTTGGGGGTTTTTGCGACCTTGTTGCGAGGCCGTTTCCCCGGAGTCGAGGGTCCTGCTAGGCTTTTTCCGGTCGAGTTCTTGAGGATCTCCTTGATCTTGGTTATTCTCTCTTTGATGGCCCTGCCAGTGGGACGTGACTCCTCTTCTCCAGCTATAATGGTGGTTAGCAGACAGGTCCTTTCGGAAATGAGGCTTCTTCTCCAACTTGTGGAGGCAGGATAACTCACGCCACGCAGCAGCCACCTTTCCGGAATCGACGCTGATCTCATGAGTCTCGAGGATCTTCATGAAAAGCTGTTTGAAACATGATTAGTCTGTTTGCCTGTTTTCTGTTGGGGAGGTCTTGGATAACAGGTGAGGCATAGTTGAATTCAATTTGTGGCAAAGTGACGGGTTCTTGCCCAACTGTGAAATTGAAATGAGAGGTGGTAGAATGACTTACTATCTGATCATTCTCAGCGGTCCAGCGCACCTTGGCAGGCATATTGGCGGTGCTACAAGATCTTGGTTCAGTTCTTGATGAGACTCGTAGCTGTGGGAAATGGCTGGGGTGAAGGTCGAGATGGGGGAGATGGGGGAGATGGGGAAGATTGAAGACGAGCAAGGAGAAGGAGGACGAGAATGAGAAGAAGAGGAAGAAGAGTGGATAAAAAGAAATAAATGAAGAAGATACCTAGGTAAAATGGGTAGAAGAGTAGAAAGATAGAAGGGTTGAGAAGATGACCAAGTGGTGGAGTATGGTGAAGCGTGAATGGTGCTGGGGACTTTCGGACCGGGAACTTCAATGGAGGAGCGGCGCGGGTTAATAAGTCGCCCGGTGAACTAGCCAGGCGCCTGCTTTAGAATGACAAGAGCAGATAAAGTATCTCAGCAAGCCTAGAAATCGAGAGAAGTCAAATTCGGTGCGGAAAGGGTGGGAGAGCATTGCGAACCTTGGAAGATCATACCAATCAACAGATATCTCTAGGCTGGCTATACTTAATTTCCAGGCTTTGGGTGCACAGCTAATGTGCATGATAATACTTCTACCTAGGTATTTTAAATCAAAGGTCATCTGTTTCCAATGATCAAAGAAGTTTCTGTTTTGATCGTCGTCCAATTGAACTGCCAAATCGAAGGCCACATTATAAAATTCATCTAACTCTTTTATCATTTACACATTTCTGAAAGCGAACTTTCTAAGCAAATGGTCATGAGAAGATAGCAGGATGTAGTTAAGCTGACCTCGGGAACCTTTTAGGAATTATGTCAATATCTTGAAACAAGAAAAGCGTCCACTGGGATATCGGGGTGAGGTTATGACAGGTAGAAAATTTGAGCTTTTCAAGAAATCTTAAGCCAGGCTCTATCTGTATCAGCAGTTTCCTGTCGCCTTAGAAAAAGAGCTATGCTTCTCTTTTCATTGAATTTTATCTTATTAGTCACTATGTCTCTTCATCTCCACGCCTTCTCTCAACAAGAGACATTACGTTCCCCCTCCGCAGGTACTACTAGATTTCGTACATATCTTCAGTTTTGGAACAAATATTGCAAATATTTCATGGATATCTAAACATGACGCATAGGATTAGTGTGACCAGAACCACAGCAAAAAAATCAATAATGTCTTCAGTCATGTTGAATCTAGGCTGACTAAAAATTACTAGCAAAAATACGACTGATCAAAAGAAATGTGACTCTGCAGTATTCATTCTTCGCCAGAAGCTTTTCTGTCTCCGGCGCAGACTTGCTGCTTGATTGTATTATCTGACAAGACATCATTATCAAGATCGATGATATCAGCCTCCTGCTCAACTTTTATCCGTGGTACCTCAGAATGATTCTGTTCATCCGAGGGTGTATAGGGCTCCCAATTAATTGCAGTAGTGTCGTCAGAAGTAAACTGAGGCATAGATCCATTATGGATGCTGAATTCCTGTGAGGGAGGAAATTGTGAGTATGCAGGAGTGCCAAAGGATCCAATACTCGAGCCAAGCGTTCCATGTCCCGGTGACATTACTCCATTTCCCACATTAATAGGAATTGTATGGTGCATATACGAAGGCACATACGGGTATTTTATACCGGAAGATGCCATCATTTGGGAGAATGGAAAAAGATCTGACACGTCGGAAATGCTTTGGATATTCTGAAGCCTCTGGCTGTCATGCTCGTGCTTCACGAATGGGCTTGACTGAGGTACGTAGTCCGGTGATTCCAGTTTTGGGACTAGTCCGGGGTAACCCTGGGCGAATGGTATTTGCGAATTGCCCTTGGTATCTCCCTTCGCTGCTTTCTTTTGGCCTCTCTTTCTGGCAGCTCGCTGGGTCGTATTCGGGCCCTCCATCTGTGAGCGAAATCTAGAGTAACGCATTCTAGCAGCGTGGCCATTGGAAATTTCGAGATCCTGTGCAACTTTGTTCCAGTCAATCTAATACAAAATATGAAAGGTCAGCAGATCTATACTATGCAAAGTAAAATCAGACATACGAGCTTAAGATCAAGTTGTTTGATCATAGAGTAGAGAAACTTGGGAGTTGGTCCTTCCGTGTCTAGTACTTTTGTCCGTTGTACCATGGTGATACTTTAGAGGGTGAACTTGTGTTTCACCAGTTTTTCAGAGGTTGAAATTCAGGCTCAGTCTAGTAATATCGGACAGTGCTGCAAATTTTGTGAACACGATTGAACTGATATATAAGAATTTTTTGGGGGTGAATAAATGAGACAAAGCAGCCAATATGAAGTAAATGGGTATTAGCATATTGAGATATCAGATAAAGATATGCGGGGTATAACCAAATCCGTTTGCCCATTTTCCTTTATTATCAAGATACCGGCCATCGGAACTGAAGGATATGAAAAAGATTTTCCCTACGGCATCAACGGAAAGTCCGTGCATTTGCTCTAGCCCAACCAAGGTCGTTTTCCTGGGCTTTGACTCTCAAGGTACTAGTAATGAGCAAAATGCCCTTTGTTTTAGTCCCCAAAAAGCTCGGTTGTAAAACCAAGCTGCTAAATAATCAGCAATGTAATTACTGGAATCTAAAGGCTCACCCTTTTTTGCTATTCCGCGGAAGGCATGGAATTTTATATGGAATAGTGTAAGTTCAGCAAGGTCTTTGGGTAATCGTAATTTCCACCAGAGGCTTTCCTCATAAAGAAAGTCCCTTTTTTGGCCCTTGAGCATAAATCATGATGATTCATAACTAGAATTTCAAGGATGATTTGATGAGCTTGCCATTGATCCCAAAGAAGACAGTCTCTACTCTCTTGCCACTTTGTCGGTTTCCTTGTGGAGGTGAACCACAGCAACCATCAGCATGACTAATCTGCCCCTCCTCAAGTTGATAGGCTTTTAATTTAGGGTTGACCAGACTCCTCCGGCAATTTCTCGATCCCGCAGATGCACTTGGAGGAATTTCACTTCTAAAGAATTACAAAGGAACGAAAGCATGACCATTATCGCAGTCGGTGCCCTCTATGTGGACACTATTCTGACGTACGTCCAGGGTCTACCCAGTCCCGGTTTGAGGAGCTGTAAAGGGTTTGGAGTATGACACTGACATGGACACAGAACTCCGCATTGCCCTGAAGAAGATGAAAAATTACGTGCATCACAAATTTCCAAAAGGCGGGGTGGGAACTGTCCCAATACCCTCGAAGTGCTGCAGCAGTTAGCAAATACGGCATCCAAACGCCTTTCCTTAAATTTAGTTACAGTGCTTCCAGCGAAATCATCCGCTATCTGCCAAAAGATTAAGTCTGAATTGGGACCTCATGTTAATATGCAGTCTTGCATTTATCGAGAGGAATTTAGCGAACCGGCTTCGAGTTACATTATCAAAAGCCAGTCAACTGGTAGCCGAACGATTGTGAACTACAATGAGCTTCCTGACATGACGGTGGATGAATTCATTGATTCTGCAAGTAAATTAGCTCCTGCAACGGCTTGGTTTCATTTTGAGGTATGTTTCAGACGAGAGATCCATCTGGTTCATTTATTACAGAACAGAAAATCTCATATCGATATCGTTATTGGCTTCTAACCCCATTCAAGGGTAGAACCCCAGATGTGATTCTTGCATGCATATGCTTTCTTCGAAAAAATTTCCCTTCTGTTCGTGTCAGTGTTGAGATCGAGAAACCCGGTCGGGCAGGTCTTCAGGAGTTGGCAAAGGCAGCAAATGTGGTGTTCTATTCAAAATCATGGGCAACTGTCAGATAAGCATAATTCCTTTAACACTCTTTTCCGGAAAGCTTTGCTAAATTTTGCAAAGGTTGAAGGATATTCATCTGCAGAGGCATGTTTGCTGGAGCAATCCACACAGGCACCCAATGCGTAATTATTAACTTGGCCCCTACAACACAATGAACACACACTAATTTATGACAACGATTTACAGATCGCTACTCTGTTGTACGTGGGGAAAAGATGGCGCCTGCGCTCTTGAACCAGCCACAGGGAAGTTGGTGCATGCTCCAGCGTACACGGCAGAGAACTTTCAGGTGATCGAGTGAGTTATTGCCTTGCCCCGTAATGAAATGAGTACCACTAAGACAAAACTGCAGCCCAATCGGCGCAGGGGACACATTTATTGCTGGGATGCTGTATGCGATGAATTGTAAAGAAAAAGAATGGGATATTTCACAAAAGCTCAGCTTCGCAAATATCTTGGCAGGTATCAAGGTATCCCAGGAAGGGTTTTCAGGACTAGGTCGGGCGATAATGATGTAGAAGACGCAAAGAGTCACGACTCCAAGAGCATAGTGATATGTACTTATTTGTCGTATGAAGGACATACCCTGAAAAAGAAACAATGGAGGTTACCTCCCTGAACATTTGAGGGGTTGGAAGTGGGCGGGATATTGTGGTCATGTGACTATTCTCCCATGGGCGGTGAAGAACTAAAAATTATTCTGCCCTTCCGCCAGTAACTTTTTCGGCGGCAGCTTCTGGATCTTGCAGTCTCACTCATTGATAATTAAAACTCACAATGGCGGCCGTCTACAAAACCGTTTCGAAGAAGAAGGCTCGTCAGCCTATTGAGGGCATCGACGAGGAGATGGGCATGGAGATTGAGGAGCTCCTGAACGATGCGGACGACACCACCGACAGTGAAGAGGATGATGAAGAAGAGGACCGTATCGCTGCGGCGAAGAAGCAACTTGCTCAAGGATTTATGCCCAAGACGCGGGTACTCATTTTGACATCGCGCGGTGTTTCATCCCGGTAAGTTCTGAAAATTTAACTTGCTGCCATCCATGATGATTATGCTAATCAGTCGCAATTAATTTCTAGTCACCGACACCTCATGGCAGATCTCTGCGCACTCCTCCCGCACACTCACAAGGAGACTAAGCTTGACACCAAGAAAAAGACCGCCGGTTACAACCTTTTGCTGAACTCTCTCGCCGATTTGCACTCCTGCAACATGATTTTCTTCCTCGAGGCTCGTAAGAACGGTCAAGATCTTTACCTCTGGCTTTCACGCCCGCCAAACGGCCCCACAATCAAGTTCCATCTGAACAACCTACACACCATGGCGGAACTTGGTGCTGGATTTGCGGGCAACTGTCTGAAAGGCGGTAGAGGCCTTGTGGTATTTGACCGGTCATTCGACGAGCAAGGCCCGGACATGGGCGCCGGCGCCCCGGGCAACGAGTATCGCTCTCTGGTCCGTGAGATGCTGCGAGGAATTTTCTGCGTTCCCAAGCGTGGTGTGAAGGGTATGAAGCCCTTCGTCGACCGCATCATCGGTATCTTCGGTGTGGATGGCAAGATCTGGATTCGTGTCTATGAGATCCGCGAGTCAGAGAGTGGTGGCGCGAAGAAGGACGGCGAGGCGACTGTTAAGCCTGTTCCCAAGGGCAAGGACGCCGCCCTTCCAGAGGTATCCTTGGTAGAAATCGGACCTCGTTTCGTCCTGACCCCCATTGTGATCTTGGAGGGCAGCTTCGGTGGCCCCGTCATCTATGAGAACAAGGAGTACGTCAGCCCGAACCAGGTTCGTCGCGAGATTCGGATGGGCAAGGCCGGCCGGTACGCGGCGCGCAGGGACACACAAACCGATCGGGAGGCCAAGCGGACGGATCTGGGATTGACCGACAACTCTTCGCGGAAGCCCAATTCTCTGGGTGTGCGCGAACTCTTCGCATAAGAGTTTTCTGGTTTTTTGGGTGTCGCATGCTCTCTGCAGCACTTTTCTTCTGGATATTTCGAATACATGTATATTTGATGCGACGATATCATGGTCTTCTCAGGCGTCAAGGTCAAGTCTTCAAGTGATTAATTTCAAAAGTATCTGGCATTTTATCAACAACCCTTTTTGCATCATCGTTTGTGTTAGGAAAACACATGTAGTTCCAACCTTGGAAAATACTAGCAATTCCCTAGATGACCTCGCACTCGCTATACACCTACCACTAGGCTTTAACTAGCTTTCTACCTAGGTATATTGCAAGACTCATCCAGCAAATCGCAATCTCAAGTTCATCTGATTAATTGAAGTTCCGCTCGACAACCTCATGCTCGTGGCCGCCCCTTAGCGGAGAAGCGCATTGCCAAGTGGAGCTGAAGGTGGACCCAAGGCGTCGTGGCAGGATCTGGACCACAGATACTACAGCTTGACAGGGTCTGTCTGTAGAGGTGGAAATTCTATTGTAGGGGAATCTGAATATACTGGTTTTCCAAAGGATACATAACCACTTAGCCTTGAGTGACGCCCAAATAAATTCATTGCACCAGCGACCGTAGAGTACCGGCAAGGGGGGAAACAGATCAAAATCAGGTCTGGTGGAAGCATCAATTTCGTGGGGGACCACACAGAGTAACTAAACAAAGACACGAGAAGAAAAGAGCAAAGAGAACGCGAAGCTCCGACTATCGGGAGATATGTCTGGTTCGACACTCCATCTTCCCATGTGTTCTACCAGATCTCGCCTGTGCATTCGTCTTCGCGTCAAATTACAGACTTCATCAAAGACCCTTGCCATTTCAAAATCACGATGTAAAAGAAGAAGAGTCGTTGCGATCGGTCTAACCTCCCGAACCATCTAGCAGCATCCCTGCTTCTGGTCATTTTCCTGCGGGGTGAAGTCGATCGTACGGCCTTGGCCGGGTTGGTTCAAGGTCGAGTCGCCCGAGTCAAGGGCCTTGCTAGAGACGATACGGTAGATTTCTGACCATGGAGTTAGTATGCTGCCTAGAACCATGTCTTTGCGCGCCGGGGCAGCTCACCTGTGAGGATGTTTTGGAAAGCAAGTTCGACGTTGCTGGCGTCAAGGGCGGAGGTTTCGATGAAAGAAAGGTTGTTCTCGCCTGTTCGTGGTCAGTAACCAAAATCATGGCGCCACAGCTCCCGGGCGATGCGTAAACGTACTGGCAAACTGCTTGGCCTCCTCGGTGGGAACAGCACGCAGGTGCCTCAAATCACTCTTGTTACCGACAAGCATAATCACAATGTTGGAGTCAGCATGATCCCGCAGCTCCTTCAACCACCGGTTGACATTTTCGTAGGTCTGGTGCTTGCTGATATCATAGACGAGAAGGGCACCGACAGCGCCACGGTAGTAGGCAGAGGTGATCGCACGGTAGCGCTCCTGACCAGCAGTATCCCAGATTTGTGCCTTGATTGTCTTGGAGTCGACCTGGATCGAGCGAGTCGCAAACTCCACGCCGATTGTGGACTTGGAGTCCAGGTTAAATTCGTTGCGGGTGAAACGACTCAGCAGGTTGGATTTACCAACACCCGAGTCTCCGATCAACACCACTATCCAGTTGTCAATACTATGGTTTATCGTGTATGTATCACAAACTAGTGGAGGGGGTCGCCCGGAGGACACGAAGTGGCGGAGCGGAGGAGATGCGGCAACCGCACGAGACAACGTTACCTTTGAAGAGAAACTGAAGGCAAGTTAGTTATGTTGGCGGAGTGGTTGAGCAAAGCAAGGAACTTACATCGTATTCGTCGTTGGCCATTTTGAGATGAGGAAAAGAAAGACGTGGGGGAGGAAGGAAAAAACAACGGGGGGGTTTAAACGGCAGCGATAGGGAGAGGGTGATTGATGCCTCGCAGGTGGAGTCCCACTGCCTCCTTTAACGGAAGTGGCTCCCTTCACCACATGACATTGTTATCACCACGACACTGCTTATGTAATGCATTTCCCTTCCCCAGAGGTATCATGCTCGGCTGGGCTGAACATAGATATCGACTCTACTCCACTCTACTCTACGCCGTCTCTGCTCTCTACTCTGAGTTTGCACATATTGATGTCCCACAAGGAATCCTTCAAGATTACATAATTGTGGCTAAAGGCTGGTCACCTTACTTTTCCTCTTACTCGCAGAAACGCAACACTTCAACAAAGACTGCATCGCCAAGGTCCCAGCACCTCTGCATCCAAATCCCACGTGCATGAGAATGGCTTCTTCAACTGGATCGGGCTAGCAGAAGACTCAAACCATGGCATCTGACGTTGAGATGGGAGATGCCGGCCCTGACCAGCATTCAGATGATCGCTCTCTACTATCAACGCCCGTCAGTTCGGCAGCCTCGGAGTATGATGTTGAAGAAATTCTGGCCGAGAGGAAAGTTCGCGGAAAAACAGAGTATCTTATCAAATGGCTGGGATACATAGAGGAACGGTCTGACTGGGAGCCCGAGGAAAATTTGAACTCGCCAGAGATACTTGCCAGCTGGGCTCGGAAAAAGGCCGACATCAAAGCAAAGAAAAAACCCCCTTTCGATGTTAAAGGCCTTGAGGCAAGGATCAAACAAATCGCTGAGAAAACGAAGGAGCGCAAGAAAGTTCGGCAAGCTCGCCGGATTGAAAGGAATATGAGACTAAAAAGCATCATCATATTCTCTGATGACGAGAACTCAAATCACAGTGCGCTGGAGCCGCAAGGCGGCGGAGATGGCGATGATATTGATGACTTGTTTGTTGTCACCAGCATCAACAATTCAGAAGATTTATCTAGCCAGTCCCAAACCAAAGGTCTCAATACTACTTCCACCACCTTGGATCATCCCACCACTGGAACGGCCGAAGCTCCCATTAAGCTTACTCAAGCCGCAACCACCGAATCAAAATCTCCTCTCGGTGCTACTCGAGCCTCTCCGGGACGTATACAAGCTACCGCCGGGGCTTCTCAAACTCCCACCCATTCTACCCAGGATCTCCAAGGTAGGCCGAAAGCTTCCCTCGGTGTCCAAGAAACCATTCAACCTGCGGCCGATATTTCTCAATCTCTTCAAAGCTCCACGCAGCCCACCAACCCTCCCAATCCCAAGTCTAAAACATCGCAAGGGGCTGCTCGCAGGACCTCAACTTCGACGAAATCATCGTCGAATGGGATAACAAGGTTCCAAGCCCATCCTCCATCCAACCTTCCTGGGTTCGGAAATGCGAGTCTCGCCCCTGCTGCCAAAAACACGGCTCGTCATGTCAATACTAAATGGTTTGGGCGGGGGTCAAAATGGGGAAGAGATCAAGCTCCAGATGCAAGCGAGCTACAACTTTTGAAGCCATCCGAATTCAGCCCATTGAAGAATCCACAAGGAAACATCCCTCCAATAACCACACAGATCACGAGTGAACAGTCAAGTGGAGTGGGAAATATGACTTCGGGAAATCCTAGCCCTTCAAGGACACGCCCCACCGAGTCACATCAGTTCCCTAAGGACCAACCTACGACGGATAACCCCAAGTCCACTTCTTCGTCACATTCAGACCAACCCCTACAGTATCCCAGAGCCATGGATCCGGATATCGAAGTTCCTCGTCTTTCTGACCAGGTAGTCGGTCGCGATTTCTCTTCTCGGCTCAGCAATCCTTCACGCCCTGTTTCTGATAAATATAGACCTCTTGGGCGATCAACTGCAAGGCGATCAATAAAGGGCTCAAATCGGCCATTTGAAGCTGGCCCGTTGGAAACCCAACCACCGCGAGACTCTTATCGGCCATCAAATGACCTGTGGCCTCTCCAGGGCCCGAATCGATCACGGGGGTATCACAATCGATCCTCATCCCCTCCATCATCGCCATCCCAAAATGCGTCAGCACTAGCTCTTGACTTCCGCCGCCACTCAATGATTTCTAGAATCCCCACCTCGGGGGCTCACACCAAATCAAATCCGATTAATTCCAGATATAGGTCCTCGCCAACTGCAGTTATACCGGTTCATGCGCTCAATAAAACTGAAACCCTCGAAGAAGAAATATTGCGAATGCCAGTCGGCATACCGACCCAAGATTCAATTGGTCTATGGCTGCGTCCTTTCGGTCACTTCTGGAATCCAGGAGAGGTCTATGCACACGTGTTCTATGGGCCTGACAAGATACCTGTCGGTGCAGTCAGAGTATGCGGCATGTCTTTTGAGGTAAAGAGGGAACTCCTCAGTTCCAAGGCGGGAAAGAGCAATCGGTTTGAAATGTGGTTCAAGGATCTATGCAATGGGGATCAATACGCCGAACTATGTCAAAGGGTAATAGTATAATTTCCAAAGCACCTGATACAGAAACTAATATCCATCCAGGCTTCAAGAAATTCTGCCTTCGGCAACTGTTGGATGGAAGGTTTTCAGGATACCAACCCCCAACTCCTTCGCATGGCTCATCATCTACGTCGGAAAAATGTCATGGCCATTTTTTACCCTCAAGATCCCAAGGGAGATGTTTGGCTTGCGTTCTCTCGCGCGTCTCCCGACTACAGCTTTCTCGATCTCGAGTCGGATTCTAAAAGGGTTCCAAGTGGCACACCTCTTCTCTTGTCTGTGCGTGCGGCGTTACCTCCATTGTCTTCACTGCCAGTCTTTGAAGATACGCCGAGCGATATGGGTGCGCTCATTTCTGATGATCCTTTCGCTGGAATCGAGGAAGCCACCAATTCTACGCCTCATATTCAACCAGGCGCAGCTCTACCCCAAGGTCATGAAATCGGTGCCATGGATGCTTCTATGTTGACCGACCAAGCGAAAGAAGGAATTGTCAAAAGCTTCTTTGCATCCATCCTCAAAACCAGCATTAGTGACTTGAACAGGCTAAGCGATTCTTCGATAGCGGAGAATTTCTTTCTTTCCTTTCCTCCGGAAGAGGAAGAAGAATTTCAGATCATGCACAGATGGCTGTCCTTGAATAATATGACCGTCTACTCTAATCGAGACAAGAATGGCTGGTCTAGGTTTATGGACAATAGCAAACGTGGCGTTGTCGTTGTACGTTATCCTTGCGGTTGTGCTCTTCAGATGGTTTGCTAAAACATATTAGTTTCATGAGTCTTTCTCCGAAATCCACTCGCAATGCCCAGGAATTAGCAAAATCATGATGGGCGAAGTTTCCAACTTCTGGAGTGTCCGTCTGTATCAGAAACTTGAGTGGGCGGACCCTCATGGCCTTTGCACAAATGACCATTTCCAACCCCTCTTCCCCAAAGGGGGCTTGATCCTACTTGCGGAGGACATCTTCCAAGATCTGAGAAAAATTAATATTCTGGTATACTGGTTTCTCCATTTCCCTCAAAAAAAAAAGTTGGAGGCTTGTCCTTCCCCCAGACGCCTGGAAACTCCTGCAAGAACGCCTTCAGCAGGCAGAAAACGACGAGGAAATCAAATTTTTGTTATCCATTATCGTCTCAATCAAGAAAATCAATTCGATTGACGACTATTTTCAGGAAGAAAGCCTACGAGCCAGCCAGATTCATGAACCGAACAGCAACGTTGTTTCTCTTTCCGTGGCGGGTTATGGTTCCCGCTCTGAGGATGACTGCCCGGTGGTCCTGAAGGGCCTCTCACAGCAAGAGCGAGATATGGACCATGTAGCCGAAGCGTTTGCAGGCTGGGCACTGACGAAGTCAGCGTGTTTTCGAAGAATGATCATTATTTCATCTGTTCAATCAAACCCTCTACGAGACCGCTGGCGAAGTTGGAGCCATATCATTCTCATGGATTCTGATGATTTTTTTGCAAAATTCAAAGTTCGCGAGAATGTGATCATGGAAAACCTTCTTAAAGAAAGGCGATCAAACCAAGCCGTCAATTCCCCTGCAGAAATCACTCCAGGTACCCCAGCAACCCCAGCAGATCCTCCAGTCGGTGATCCTCCAGTCGGTGCCGATCCGAGCGACCCCTGGAAGTGGCCCTCTGAATTTCGCCAATCCGGCTCATACAGATAATGTAAGAGGGTTCACTCAATCTATGTCCAGTCTCTATTCCAAGCAAGCTAAACGCCTGTCCGCGTTTTTTTCTTTCTTGCCGCCCCATTTTTCTAGCATCAGACTAGTTTATTTGACGACCTAATGAAGTTCACATGACAAAATCGATGAAGTTCCTATTAATCCAAGAACGACCTAGATACGTAATAAAAATGTATTGTTCTGCCAGCGGATCGAGGTATATCAGAGCAACAAGGTGTACTACATAGTAATTACTTAGATCTTCCAGAAGTTCTACTACTACTACTACTACCTACCTACCTACCTACCTACTTGCTCAAAATATTCCCACGCTCATGGACGGATGGCTGTCGCGCGCCCATTCAATATGAATTCCGAGTCATCGTCAACCTAATATCTCAAGATACATCAACAATATTCAAAAAAAATACAATTTCGGTTTAGAGTCATGTTCGAAATTTACAGTTTATCCAAGCTGGATTCGATTGCCGGATAAAGCTCATAAAAGATAAGCTAAGCCGCTCAGAATACCGCATGTCGTCAAAGGAGAAAAAGGCCCCACGGGGCAAGAGTGCGGAGAGAAATATAAAGTTAAACATGAGCCCGCTTCCGATACTCCTGGAAATTTGCTGCATATTCAAAGCCATCATCGCCATCCAGTTTTTCCTTTTTCTGCTTGGGTTTCTTGTCAGAGCCTGTCTTCTCCTCCCATTTACTTTCTTCGGCAGATATCATTGCGTGAAATTTGCCACCTTGGCCGCGGGCGAGGTAGATCGGTTTCTCTTTGCGATCAGCCACCGCTTCGGTCACGAGAACAAACTTGACGCTTGAGCCAGGTGCTTCAAACATGGGGTCGCTAAGGATGGTCTCCATTTCGGTGCGTAGGGCTCGGGCGCCAGTTCCCATCGTGAAGCCATTTGCTGCGATCTTATGTAACGCGGGTGTAGTAAATCGCAACTCGATGCCGGAAAGTGAGAAGAGGGTAGTATACTGGGCCAGCAGGGAGTTGCGGGGCTCGGTGAGAATACGCATAAGCAAGGGTTGGGTCAATGTTGACAATGCAGCGGTGACGGGGATCCGCCCAATGAGCTCGGGAATAAACCCATAGGTTTGTAAGTCTGTAGGGTTCAAAAGGTCCAATGCGTTGAAATAGTTGGGCTCACTTCCTAGTCCAGAAGGAGATGCGGATGTGAAGAATGGGAGATGCTTCTTGTATAGTGCCTCCTCCTCGGAGCCTGGGAGAATCGGGAGAGGTTCTGTTGAGGAGGATGCGGATGGGCCTGGACGGTCGCTTGGACTTGGTGCTGCTCGAACAGGCTGACCAAATCCCATTGAGCCTTTGGATATCCGATCCATTACCACTTTGTGTAAACCCACGAAGGCGCCCGAGAAGATGAAGAGGATGTTGTCTGTGCGCACATTATAAACTTCCCCTTTGGCAGGTTGGTTATTGTGAGGCTGGAATGGCGTGTTCCCCAGAGGGCTGTTGGATGGATAGGAATTGGGCGGACTTGTCGAGCGAGGGTTCTTTTCTGGCTTTGCCTGAACTTGGACAGTTGTACCTTCGATAATCTTCAAGAGCGCCTGTTGCACTCCTTCCCCGCCAACATCTTTTCCATGACTCACTTTAGCGGCGGCAATTTTATCGATTTCGTCTAGAACAATAATACCGCGCTCGGCTTGTCCAACATCATAGTTCGCAGCTGCCAGCAGCCGGTGCACACACGTCTCGGCATCTTCACCAATGTAACCAGCTTGTGTAAACGGAGTACAGTCAGATATACTGAAGGGAACCGACAACACTCGAGCAAGTGTTTTGGCCATAAGAGTCTTTCCAACGCCCGATGGACCAAGAAGCAAAATATTGGACTTGTCTAGTTGGAGTGGCGAGTTGTCCACTAGTTCACCCCGATCCAGAGGTGTCGTCGCTTGGCGGGATTTGGGGGTCGATGGAAGACCAACAGTACGCTGTTGGCCAGGGAAATCATCTGTATCGCAAATTAAGAGTCAGTCAAGCCATATTATTGAGCAGGCCGGCGACCAATGTCGCAGCAACATACCCTCTAAGGGATGACTTTCAAAAGCCTCCCTCCGTTGACGCTTCGCCTGGAGCTCTTCTGCTTCTTCCTCTCGCCTTTGAAGCTCTTGTACCCTCTGGTAATGATTATAGACTGCCACACTTAACACTTTCTTCGCGCGATCCTGTCCCACCACAAATTGGTCGAGATACTGCTTGAGGACCCTAGGTGTAATGCGGGGAGCGCCAAAGGCCGGTGTCGAAGCCAACGGCCCGGTCGTCGGAAGACCAGGCTCATAGCTACCAGTAAATGGCTGGCTTGTAAAGTCCGACCTATTGAATTGGGAGGCGGTTGGGAAACTTGTTGAGGAGCTGGTGAGGAGGCGCCTTTGGCCGAGGGATAGTGGCCGACATCGGTGTGATCGTACAGCCTCCCGACGAATCAAGGCTAATGCCTGACGGTGAGAAGGCCGCCACAGCATGTCCTGAAGACTGCAGAGGAAATATTGAGTTTATAGGGTAATGGACAAGAAATATGCCGTAAAGGATGAGTTGGAGACGAGGAAGCGATGGGATCAGATAGGGAGCTTTCCCCGCAGGAGTCATGCGATTAGGATGGGAATGGGGCTGGGGTGGGGCTCCCTACTTGATGGTGCCCTGCCCACTCGGCACGTTCGGCGTTTGGCATTCTACACAGCAGCTGCGGTGAAGTATTCTCTTTGCGAATGATTTCCCGACTCTTTATCGAGATCATTTCCTGTGACGATGAAGCCCTTTTCCTTCATTCCTTGGGCCCTATTTACCTCAAATTACGCCAAGAAGTTTCTCGACACCAGTACTACTACCCTAAGGTATAGGACTGTACAATCACCGGGGGTAATCTTGCACAAAATTACGCAAGGATCGGCGCTCCTGATACAAACTGGTTCATCTTTTATTGTGCGGTCCTCATATCGTCCAAACATTACTTCATTCTAGAACCCCTCTATCAGATTGCCTAATTGGGTCAATTTCGCGAGGTCTCCTTTTGTGTTTGGGCGCTGATGTCATCCAATCCACTAATACGAACCCGATCTGCAGTGATAAGCCTTGAAAGCATTGTTCGTCTCAATGCGGTAATCTCGTATACCTATTTCCCTGGAAGCTTTGCATTGGTAGAATGAACTCGTATACCTAGGTGTGCCCAGGTGGCAAGTCTGCTTGCGCCTGGCAAAAGCACTGCCCCCAAGGCCGAATGTACTAAGTACCTAGTACATGGGTACTAACTAGTACTGGTATATATTCCTAGCGGGTTGGCACATGAGGGGCTCGATGGACCTGAAAAACGTTTGACAATGCCAGTACTATCATAGAAATATTAACAAACTCATTTTCAACATGATTTTCTACTGGAAATTTCTCTACCACTCTTTCTTACTATCTGCGACTGCCATTGTGGTGCCGCAGCCTCAATATTCAAGTTGTCGATGTCGACCTCATGAAAACTGCTGGCCCACGCAGCAGCAATGGTCGACGCTAAACGACACGATCCAGGGCAACTTGGTAGCCGTTCGGCCCGTTGCATCGGTCTGTCATGCCATGGAATACGATGCAAAGGCATGCAATGCAACGACTGAGCTTTGGACAAACTCTGTCTGGCGTTCAGCCCAGCCAGGCGCTGGACAGTGGGAGAACTGGGAGGCATGGCCTGAGCACCATGAAACATGCTATATCGAATCGCCCCAGAGCAGCAGATGTGGACAGGGTCGCATCTCCTTATACTCAGCCAAGGCTCAGACTAAATATCATATTCAGAAAGCCGTTCTGTTTGCGAAATCCCACAACCTAAGGCTTGCTATCAAAAATACGGGCCACGATTTTCTGGGCCGGTCGACGGCGCCAGAGTCATTGCAGATTTTGACGCACGCAATGAAGGACATCAAATTGGTGGACGACTTCATTCCTAAGGGTGCCCCCGATGGCAAAAATGAAGGTCCCGCAGTGATCATGTCGGCCGGCGTGCAGTTGCCCGAGCTGTATCTTGCGGTTGCAAAGCACAATCGAACTGTGATTGCGGGATCTTCGCATACCGTCGGTGCTGCCGGAGGATATATACAAGGAGGTGGGCATAGTCCATTTGGCGCCTGGAAGGGCCTGGCATCAGACAATGCACTCGAATTTGAGGTTGTGACTGCCAATGTGAGTGGGCCGTGACCTATCAAAAAAACCGAAGTAGATCTAACCGTTTGCATAGGGTTCTATCGTCACCGCGAACTCATATAAAAACTCGGATCTTTTCTGGGCCTTGCGGGGTGGAGGTGGAGGAACATTCGGCGTCGTGACAAGTGCCACTGTTCGCACACGGAAGTACCAGTCGTTGTATACAACCTCAACATCACCACCACGGGGGGGTGATCCCCGGTTCTGGCATGCCTTCAGTGCATTCCATGCGGCTCTCCCATCTCTCAATGATGCTCGGGGCTCGGGCTACTATTTTGGATTCCCCAATTTACCTATTGATCAGAATACCACGGTGTCCACCATTATTTCTTTGCTCATGTTCCCAGAGAAGACGGACGTGGACGAGGTCGCCAAGTTATACGAGCCATTGAAGACCAAGCTCAAGAAAATCGGAGGTGTCAAGGTTGATTCTATGCCGGTTCCGTTCCCAAGTGTCAACTCAACGATCTTTACAATGCTCCTTTCCGGGTCAGACGCCGATAGTACCGGAAGCCTTAGCGCCTTGCTCGTCTCACGATTGTTCTCCAAGGATTTGATGCTATCAGATGGGGGTCCAGAACGACTGGCAAAGGCCTGGAAGAGCATCCGTTGGGATCCATTCTCTTCGTTCACTGGGCATGTGGTAGCCGGTCCCGCTGTTGCTACTAATAAGGATATCGACAGTGCAGTCAACCCAGCATGGCGGAAGACAGTCTCACACATGTTATTTGGCAGAGGTTGGAAGGCAAATACCACCTTGGCGCAGAAGAAGGCCATGATCAAGAATATGACCGATGTAGAGATCCCAATCCTACGGTCTGTCGAAGGAGAGGACCAGATGGGCGCCTACGTGAACGAGGCGAATGGCTATGAACCTGGGTTTCAGAAAGCATTTTGGGGTGAGAATTACCTTCGCCTGTACAAGATAAAGCAGAAATGGGACCCAAAGGGCTTGTTCATTTCTCGCAAGGGTGTTGGCAGCGAGGACTGGGACGATGCTGGACTGTGCAGGGTCATGGCCTATGATAGCACCTAGGCACGTGGGATTTTTAGAGTTGGACAAGAATATTGTGAGATCTAACTCAAATATGGTCTTTATGATGTATTTTCTTTGATCTCTAGTTTATTTTCTGAAGAATCTTATTTTGATACGACTTGACAGAAAGAAGATGGCACTTTGATATCGAATTTCATTTAATTTGTTTATTGACCCTAGGGCACGGGTGCTCATATGGTTGTTCTATAGCCCGGAGGTGTTCCCCGCCGGCGCAGGGAGTTCAATTTGAGTTGTTGACTAGCAAGGTATGACCGGTTCAGAGAATGTGATATCACTGGGTCCGTTTCCAGGACACCTTCAATTTTCACACAGCCTGTCTGACCGGCAGCCTCGAGACTGGGACCGGGCCTGTCTGCCGTCTCATAAATTGTGGCCCACTTGGTAGTTCTTAGTCGTCTACCATCTCGGGTCGTGGATGTCGTGCCAGTTTTGGGGGGGGGGTTTCAGGTGTATGCGGTTGAACCTGAAGTTTATGCATATTCCTTCACGGTTGCATCATTGATTCGCCTTGAAGACGGGTTGTTGTTCCATTGTTTGAGAGATGAAATTTCGTAGTGCTGACCATCGGCTTGCAGTAGGATTGGCATCGGCAGTAGTGTTTTCAGCTGTTGGTTCGGATTGAGTTGGTAGAGTGGACATTTGTGCCATGTTTTTTGCAAATCGGTCTCGCTCAACCCTCTCCAGCTTCTCCCGACGCTTCATGGCACCAGGTTTATGACGAAGGGTATTTTGTTTGATGATATTAACTTGACTGACAGCATCGTGGGAATCATCTGCGGCATCTGGGAGGGCATCGGCGAGGGATTCGAGGTTGGCGACCAATTTTTTCGAGGCACGTCGGCGTTTCGGAGTTTTGCTGGAACTCTTTGCGATTTTGGACATGAGAGTCGCACGCTTAATCTGACGCTTATCTCTCTTGCTGGTTCGGAAATCATCCCCGGACGGGGCAGGTCTGCCCGCGATCTTTGCCTTCATGATGATGGACGAGAAAGAACCGGACGAAGGGAGTTGAAAAGGTGGAGCATAAGACAACACTTGGAGATACCTAAGGTACACACATGTGAGGATCAGCACGGAAAATTGGTAAGTGCAACGTGACCGCCTTCCTCTTTGACTCACCCTGCTTTAATTTTGGACCGACTTCGCACCGACTTCACACGGGAAATGCGCTTTAGCACTGTTGGACTTGTCCAAAAGAATCCAAAAGATAGTCGCTGTGACGTGACCCCCGATCCACATGGTCGGGTGAACCCTCTGCCTTCACCGGTGACATCAGAAATAACGCTCTCTTTCCAATTGTTGTGATTCCGATCTTTGTTCCTGTCGCTCCTCATTGGAGGACCTGCCGTGAATGTTCTCCTCCCGCCTTTCTCGTGTCTGTTTTGGCTCTCGTTACAGATCCGCGCTGCCTCGGTCGCCGCTAGCCACCCGGTTCCAGACTCTTTTGCCCCGGTTGCCCCCGTCGCCGCTGGCATCGCCGTCGGCTTCCCTAGCGTCCTTTAAATCTGCTCTCCCCGCCAGACCTTCCCCGTGCAGATCATTTTCATCCTCTATCGCAAACATGGGTTCCCTCGCTCCTTACCAGCGCAAGCACAAGATCACCGTCGTCGGCTCCGGTAACTGGTATGCTCTTCATATTTTTTTTTTACTGTTTTTGTTTCCTGGTTCCCGGTTTATGTTGTCTGCTTTTTTTTTGAACCCCTGGTTGCGACTCCCGCGCATTGGCCTACCATCTTCTCCCATGCCCTGCTGCTCTTCCGTTGGGATCGTTGAGACTAATGTTGGGATCTCACTGGCAGGGGCTGCGCCATCGCCAAAATCGTCGCCGAGAATGCCGCTAGCAACCCGGACATCTTTGAGGAGAAGGTAGAGATGTGGGTGTTTGAGGAGAATGTTGAGATCCCAAAGGACTCGCCAAACTTCAACCCCGCGAACCCCGGACCCCAGAAGTTGACCGAAGTGATCAACCGGGCCCACGAGAACGTCAAGTATCTGCCTGGCATTAGACTTCCCACCAATCTGCATGCCAACCCGTCCCTGGAGGACGCGGTCAAGGACAGCACCATCCTCGTTTTCAACCTCCCCCACCAGTTTATCCTCAAGACCTGTGAATCCATTAAGGGTAAGATACTGCCCTATGCCCGTGGTATCTCTTGTATCAAGGGCGTCGATGTCAACGAGCACGGCATCAACCTGTTCTCCGAGACCATCGGTAAGATCCTCGGCATCTACTGCGGTGCCCTGTCCGGCGCAAACATTGCCAACGAGGTGGCCAAGGAGAAGTGGTCCGAAACCACTGTCGCCTACGACCCTCCCCACCTGGACTCCAAGGCCCCTTCGCCCTCGGGCTCACAAGTAAACCTGGTGGAGTTTGAGCACAAGGACGTCTCGGGCAACTTTTCCAACGTCAAGCTACAAGCGCTGCCTTCGGACTACCCGCCCGTTGACCATAGCATCCTGAAGTCTCTCTTCCACCGCCCCTACTTCCATGTTCGGGTCGTGAATGATGTCGCTGGCGTTTCCATCAGTGGTGCTCTGAAGAACGTTGTCGCGCTGGCCGCTGGCTTCGTTGTGGGCATGGGCTGGGGTGATAACGCCAAGGCTGCCGTGATGCGCGTGGGACTGATGGAGATGGTTCGATTTGGTGACAAGTTTTTCGGAGCTACCATTGACCAGCGGACATTTACCGATGAGAGTGCAGGTGTCGCCGATTTGATTACCAGCTCCAGCGGTGGCCGTAACTTCCGTTGCGCCAAGTACAGTGTTGAACGCAATCAGTCTATTGAGCAGATCGAAAAGGATGAGCTCAATGGCCAGTCGCTGCAAGGTACCCTCACAGCTGTCGAGGTCAACAGCTTCTTGAAGAAGCAGGGCCAAGAGGAGGACTTCCCTCTTTTTACTGCTGTCTACCGTCAGTCTTTTCCCCTCTTGTATCGACAAGCTATTTATACTGACAATTTTTGATAGGCATTCTGCAAGGAACTATGCAGGTCTCAGAGATTCCTTCATATATTGAGCGGTAAATGATTTCTCATGGCGTCCCTTTTTCTTCGTATATTGTTTGTTAAAATTGTGATTCCTTTTGACAGCCCTCCGGTGACGCGTGCCCCGACTTCTACTTCTACTTCTACTTCTACTTCTACTCAGGATGGTGAGGATGATGGTTCTCGGTTCGCAGCTCGGCTTTGATTACGAACTTTCTTTTTTTGGGAACGGGGTTAAGCATGGATTTTAGATAGATTTACGACTGTACTTATGCATCGAAACGAATTGGATATTACTGTTACTACTACTACTACTACTTCTAGTGCGTGCATTTCCTTGGCATGTTCATTTCACTTCCTTGGTCTCGGCGGCCCGAGCTCCCAAGGTTTGCTGGCATGTCCCTGTCCCTGTCAGAGCTGCAGAACCATGAAACCGTGGAAGTTGTAGCTAATAAGAATTGACATAAGAATGGCCACTGCTAACTAAAACTATAACTATACCTATACCTTTGCCTATCGGCATACCCATAGCCATACCCTTAATTTCTAGATCTAATAACTGGAAATAAAATAAGATAAAATAAAATAACTACCGAATAGTGGGGATTGGTCTCGACTCGGCGCTAAAAAATACCTGGCCAGGGCCCAAATGCATGATGTCATCTGGCGCGACAACGGCTGGTGAGGGGGAAGCACCCAGCTCCCTCTTGTCCTCTGCAACCTCTTCTCACGGCCTTTTCCCAGGCCATTCACTCGCTGGAAACTTTCAGCGATCCACGAGGTAGTGCTCTCCGACTGTTCCGCGCTGTGTCGTTTCGACAACCAGCTCCAGTCCTGATTGTCGCTGAATTTCGACCATTCCACGACGATCATCATGGCCCCCCCCCAAGTCACGTCTATCTCTTGCCATTGAAGGATGACGGCTCACCCGATGTACCTGGAGGATACATTTATCTTCCTCCCCCGACTGATGAAGGCTACCTCCTTCGTTTCATCATCGAGGGAACCAGCTCCATCTGCCGGCATGGAAGCCTGTGGGTCAACCTTCCCGAAGAGGGGAAGGACTTTGATCGCCATTCATTCCGTGAATTTAGGTATAGATAATCTCTCCCCGTATTTTAAGAAATACACGAAGAGAAAACATACTGATTGACTGTAGACTGCAGCCGAATTTCAACCAGAACATTCAAATTGACATCCCAGTGACGCGTGCAGGTGCTTTTGCCTACTACACTACATTCTATCCACTGCCAGAGTTCTCGGTCGAAGATGTCCCCGCTCCAGAGCCCACTGAAACTCCGCTTCACTACATAGACGTCTCGCCGAGACTGGCTGTCCAAGGCAAGGATCTGCCACTGAATGCTCTGTCCATCTTTTCGGTGATCTCCAAATTCATGGGCCAGTACCCAGCCGACTGGGATAAGCATTTGAATGGAATCAGCCAACGGAATTACAACATGGTCCACTTCACGCCTCTAATGGAGCGTGGTTCATCTAATTCTCCCTACAGCATTTTCGATCAGCTATCATTTGATCCTGCTTTCTTCCCCAATGGGGAGGCCGATGTGGCATCACTTGTCTCACGGATGGAGAAGGAGTACGGACTATTAACGCTTACAGACGTTGTTTGGAATCACACAGCTCACAACAGCAAATGGCTAGAGGAACACCCCGAAGCAGGCTACAGTGTGGCGACCGCCCCTTGGTTGGAATCTGCGCTCGAGTTGGATACTGCCCTATTGAAATTCGGCGATGATCTTGAAAGTCTTGGGCTACCGACGGAATTCAACACTGCCGAAGAACTAACGGCTGTAATGAAGGTCCTTCGTAAACAGGCTATCGACGGGATTCGACTATGGGAATTTTATGCTATCGATGTCAAGGCCGATACCAAGAAGATCTTGGATGCCTGGACTACCGGAAATGTGGACCGGACCAGCCTGGAGCATTCTGATGTGCAACTATTCAAGGACTTACCGCCCAAGAAGCAAGCGCTGACAATTCGCGAACTCGGTATCCCGAACTCGAAGCAGGTTCTTGGACGATTTGGACGTTCCGTGGATGCGGCATTTGGTGCGGCTTTGCTCACAGTCCTTCACGGCGAGTACAACCAAGCCGGTTCGAACGTTGATGAAGTCGGATCCTCCTTGTCGAAGATCCTCGACGCGGTCAACCTACCCCTCTACGAGGAATATGACGCGGATGTTGCTGATATTATGGACCAACTGTTTAACCGCATCAAGTACCTCCGAATCGATGACCACGGCCCTAAAATGGGACCTGTGCACAAAGACAGCCCTCTCATTGAGACCTACTTCACCCGTCTCCCAGAAAACGAGGTCACCAAGCAACACAATCCAAAGTCCCTGGCGCTAGCCAATAACGGATGGATTTGGAATGCCGACGCAATGCGTGATAATGCCGGGCCAGATTCTAAGGCCTACCTTCGTCGTGAGGTCATCGTTTGGGGTGATTGTGTCAAGCTCCGTTATGGAAACTCGCCCAAAGATAACCCATTCCTTTGGGATTTCATGACTCGATATACACGACTTATGGCCAAATACTTCAACGGATTCCGCATTGACAACTGCCACTCGACTCCCCTTGTTGTAGCTGAATACCTGCTTGATGAAGCGCGAAAGGTCCGCCCGGATCTAACGGTATTCGCCGAGCTTTTCACAGGATCTGAAGAGGCCGACTATGTTTTCGTCAAAAGACTCGGAATCAATGCCCTCATCCGGGAGGCGATGCAAGCCTGGAGCACCGCAGAATTGAGCCGTCTGGTTCACCGTCATGGAGGTCGCCCAATTGGTAGCTTCGATGTGGACCTACCATCTGCTGGCAGCTCTCATGCTATTGCGTCTGCGAAGAGCGGAGCTTCAGATGAAACTATCACCCACATTCGGCCGTTGCCCGTTCAGGCCCTCTTCATGGACTGTACCCATGATAATGAAGTGCCGGCCCAGAAGCGTGATGTTAGGGATACCCTTCCCAACGCTGCCCTTGTTTCCATGTGTGCATCTGCCATCGGAAGTGTCATGGGATACGATGAGATCTATCCCAAACTTATTGACCTGGTCCATGAGACTCGGCAATATGCATCTTCGTTCTCCGGGGACCAGGAGCTGAAGGGCGGGGCCGGGGAGGGTGGAATTGGAGGTGTCAAGAAAATACTCAATGATCTTCACACCATGATGGGCGTGGAAGGCTACGATGAGACGCATATTCATCACGACGGGGAATACATCACTGTTCATCGAGTTCATCCTAAGACCCGAAAGGGAGTTTTCCTTATCGCTCATACAGCATTCCCAGGCAATGATAGCGGAGCTGTCTTGGCCCCAACTCATATCAGTGGTACCCAGGCCAAGCACATCGGGTCTTGGGTTCTGGAAGCCGATGCCTCCGATGATGCTAAGGCCAAGGTTCTGTCGGATGATAAACAGCTCAGAGGACTTCCCAGTCATACACGGGATATCGAAGGCACCAAGATTGAAGGCGATAAGGATGATGTGACTGTGGCGGTCTTGGAAACTTTGGTGCCTGGATCTATTGCTTTGTTTGAGACCTGGATTCCCAGCGCCGAGCACGCGGAGGGGCTCGACAATTTTGTTTCGACTGGTGCCGATGAGGCATTCGCGGAGCTAAGCTTGGTCGACTTGAACTTTGCTCTCTATCGCTGTGAGGCTGAGGAGAGAGACTCCAGTGATGGCCAGGACGGTGTCTACAGTATTCCCAACCACGGCCCACTTATCTATGCCGGCCTTCAGGGCTGGTGGAGTGTTCTTGAAGATATCATCAAGTACAATAAGCTCGGTCATCCACTTTGCGATCATCTGCGCGAAGGCCAATGGGCTCTCGACTTCATTATTCAGCGAATGGAAAAGGTCGGGGCCAAGGAAGGTCACACTGCCCTTCATAAGCCTGCTGCTTGGCTGAAGGAGAAATTCGATGCTGTTCGTGGATTGCCAAATTTCCTACTTCCTCGCTATTTCGCCATGATTGTACAGGTTGCATACAATGCAGCTTGGAAGAGCGGCATTCACCACTTCAGTGATCTTGTAAGACACGGCCAGGAGTTCACCCACCAGCTTGCTATGGTTAGCGTTCAGCAAACTGGGTACGTCAATTCGGCCTCTCTATGGCCTACTAAGCAAGTTCCTAGCCTGGCCGCAGGTCTACCTCATTTCGCGGTTGACTGGGCCCGCTGCTGGGGTAGAGATGTTTTCATCTCTATTCGCGGTCTTTTCCTTTGCACAGGACGCTTCGATGATGCCAAGGAGCATATCCTAGCCTTCGCGAGTGTTCTCAAGCACGGCATGATCCCCAACCTTCTCAGCAGCGGAAAGCTGCCCCGTTACAATTCACGGGATTCGGTTTGGTTCTTCCTACAGGCTATCCAGGATTATACCAGCATTGTTCCCGACGGAATCAAGCTTTTGCAAGAAAAGGTCCCCAGGAGGTTCCTCCCATATGATGATACATGGTTCCCGTTTGACGATCCACGCGCCTATTCCAAGAGCCCAACTGTTCTGGAGGTTATCCAAGAAGTGTTCCAACGACATGCCCACGGCATGTCATTCCGTGAATACAATGCTGGGCCTGATCTTGATGTTCAGATGAAAACCGAAGGATTCCAGATTGACGTCAAGGTAGACTGGAACACTGGTATCATTTTTGGTGGCAGCCAGGATAACTGTGGTACGTGGCAAGACAAGATGGGGGAAAGTGAAAAGGCCGGCAACAAGGGCGTACCGGGTACACCGCGTGATGGCGCTTCCATCGAGATTACCGGACTCTCCTACAGTGCCCTCGCATGGGTCGCCAAGCTGAACGAATCGAATGTCTATCCCCATGCGGGAGTTGACATCGGTGAGGGTAAATCCATCACATTCGCTGAATGGGCGAATAAGATCAAGGCAAATTTCGAGCGATGTTACTTCATCCCCGTGAATCCGGCCGAAGACAGCCAATATGATGTGGATGCCAACATCATAAACCGACGAGGCATCTACAAGGATCTCTACAAGTCCGGCAAG